ACATATATATACGTACATAAGAACAACTCAAAATTCAATTTTAAGCTGATAGCAGACCAGACCTCCTAAACGGTCGAAAAATGTAAAATGTTTGTAGCAAAAACCTTCAAAGCTATTTTCATGAGTTTTTCTACTAAGAGAGACTACATGAGACACTGTTGAGGTCGTTCCGGTTCGCCTCATGAGAGTGTTCCCTAGATTTTTTAGAATTTATATGAAAACCAGCGACAACGTAGACCGTCGAGCAAGAAAACTTTTTTCGTAATGAGCTTGTTGCTTTTTTCTATTAAAAAAATTGGCTTCTTTCCGGTATCAAAAACAGCGGATGAACACATTTCTGCTATAATAAACGACAAGTTAAATAATTTGGCCGAGTTATCACACCCTGTACATAAATATATTGCGGCTGTAAGTTAAACGAGAACTGTAACGTTTATCAGCATCTGGCTGAAAAACATGTTATCATAATATCTGTTACTTTTGGAACGACGTGCTCAAATAGTTCCCAGAATACTATACATTATATATCAATCAATATTACTGGATTACTATTATTTTCATTGTTGTTATTATCGTAGAAATACTCAGTTGTAGCTGGTGGTTCAACAACAGTTTCTAAAGCTTAAAATGATAAATTATTTTCAAAGTTGTATTTCATGTCTCGAGCTATTTACAAAATATGCTGTAATTTCGTGATTCTGGTATATTTTAGATATAGTACCTATCACAAAGCTACAAGTAAGCTGGTAATCGTCAATTTTTACTTTAAATGCGTCGACGATGATATTTTGGGTCGTATCTACACAAATGCACTTTCATACAAAGGCATCGAAGTATACGGGCTACCCAAGTTGCTATTAAATATTCAATCGAAGTACAATGCATGGCATGGGCTGGGTTGGAAACGAGATCAGCCGACGCTCATAATGCACGTGCATCAGTCCCCGCAGGTGATTAGACAGTAGTGATCCCCCGGGGGGGGGGGGGGCAAGCACACTTGCGCAAAAGATTACCCTCTGGCAAGATAAGCGCCTTGAAGGTGCCCGACTACCTCGACCACTCCCGATGCTCTAACCACTCCTTCATTTTCTCTGAGGTATAATTTCGTTACCCCACTGGCGCTGTTTCCCCCAATCCATTTGGCCCAGAAATCCCCTTACGTAATAATATAGTTTATGTAACTACGATAATTGGCGATGGTTTCGACAATCAAGCCTGGCCCTTTTTGCTTTGGCCAGCCTCGACATTGCATGCGGGCGAGGTTTAATGTCTGCAAGACATTCGCTCCACTTTTAGGACTTACGGATTAAAAAAAAGTAAAAACATAATTATGAACAATGTACTTTTCGTTTACACAAATAGTGCTTCCTAGAAATAATGAAAACAGTCTTGTTAAGCTTTATATACATAATGCATGCTTACTTTATTGTAATAACCTCCTGTTTTCCGGTTGGATCTTGTATGTCTTAATTATAATAAGCGGCAGTCGTACTGTACAAACTTTTCTTTACTCTTTTACTTATTGTCCCATCTCTCATAGGTGCTTTGCTTCTGCTTGAATATCTTTTAGAAAAATAAAATTTTCATGTAGTTGAGATATATATATATATATTTATATTCTTTCCTGCTACGTCATGTTCATTGTTTCCGTCCTGACATAAAAAGCCTTATTATGAAAAAAGATGCAGTGTGATTGTCATATGTTATTATCAGCACACCTTTCTCTGTTTACAGATTCACTTCCTTTCGCATTGTTTAATAAAACATTCGGTAAAGACAGAAGACAGAAGAAATCTGACGTTCACGGATCGGTAAGTCATTCTAATCGATACTGACTGTACTACTGCTACAATAATAAAATCAATCTACCATCATAGGCAAGGCTTATAACAAACCTCAATACTTGATCGTCAGGTACCTTTATGTTTTTACCTCGTTAAACGTTTAATATTATTATTCCTGATAGAAATGCGAAATTAAATTGAACTGTGTGTTACGGACATCTGCCTTGTGATGGCCTATATCAGGATGTTTAACAGACTGGCTTATTGCATTTGGCATAACTTCACACTTATGCAGGGTACCGCACCGGGCATGTGAGCGATTTTAACCTCGCAAGCTAGCGACCGCTTTGACTGCCGCGTCCTCTAAATCGTTGGCTGAGTGGATAGCCAGGCCTGAATTGGTCAGAAGTTCTTTGGCAGCATCGACATTAGTGCCCTCGAGACGAACAACAAGAGGGACGGTGAGAGCGATCTTTTTACATGCATTTATAATTCCATTAGCGATAGTAACACAGTTGACAATACCGCCAAAGACGTTGACAAGGATAGCTTTAACGTTCTGATCCTGAGTTAGGATACGGAATGCCTCGGCGACCTGCTCTTCTCCAACGGAACCGCCGACATCAAGGAAATTAGCTGGGTTTCCACCGCGCAATTTGATTATGTCCATCGTCGCCATTGCTAAACCGGCTCCGTTTACCAGACACGCAATATTTCCATCCATACCGATATAGTTAAGGTTCCATTTCGCTGCTTCCACCTCGCGCGGGTCACTTTCAGTGGTATCTTCCTGAGCGAAAATGTCTTTCTGCCGAAACTGCGCATTGTCATCGAAATTGATCTTGGCATCGAAGCACACCACCTTTCCATTGGGGGTCTCGCCAAAAGGATTGATTTCCACCATTGTAGCATCTACCTTACGGAACACAGCATAAAGCTTTTTGATCTGTTCAGCGGCATCTTTGATATTGTCACCCTCGAATTGCAGGTTCCTGGCAATTTTTATGGCTTGCTCGTCTTGGATGCCTTTCTCTATATCAATGACTTCCTTGTAGATAAGCTCAGGATTCTTTTCAGCAACTTCTTCAATGTCGACTCCGCCGGCCGGCGACGCAACCACAACCGGTCCATTAAACGTACGATCCATAAGAATAGCTAAGTAAGTTTCACGCTTAATATCCAATGCCTCAGCAATCATCACTTTTTTTACAATCACGCCTTCCTTTGTTGTCTGTTTCGTAACCAGCCGGTAGCCAAGCATTTTTTCGACAAACTCAACAACCTGCTCGGGGTTCTTCGTCAGCTTTACACCGCCGCGCAAGCCAGAGTTAAACGTTCCCTTGCCCCGTCCGCCGGCGAGAACCTGGGCCTTTACCACAAACTCATCGTATTTCGTGTTTTGGGCAATGTCGCGCGCCTGAGCGATGGTATCTGCTACCTTGAAGCGCTGGACTGTCACCCCACCGTCTGCCATCAGTTGCTTCGACTGGTACTCGTGCAAATTAAGAAGGCGAATATTTGGCGTTTGAGCCACCTTGGAAGACTGAGTGGCAGCCCGTAGTAGTTTCGAAAGTCGAAACATTTTCAAAATTTGGGCTTATCAGGGCACACTGAGTACGATACGAATACAAAGCAAAGTCAAGCGAATAACAACGATGTCCATCCAATGATGTAAAGAAAACTTGCTGATAGTGTTAAGACCCGTATGGACCAATGCGGCTGACGGAGTGAGGAGGGTTCAATCATGCGATACTCACATTCAAGGCTCGATAAACAGTGGACATTGCCACCAGAGAGAACGACGTTTATACTTACGTTACGGTGTGATTTATTTAAGAAACAAATGTAATGGAGATAATCTTCACGTTACGACACAAATGTAACGGTGTCAGCTACCTAGAATTGTTGGTTTTTGCCGAACATAAATTTACTGTTGATGTTAAACACTATTGTTATCTAACTTGCCAACTCGATAGGTCGCGCGAAGCTACTAACAAAACCGTGAGATCAGGAACAATGTTTACTTGTAGTTTATGACATAGCGTTTCTCTTACCTGAGGCGGTATTTAGACGCTGTGTTTCGAATCTAAACTATCACATGCTGCAGCTGTCACAAGCAATACAACTAGCATCGCCTTAGAACTCGGAATAATTATGTTTCGAAGAACTCGTAGCTTGCGCCAAAAGCGCGCTATTTTCAAATACTGTTTTGCGCAGACGGCTTTCGAAAGTGGCCAAAACCTACCTTGTGGTCAGGCGTCAATTAGTGTCTAGCTAAATGAAAAAGAAGTGCCCCAAGTTGACAACGTTTTCGCTTGAACAAACACTAAGTTGTACTGTGCGTTTACTGTATGTTAAAAATATTCCTGCGTTACAACTATCGCAGTATGTGTACCAGCTTTTATGGTGCGAGATAACTTTTGTTAATCAAGTACTTTCGCGTTGCAAGTCAGCTGTAGTACCGCTCAGGTGGTATCATTGGCCTATGAATTTGCAGAACACAAAGAAAAATTAGGCCACTTCCAGGCGAATCATTTATATTATAATTCTTTTTGCTAATCACAATAGCCCACAGTAACGATGAGTAGGATCTTCACACCGTCAAATCAAATCAGATTAACGAATGTTGCCGTCGTTCGACTGAAGAAAGGCGGTAAACGATTCGAAATCGCCTGCTACAAAAATAAAGTTGTTTCATGGCGAAATAAAGTCGAAATGAACCTCGACGAAGTCCTTCAAATGCATGTGGTTTACGTGAATGTCTCGAAGGGTGAGGTAGGTTTATGGTAGTTGCAAAGAACTATGTAAGAAAACTACTAGCATTTATAATTACCTATATAATGCAAACACCCTTCATTGGCTTGAAATCCAGTGCAATCGAGAAATACTGTTTTAATATTTATTTAACTAATACATTAAATCTACGAAGTCGATTGAGTCAAATTTGTCTCAAATTCCGTAATAGCCAGTGACTAGTGGCCCATATACTGGGACAGGGTTTATAAATATCTAAGGCTTTATGTCCGGTAGGCTGACACAAGATTGGCACAGGTCTGAACGAGGGGTAAAACTATGGAAAAAGCTTTGTAGAGTAAGGTGAACGAATCGTGTCGTACTTTAAAAACTTTTCTTTTCCTTCCCTTGTACGAGAAAAGAAAGCTTAACGCCAAACCATGTTCAAATTAAAATAAGCTTAAAGACGTATTTTTATGCGTATCATAGAATACACCAAATTGCGCGAACGAGACTCGGCAGAACAACATCTGTCTTGTCAACGTCTATAAAAATCATATATTGTTTTTTAATTGTTTATTACGTAATTTTTTTTATCGAATTTATGTGAGTTTAGCCTTAACGTGCAGGTAACATTACTAAAGTTTAATTTGAGCCAACCGCTTGTATTACCGCATTTCTTTAAGGTTTTGTTATACAATTCAAAAAACCTCAACGGCTTTTCATTACCTCAAATCACAGTCGTAAAATAATTTAAAAAGTGGACTTATTTATCAGCATTTTACTGTCGAGAGCAATTCAGTTAGATCAGGAATATTCCGGCAGTCTTTATTTTCTAAAGCACGAAATTTGTTTCTCTAACATTTTTTATTGAAAGATATTGTTTTATAATTACATTGAGCATAAATTTAATGATTTTTGAGATCGATAAGGTAAGATTAATCGCACGTTTATTCAAAGTCATCTTTATGTCAAAATAGAGCTAACAGTGCGGGAGCTCACATTAAGTGTTTAATGCTATGAGGTAGCACTGTGTATTATCTCCCGACCGAATTAACCGCATTTTTTTGTGCAAACAGGTGGCAAAAAAGGAGGATCTTGTAAAGTGTTTTGGCAGTGATGACCAAACAAGAATCTGCGAGCAAATCTTAAATAAGGGAGAATTGCAGATATCAGACAAAGAGCGACACGCGCAACTTGATGCGACATTTAAGGATATAGCCAACATAGTTGCAAACAAGACAGTGAATCCCAACACGAAGCGGCCGTACCCCGTAACAATCATTGAAAAATCCATGAAGAGCGTGCACTTTTCGGTGAACATGAACCGATCACCAAAGCAACAGGCTCTCGAAGTCATCCAGAAGCTGAAGGAGATCATTCCACTAGAGCGGTCACAAATGAAGCTGCGCGTTGTGATACCATCGGGCAAGGCCTTTCGGGACCGCTTATGGCAGCTGGCTTCATCTACTGAGCTGGATGAAATCAACGTTGCGGGTGAACTCGAAATGGTCTTTCTCACAGATCCTGGAAATTATAGAGCTCTCGACGAAATAATTCATAAGGAAACAAAAGGAAAGGGTACACTTGAAGTAGTTAGTCTCAAGGAAGTGGCAGAAGGAGACGAAATGATTGAATAAATAATGATAACACACTCTACAGTAGCCAGACATTTAGGTAATCACTTTTCGTTAACACTGAAGTAAGGATTGATGCTGCACTGTTCAATTATCCTTCTACCCTCAGAAAGCGATGAGCCGGATTAAAGCATTAGCTCACGCGTGTTAACGTGAGGAAAGTATCAACAAATTTATTTGAACAGGGGGATATTAGTTTCACTGGAACAAATTCATTCAGACTCGTTAAAGATTGCAAAACTTTTTGAAGCTTCGACATAAATACATTAAATAAACGGAGTTGACTAATAATTCCCTGAATTTTTTTGACAAAAGACAATGGAAAGCATTTTTGTTGAAGTTATTAATCTCCAGATTCGTAGCCTATAGATCACTAGAGTTTTCTTACCAAGTGTAACTTTGAGTTTTATACATTCTGAATTTTTCCTATTTTTAGAAACTGCTAGTGTGATTAGTAATAGGTAAGCATAGCTGAAGCTCACTTGAAGTGGAAAAAAATCAACTACTGTTCTAGCGAAGTATGTCGTCACAGTTTAGGAGTTTAGAAATTCTAAAGCAGCAGTTTCGAAGGCTCGTGATGGTGGCAAAATCGTGGAAGTAAGGTCAATTGACGTTTACATTCCTGCTGAGCTGTTATCATTTAATAACGCTAGCTTAAATTTCAGACTCAAAAGCTAGTAGCTAGTCGCGTGTGTGGATTTCACAAAGATTCAGCGACAGACACCAGCAGTTCTAAGATTCTAGAGCTTAAAATATTCTCAAATGTTCTAGAATTCATACAACATATGAAGCTTATTAATCTAGAGGAAACAAAACAGCAAAACTTTCTAAGGATTTCTAAGGAAATTCAGCCTCGTTTCTCTATGGCTACTCTGGTTATCCGTTATGCTTGTTAGCAATAAGTTCTGCCAAAAAATAGCCGCCAAAAAATAGCCGTAATTAGACATTTACATTTTATTGGTTTATTTATATAAGTTCATTTACTTTTTATTAGGTTGATAGCAATTACTAATAATTATTATAATAAATAGTTATGGTTCGTGTGGTTTCTTGATAAGAGATGAAATCACAGCATTTTAGTCACGGCATTTCTTTGCCTGATCTCTGTCTCCTGCTTCCTTTCTTTTGCTCTAGCCTTGATGAAAATAGAAGTTTCTCAAGCTTCACCTACAAATCTAACTGTGTCCCTTTACAGCCATCATCCTCACTGCAAGTAACAATTGTGAGTGGCTCTGTCCTTTATTTTTTTTCTTGTGTTTTCACCATAAATACATCATACTGTTACCCGATACGTCATTTCAATAATTCATAACTGCATATTTTTTTCTATACAATGATTGTAATACCGGGAGTTCTTTCTTCAGTTTATGTAATTCATTTCGATTTTTTGGACGTTGGTTTGTCTTGTTTGATGCTGCTGCTTCACCGGCATAGCTCACTGTTGTTAATCAACAAGACGTGTGATTAATATTAACGAACCTAAACTCATTTCTGCTTATGTGCTTTCCATATTATGAATGCATGAATGCACTTATTTGTTACCCGTTAACGTCTTATTGTTTGTGTGTTTCGTTTATAGATGTATTGTGTGACAAAAGTTTCTTTCTCTCTCTTCCCATATACATCCTAAATGGGGCTAATTTGAACACGGGCAAACATCATTTGTCCAGCCTATTTAGTCTTCCCCGATGTCGTGGTATTTTCTTACCGCCAGCTGGACTAGATTTCTAAACAACATCGTTTCAAAAGAAACGGTGCAGCATGGTACGTTCTAGTTGTATACAACAGATGCAAGACGACGGCGTCTTCCTTAATTCTACTAGATTCATTCAAACCTATATTTATACTCTATATTCAAAGGTTGTCGTCATCATCATCCTAATGCTACATTAATCTTTTCTATATAACTCTCTCTCTCCACTTGCTTATATAATATATATATATATATATCCACTTGCTTATATAATATATATATATATATATATATATATATATATATACCTTAATATGAGTTAATTGCAACATCGTTTCAATTCAACATCTTTCGTTATCATCATAATGATCGTCATCGAAGGTCGTTCGTCACAAATAATTATCAGCCCTATACGAAAAAGATCTCGTACGCACCTCACTCAATTAATCAAAATCGAGATCAATGCTTTCTTTTTAGCGCCCACGAGACGTTGCCGCTTCTGCTTTTTCTACTGCTGTTATCAGTAGTCACGTAGTCTCGTCGCGTATTCATGCTCATTCCGGTTTGCTCACACGTTCGCTGCTGTGACAGGCTGTTGTCTATACGTAACATCATTATCAGCCTCATCAGGGTTTCCTGTCCGCATTATTTTTCGTTCGTTGCTGTCGCTGCTTAGGACGTGCTTATCGCCGGTCCCAGCCTGCGCACCCTCATCAGCGCATTCGTCACAGCTTCGTCTTCGCTTCTTCTTTTTCTTTTCTGCCAGCGATTCTTTGCCCGAATCAGATTCACAGCTGCTGCAGCAGCTATCATCATCCGAACTACTCGACGAACTATCGCCTCCCGATGAATCCGAAGCGACTCCGCAGTCCTCGTTCACGTTTATCTGGTCCGCTATTGCAGCGAGCTCCGGCTTCCTGATCCGCAACTCAGCTAGCCATTTCTTGCTAAGCTTCGGTCGACCTCGCACAGTTTTGTGCCAAACAATTGGAAAGTTTGTGACCGAGCAGAAGTTTTGCGTTACCGCAATCGTGGTGTCAATATTGAGCACGACATGCCACCATCCTCCCGGAACAAACACTGTCTCGCCAGGACCCTGAAGAATCTCTAGCGGCCGGAATTGTTCGGGCCATTCGCTTGACTGTGTCTTCGGATAGATGATATCGAACCAAGCTACAGCTTCGTCGTTCTGTTTGCCGCCTTCCCCGGGTCGAAGCTTGATCAGCTCGCGAGGTGTGTCAGTTGGGAAAAGGCACCAACGTTTATGACCAACAATAAGTGAGTTCCACGCTGAGGTGCCCAACGGGTCAATGTGAATACCCGTTCCTGAACGTGCCGAACCCATAACAAACCAACGAAAAGGTGGCCGACTCTTTTCCGAGGCATACTGGAATAAATCATCTCGAAAGTAGATAGGGACTTCGTAGTCTTCGAGAAGCTTTTTCTTGCGTGGGTGCTCACCAAAATTGCCGTCGAATATGTACAGTGGACTGTCATCGGCATTGTTATTCATGTAGTGTACGAAATACTTCATCTTCATCTTGACGCTGTAGCCATCGTTGTCTTCCCCGCATTTAAACTTCTGATTTCGATATTTCCGATCCACGCGTTGCTCAGTCCATTTGTATGAAGCCTTCCAGTCGTCTGTGCATCCCTGGATCACGACAGGCTTGTAGGGCTTTTCATACTCTTCGATAAATCTATCAGGTGTATAGTGTTTAACGTGAATACGTGACACGTTGTCTTTTACTGATTTCGGATCAACCAGTTCAGATTTACGCGCGTATCCCAATTTTTCCCATAAATCTTCTGTCTCCCCATTTCGCGCGGCTAACTCTGGTCGGGCCTTGAGCTTTACCTCGACGATGCGTTTTTGACCCCGTCGTGATAGCCGGTCAGAGTCCGAGTCCATCTAAAGCAAAAATATCAATGAGATATTTAGATATTTAGATTTTTAAAGGTACTTGGGGATGCTAGGTACAATATATTACTTACACTAGTACGTGTAAAGACATCTTCTTAACTCATTTACAAATAAACTATTTAAATATAGAATAGAAATATAGAAGAGTAATGAGAATTATTGTCATACTCGAGGACAGAACAACAACACATCAATGGTTAATTAGGAGTAATAGGCAACTTTGAACATTAGTTATACATACCAATATATTTTTAGTTACCCTACCAAATATATATTACACATATAGGACAGTGATGTTTCTATCAAATGTTGGTGAATGATCGACTCAAAGCATGTTTCAAGATCACGGCTCAAGGTAGCACTAATCAATTTAAAAAGGCTATATTCTCGTTGTCATACGTTCTACAAATAGACGCGGTCTTGCTAACGATAACGATATTAATTAGGTCATACGGCAAATATCTATGTATCCTTTTTAGAACCCTTCAATGTGATTGGATGCTGCTGCTCAAAACAGATGATCTTATGAGGACCCCCTACACAAATCCTGCTTTTCTCTTTGCGCGGCCACTAGTCGCACTTTCTCTTCTTTAAATATGATAAAAAGAACCGCTGACTTATCAAATGCATCAGGTGTCGGGTAAAACATTCAGTCAAACACAATGGGAGCCGCATCACAACAATACATTGTTCTTTTCAATATCTAAACATATACAAAGTTTAGTTTGCAGTGGTCAAGGGCATCGAACGAATATTCCATTTAACTTACTTTTTTTCTGAAGTTGCATACGGTAACAGTGGAAGCTGAATCAAAAGTAGACCAACAATACGCATCGATAAGCTAAACTAGCAGTGCGCTTCATTCGAATTTTAGCTAACTAGCAAACAGTGCATTGTCAGCATTCATTTTATAAAATTTTATCTTTTGTCTGCGACTTTGTTTGACCTACCGTGCTCCACTTACGCAATCAAGGATATAACCCGCTTCTCACCTCTACCGGAAGTATTCATCACGGTAGGCACCTGTCAGTATCTCATAGTCAAGTCAATCAGTTCCAACTGGATGTATGGCCAAGTGTCGTTCAGGCACAGGCGCATAATGACAAAAAAAATTTCTAATGAACTAACCCGACTACATATCGTTCGTAAACTATAGAATAAACAATCTGGTCTTCTTACTTTTTTCGTGTAGGTTTTACTATCTGATTTCTTCAATCTTGTCACTCTTAACCACCACTACGTCATGTCACTGCACGTATTTACTATCACAACTGTCACAAAAACCATTCCATACTGCTTTCCGTTCACTCGACCACGATTAACGAAAAACTTCGTTGCTCAGCACGGCAAAAAACTCACCTCAGCGCCACTCCCCATGACACTACTTAGACGCTGCCCGCCTCTACTTGACCCTCAGAACGACTCGTTGATGTTCCTGAGCACCCTTAAGAGTATTGCGTTCTATTGTTGCGTTTTCAGCCGTTCACTCACTCATTCGTTGGCTTACTTTAACGCTGTGTTACCTTCTTATATTGTCCTCTGTTCTACAATCTGACCGATAAATCTGTTTATTTATATCCGACCATTGTAGCAGACGAAAATTGGAGCGGCGCTTTGTCGACAAAATCATTGGAAACGTTGAAAAAATTGTGAAGTAATGTTCAGCAGAAAATACGAAAACACAATTACGAATTTATTTATTATGTACAAAGCATCTGTCGCTGTTCAACGTTCAGAGGCTGCAATCTCGTGGTTTGCTATTCGAATTGGCCGTTATCCGTAAACTTTTAAAGCGGGCCTTTTCAAAATGTAAATAAGCACTGTTTCTACTGACCGCGCAGACCGTGCTTGAGATAGATGGTGTACAAAGCAAACCGCAGAACGAATTTGATTTCGCTTCAAATATTCGTTGAACATTTAGGAAGTCGCCTCTCTCTAAGATCTGTTAATGACAGCAGCAGCTAGTTGACAGCTGTTACGATGCATGCCAGGATCCGGGTAAGATGCAGTCAGGACATTGGAAATACTAAAACAGTTTTCTTGGCCAGTTTATTCGTTTTGTGTAGTTTGAAGATAAACCACACAGTGATACTTCAGAGAAAAGGTAAAAATAAAAATTACATAGCCGAAGATTTTGACATAGAACAGTACGGTGTTCGGGGCTGATGACAAGGCTGATTGAAAGCTTCGTCTTCGCGAGAGCGCAATGCGAAATGTCTGCTGGATTCTCATTCCGTTTTGTGCTAGCAAAACTTAGGTGTCCAAAGTAACGCCTAAAGGCTTAAGTACTGGACGTTAAACGCGAAGAAAAAAGTACAAACCAATGCTTTAGTGATTTAAATACATCAAATCGAATATGTATAATATTAACTTAATAGTTCCAAAACTTGGTTTTGGTGGTAACAGAGCGTCGAGACAATATGCATAAGTTTAGGGAAACTAGGTAGGTTTTGGTTGGCAGTGTGACTTTCTTTTTATTCTACCTTACACACTATCTCTTACGAAGGTAACTCTTATAAAAGACCTTACCTCATGACCATAGATTTCCAGTGTAGAGCAAATATATTTGAGAATTGGAAGAGGAAATGTAGTAATCCTCTCATTAGCAATGGGATACCTTTAATAGTGCTGTCGTTATTATATACATTCTATGCATATATAAACAACGTTCTTTCCTTTTTCACCGCCCAGTACAATAACGTTGCGAAATATTTTTCTCTATTGAAAGTGGTATATTTATTCTTGCACGAAATGTTAGTGGAGCCCTTACACAAAATACAATATAATCATTTGCAGTGCCCTGACTTAAGCACAAGAATGCCTCTGGCCTACGCCTAATTTCAATATTATGGTTTTGCTAACAACAATTGATTGATGCTGTGTAAAATCTCACAAAAAATGGCTCGCTCTGACTACCCAACCATCAATAATGTCACAATTCTTTTTCTAACACATAACGTAGAAGTGTAGATCAAGTTTTTTGTAAGTGTTGTACAATCTTCTAAAACGTTGCCTTCTAATATTAGTTATTATTTCCTGTTGTTCCATTTCATATTTGAAGGTAGTCTTATTATAACTATTATTTTTAATTTGTGCCAATCAGCATCGAGTCAACTTTTTCATTAACATTTTATTTTAGTTGGTACCTGGTCGAGCAAGCCAGTGCATTCGATGTTTCAACGCCCGGCCTTTGCTTGAGGAGGTACTTAACGATTTGGAAGCTGCTGATCGCAACGTTACTGCTCGAAAAAACTGGGTAAACATTGACGAGCTGAAGAAGTTGGCTGAAGATGCTCAACTGAACCAGATAAGTGATGAATTACCTTCCAGATTACATACTCTTGTCAAGGGTTTGCCTAATTGGACGCATGAGGCTGTTCGTAATGCGAAAGAACCCATTGTAACGCACGAGTTTGGCAGTAAGGTCGATCCTCCAGCCCGGCGAATGCCTGAAAATGCGAAGGGTTCAGGACTTTTGCTTCAGAACAGCGACTACACAATGATATGCGGGAAAAGAACTTATTTTCTTACCGGTGACCTTGTTAGGCTTGAAAGGGCGTTGATACGGTATACTTTAGACAGACTACGGAACCATGGATTTCAACTGGTGTCCGTGCCGGATCTGTTTAGGGCTGAAGATATTGAATTGTGCGGGATGCAAACGACCGGTCAGAGGAGCCAAGTTTACCACGTTGACATGGCGAGCAATAATGCTAAACTGTGTCTTTCGGGAACATCGGAGATTGCTCTAGCAAACTTATTTAAGGGCAAGGATATTCGTAAGTAGTCTCCAGTTCAACGTTTGCTTGTAACTTTGCTGCTCGCTATTTTTCCCTGGAGAAAGTCTTGACCAGTGTAGTCTCAAAGGCATTCCAAATATTGTTTTATTTAATTGAGTGACATATTTTTTCGTATATATGTGTCTTGTTCCTGCAGCCCGTCAACATCTACCCAAAAAACTATGCTCGATCAGTCGATGTTATCGAGGCGAAGTATCAACATTTAAAGAAGAGAAGGGCCTTTATCGTGTTCACCAATTTACGAAAGTCGAAATGTTCGGGCTCACCGAAGGATCTTATGAGCGAAGCCAGGAGTTACAACAAGAGTTTTTACAGATCGAGATGTCATTGTTTGCCGATCTTGGGCTACATTTCAGGGTGCTTGATATGCCACCAGCAGATTTGGGTGATTCCGCTTACAGAAAATTCGATATAGAAGCTTGGATGAGCGGCCACGGATTTTATGGTAAGTATTATATACGCTCAAAGAGACAGAAAGCTGTACATACATTTTATATTCATATGCAAGTAGTAAATGAGCTGCACAGAAAATATGGTTATATGATTAGGCAATCTGTATTCTAAAAGATACTCATCCGAGTAGCTAACCGGAACTAGTTTGGAAATATTTTTGATTTTCTCAATAAGGAAAACAAACGTATTTAGTATCGCGGCTGATGAGCGCTATTATGTATTAGTCAGTTCCTTTGAAATCAGATTGTAAAGTAATAAACGCAGATACATTATTTATAAGAAATAAGTTGTACTGTTAAAAATAGGAGATTGCCTGCATTATTTATAATTTAGTTCTGTCTTGCTGTCCTGTTGCACCCGGATCTACGTATTTCGAAAACTACATGCCTGCTATCCCCTAAACAGATAAGCTTCTTCTTATCGACACAGTTAAGATGAGGTCGTAATCGTTTTTTTTTTTCTTCTTTTCCATTACATTACTTACTCATATTTACTAGGTGAGATCTCGTCAACATCGGATTGTACCTCATACCAGGCTAATCGTCTTGGGATTACATCTGAAGGCAAATATGTCCACACGGTGAATGGGACTGCGTGTGCTATACCGAGAATGCTATTAACGATCGGAGAGACGCATGCAAAAACAAATGGAATACTACGGGTGCCTCAGGCTAGTGACTGTCTTAATATCATATCTAATACTAATATATATAATATATATATATATTTTTTAATATATATATATTATATATATATATATATATATATATTAAAAAAATTAAAAAAATGCATTCAAGCTAAAACAAAAGCATTACAACGCCACCGGAGACGTTTTGGCAAGTTTTAAATTAGGGCGTGATGCAAGCGTTTCTGTGTGATGGATCTACTGGGTTTTGTAGATGACGATATGTTTTTCCTTGAAGTGATCTACAATGTATCTACGGAGATTTGGAAAATGATTTCATTCTATACATATATACAATAATGGAGTCGAAAACCTTATATCCATTTTCTACTTATTCTTGTAATTTTTCTTAAGTTGTAATATTTCAAGCTAAGTGACAACAAAGTAGAAAATGTATATCCGTGTTCTACTTATTCTCATAATCTGTTAAGTTGTAACATCTCAAGCTAAGCCACAATTTAGTGACGACAACACTATTTGGTTACAGGTTCTAAATAAATATCTAGATAAAGAAGAACTTCGGCCAGAGCACGCTTTCAGGAGATGGAAATACCTGCCGTATTATTATTTCGAAAACCGCCTTGCAGATGAAAACGAAGGTAACAGGGCATATGTTGCAACCAATAAGACAGACGTTAGCAAGTCTTCAACGTGAAAATTCCGAATCCGCCACCGCTTGTCGAAGGGCCTTTCACACAGCTAAAGAGGCTGTTTATAGCCTACTTACTTAATTTTAAATAGAATCAATAAAATTTTAAATCTACGTGTATACATCAATACAAGTTCATTATATACTGTGTCATATATATATATATATTTACTATATATACAATGTTTAAGAACGTTATGTTTGCAGCATGTTATGAACATCGCACATGATGCTAATTTGTTTGTGCGTTTATTTTAGTGAAAAACGGTTTACTAGAGAAATAGGAATTCGAACTAGTTTGCATGTCAACCAAAGGATTGAACCAATTGAATCTGATTAGACCGTGACTTAGTCCAATCAATATGTATCAGTAAAATCGTTATAGCACCTGCTTTTGACGCGAAGTTTTTAACATCTTAAGGAAAATGAAGGCAGCGGTTTGTTTCGTTTAGTGTGTGCTAAAATGTTTTAACTAACTGTTAAATTAAACGTCCACTTTGCAAAAAGTCAACCAGTTGGCAATCAATATTTAACATGCATCTAATGAAAGAAGAAATCGTGTAAAGTTTCGACGCTTTTTATGTCAACACGAAAAATATTTTTATATTCGTTTGCAGTGTAGTCTTGCAGGTACCCGTTTTGTATTGAGTTGCTACTAACTTAGGATTTTAACTTCTCCTGAATAAGCGCCTCAAGTTTACGAGCGTCTGCAGCAAACTTGCGTATTCCATCTGAAAGCTTGTCAGTAGCCATTTGATCTTCGTTCATATCCCATCGGAATCGCTTCTCATCGACACTGATTTTTTCTAGCTCTATGCTGGTAGCTGAAAAATACAATCCAGAAGAAATCATTAAGCAATAGAGAACCTTATGATGTATTCATAATGATCATAGAAAATCTATTCATAATAACAATAAGTAACGTATGTTTGCTTTGATAATACATGTTCAGCAATATGTTTCCATAAATTTATTATATAACACCATAATACATGAATAATATATTGCAGAAACAGTTGCTAACATTCATGGATGTATGTGACCTTTTTTAATTTAATTTAATTTAAAGGCTTAAACGTGTACGGCACAAATGCTGAGCCTGCAGGATAATCGTAGTCTCTAAAGCCAGAACACTAGGAGAAAGCATAGTATTCAATACAATTCCTTCTGCATCTGCTACAAATATTGCCTTTTTTAGACTCATGAAAGCGCCCACCTGCACATTATTTGTGCTGGAAGTCGTGAAACAGGTGACAACGTATCGGTTAATTTCTTCTACATGTAACTCTCATAATGACGACGACTTCCTAAATATTGACACCTACCCCCAAAACCGTAAAAACTTTCACCGTATTACTACTTAACAAACAGAAAAATGCACATAAAACAATTCCTTAAACGTAAACCTACAAAACCGAAGCAGTTTTCTTTTTTTAATTTACTCGGTTTCTTAGTTTGTTGCCTGAATCTTAGTTTGCTGCTAATTTTATTCCATTAATTTATCTCTTATAATACCCACCATTTTCGGCCTTGAGATAGTGTGGTACTAGTTCGTTGGAATTAGCAAGCTCTTTGAGAAGGCCAGGACTAATCGTGAGTAGGTCGCATCCTGCAAGCGCTTTCACTTCACCCGTATTACGGAAAGAGGCACCCATAACAACAGTTTTGTACCCAAATTTCTTGTAGTAGTTGTAGATCCTAGTAACACTTTTCACTCCTGGATCTTCGAGTGGCTCAAACGCTTTCTTGTCCGTGTTTGCTGTATACCAGTCAAGGATACGGCCAACAAAAGGTGAGATTAACGTGACACCCGCCTCTGCGCAAGCGATTGCCTAAAATACACGAATGGCATATCCTGTTTTATTATACGGCCAACAAAGGGTGAGATTAACGTGACACCCGCCTCTGCGCAAGCGATTGCCCAAAATACACGAATGGTATATCCTGTTTTATTATACGCATATGGCGGAAAGATCTACAATGTTTATTATCGTTGAATCCTGATTTTAAAAATTAATAGGAAAAGTTCGCGTATAGGTCAGTTTGGTTTTTTGATTGAAAATACTCATGGTAGGGCCGACAGATTATGCAGTCGTGCGTAAATCTCTGTTAATTCTTTCTATTTGCATGTCATATGGCATCTACAAGTTCTACTTTAAACCAGGTCAGTTGATTTATTCGGGCTTCTAGTGTCAAAAGCAACACCCGTATACCTGGGTAAAGTTAAAGAGTAGCGTCATGTTACAATGGATGCCATGTTCTTTCTCCAGGATTCGAGCTGCCTCGATACCCTCCCATGTAGAAGCCAATTTTATAAGTACACGCTCCTTAGGCACACCTAATTCTTTATAGAGCGAAATCAATTTGACGGCCTTATTAATCGATGCATCCTTGTCGAAGGACAACCTACAGAAGAGAGAAAATACATTTTAATATTATATATTAGAAGTTTTTATAAATCATCTGGTGGATTACTAAGATATAGATCCCACATACCAGACCTATAAATGCAAACAAGACAATTACTGAATCACCAAATAATGAGCACTGACCTGGCATCAACCTCCGTTGACACTCTTCCAGGGATAATCTTAAGAATCTCATTTCCAAACAGTACGAATAACTTATCCATAGCTTCTTCGAGCTGTTCACACGGAGTTTTTCCTTTACCTCGACCATAGCTGACTGCTTCGTCGATGAGGGCTTGATACTGTGTAAGTTTGGCGGCTTGAAGAATCAGCGATGGGTTCGTCGTCGCATCCGTTGGTTTGTACTCCTTCATAGCTTCGCAAAAAAATATCAGAATAACTTACATAATGGAGTTACATATTTTTTCTTAAATGTAGATCTCATCTAAACAATAGTTTGCAAATGCAGAGTGTATGGTGGTAAACTCAGATGGCGGTCATCAAAAAACCGACAATAAAAGGTCGTAAAACGAGAATCGTTTCTGTCCCGGGTATATTACACATCATTATTACGTATTATTATCAAGTATACGGCTCTAACAGTTTGGGAAATCACCGACCAAACAGCGAATTTCCGGTATACTTTATAAACAGCTACCTGGGAAACGATAGTAACGATACAAGATATATCCATGAATTTTTTCCTTCTTTTGTAGCACAAATTAGTACTATTTATCGGTTTTCAAGGTCTGTGAAATGCGCAAATCTTCTGAACCTTTCAGATGGTATGCAGGAAAGAATTTTTGCTAAGTTAACAGTTTATCAACGAAAATGATTAGAAATAGTCTTTAAACGCGATACTTGTGATGGCGTCGAGTCCAAAATAACATCTACAAATCTTTTTCCTCTTATCAAAGTGTGCTCGTGCAATAAGGTGCTAGCGTGCCAATACAGTTCCTATAAGTACATATAAGTAAATTTGAATTTACTTGTTCTCCAGGGCCTGTTCATGCTTTACGTATGCCGTAAAGTATTTTTCAAAAACACCACCGATAAACACCGCCGATGTTTTACTCCGTTGTGCTATATGAGACCATCGGCCTGCACCAAGTTTCAGCTGATTTTCAACAATAACAACACGATACAATTATATGCACGCATTTAGTTCTTAGCGGCACATTGTAGATATACTTCTCCCATTACAAGCTTTGAAATTGACTCCTTCCTTTTACCGGTTACTTTTTCTGCGGGGGCTATCTCTTTGGACATTCTCCGCATTCTGAGCCGCATGATACAAGGTGGTATGCTACTATCATATTCGTATGTGCGTCTGCCTCAGGCCACCCATAGCAATATCATCTTCAAGCCACTGGAAGACTTCTAATTAAGACTAGGGGAGTAAATGCAGTCGTAACTGTTCTAGACGGACACGAAAGGTTTTGCGTTGAGTTAGACAGATTGGCAAAGTCTTAGGTAGTTCTACTTATTAAGACGTTGCTGATATTATATGTAAGGTTAGTCCTTTTATTTTCTGATTGACGGTGGTGAAAAATTATCAGAAATGGGGTCAAGGACCTGCTAAAAATTTCTCTCGCTGTAGTATTGTACATTAATCAGACGAGCGATGCGTGTCCGGGGTAATCTCTTGATTGAGGCTGTTGCCAGGAGCATTGTACGCCCGCCCGCTTTCCCTCTCTATCGCTCGCCTGCTTGCGCATCTTTCGGCCTTTAATTTTTCACGACTTACCTACTCAAGTGCTTATTCAGTCTATTTAGAGGGGGCAAATGTTCTACCAAATTTAGCTCAGACGTATCCCGAAATCATGGTACCATTATATCACGATATGTGAATCGGACAAAGAGACATATGAATGACATGCAATAAGGATAGTGGCGGAGTATTAGCACCTTTTGCAGCCCCAACTATCGTAAACTTTCACAGGCTCTTGCGGCCAGATACTATTAGGATAAAACATTTGCAATATTTGTATGGTAATCATTCAGATATGGTCTCGGTACTTTGTACCCGTATCGAACTATGAAAAATAAGACATTGGAATAAACAAGACGCATAAATCACACGCCATCACATATCGTCATCGAAAATTGAGCGGATTCAGCTATCCTAAAACAATTCAAACAAAGCTCTAAATAATGGAGATCGTGTCGCCACCGAAATCGTTGCAGTTATACCAAATCGCCCACAAAAGGGTACCGTTATGACCGGCAGTCCAAAAAACTTCAATTCTTCAATTCTTTCCGTTCAATTCTTTGTTAATATGGTATGCCTCAGATCAATATGCTTCCTCTATTTGTGAAAGGGCAAGCCTCGCTTTTGGGCCTTGCTCCTTGGGTCCCTATTTCATATTCGTTTGGTTGTGAGTCACACGTCGACCACCAGAACTGCACGTGGCGAATATGTCACACCACAGGCGGCAGCGTCAGTAATTCGCTGTGGGCCGCCCACTGCGGTCTTGTGATGCGCGTCGTCACTCCTGTAGATATTTCAAGTTCATGTATCGTTCGAGAACGAGCGAGAAATTGCCACCCACGTCATGCCTTTTCACTGAGTGATACGCTAACTATGATAATTTCTCTCTTGGAACGGGATTATGATGACAAAAACCTTCCAAAAGTCGGAAGGTCAATCTTGAAACATGTAGGGAGCGTCGTTTAAAAAACATATATCGAGTTCGTTCATCAAAATACCATTTCTATCGCTAAATGACAAACATGTTCTGTTCGATTTGAAAAAGATTTTTTTAAAAAGGCTCTTTGATCATACTCGAAATAACAGACTCAATCACAACAGAAATCCAGTGGCAGATATATGCCATAGTATAATATATTGAAAATAAGCAATTTGGTAGTGGTACAATATCAGATTGCTGCTTGATGTATTAAGGGTTCTGTATCTCTATTGGGTCTGTGTATTGGTAAGTGGGGTACATATTATGACGTAACACTTACGCGAACATTTAACTCAATATGGATATACCTCACAAGGCAAGCTTTAATCTGACAAAAACAATTATTATAATAACTCACGCGACCCTCCGAGGAGGTCCCTCTTGAATAAGCGTTGAAGACGTGGCGTTTTAAAATCCCTCACACATCACTCGCAATAGGTAAGTATTTAACTGTGCTACTGCCTAAAGCTCCTGAGTGCGCTTTTGAAAAATGGATGAAACTTTCCGAATCTTTGAAATCTCGCGACTTACACTGCGTTAGCATAAAACGAATGTAGGTTAAAAAACAAACACTAAAAGATAAGCATCGATAATTGCCATCCTTAAACATAAAATCCAGGTTGGTTTTGATTTTCGGAACGTGACGTCGCGAACCTTTTTTTATCTCATATATAGCGAAATTTTTTACAAAAATTCCGCATAACCCAAAAAATTATTCGGTAGCAATCAATTCCGCTTGGGACATAACACTAAGAACTAGCATAAGACGAGGCATTAACCATTACAACAGAGTTACATTTTCTCTTAAACGACGAACACGTACACACATCTATATCGACACCACGTCATTCCTGTAATTACGTGTACCCGTTCAGCCCTATCTTCCATTCGGACTACAGAAACTACACTAATTTTCTATTTATCACTATTATCGTTTGTTGCCACGAAGTTGCTGTCGTCTCAGGACAACTTCATTTGATCTAACAATCCGGCTTCAATGTGGGCCTTACTTTGTGGTAAATTTAACATAATCTACACGGTGTGGTAACGAATATTGGTGAATATCATTAAAGATCGAATCATCAAAAAAATCAAGTAATTAATAACATATCTAATCGTAAGAAACATTTCCCACTCATTTGCGCACAGACGAAATCATTTCTCTCTTAATACCCGTGAATGTCGCCATTATAATTCTTACACTACACAGTAATTACCATCCATAATACAGTCTGTGGTAAGCGTAAGTCTACAATAGATCCGTTGTACAGTTAATCTCTTGTCGAAGCTTTCTTTATAGAGTGCTATTTTATCACTAATAATACGCTTCGAATTCGGAAGTACGTTCATACATATATATAATCTGGTCCATCTAACAGGAAATAGAAAGAAAGGGCATGCGTTATTTTTAACCCAACGAATTTAGCCCTATACTACTGCGCTACGATACTTCTCATCTACTTGGAAACAACGGCACAACTTGGTTTACTCGTCATTATAGTTCAATCCATAGGAATCAAGCAGAGCTCATGTCAAGCTTCAAAAACGGGGTATCATTGTATAATGAGACCCTTTGCCCCAGAAAAAAACCATGGCCGAACAACCAGTTGCGTTTGTAGCACACACATTTTACACATATGAAAATCTACACACATACGCTATTCACGTTTGCCATTATCTGCAGTCGTGGGCCGTTTTCGAACTCATTTTGACTTGCTGTTTCTTTCTGCTTTATTTTATTGGCTGTATAGCTTGAATAGGCGCTGCCTGAGCCACGATATCTGTGCTAAATACTGATTACAGTATCAATCGAACAGAAACAAGTTACACTCTACTTACAACTGTCTCGCGGAGGTTCTGGCGACGCTCTCGCGGTGTAGAAACCCATCGAACACAGCACAAACATCTACTGACAGATCATAAAAGGGGACATTGTGAAGCTCGTTGACGTGGTCATTTCAACTGTGTTATTTCTTTTTTCGAAAACCGACATTTTGTCGATTAATTATTCTTATACGCTACTCGTACTTGCTTCACAAATACTCACCCTCAAAATCGCCGGTGTCGGCTACCACAATGGTAAGCTCCTTTAGTTGATCGAGGCAAGACATTGTCACTTTTTTGGCGTTGTCGTTTGAACAGCCACTATTCATTGCACTGTTCCTTCGATTCGCAAGCGGATTTATAAATACTCGAACGATAATAACAACAACAACAATAACGATGAAGCCGGTGACGATAAAGACGTCTATGACAGAGCGGCAAGGCGGTCGTGTCAGTGGAAGGGGCGATTAATAATAGTGTCCGCTTGCTTCCACTGCGCGCCGGTGGCCGGCAATGGTCATGTCAATGGCAGCCTCCCGAACGGCAGAGGCGTCACTGACGCAGTAGAAAACGGCTGCGATAGGGGCAAATGGGCGCGAAACGACGGTGCTGCAAGAGCAATTTTTTATGTTGTACACGAAGCAAAATTTGGCTGGTTTATGTGTTGAACTGTCCGTCACCCGGTGACCGGTCACCGGTTACTGGAATCAGTGGCGTGTGCCAGCGAACTCACCGGGCCTACCCGTGAAGCCATTACACTCATTGGTTCCACAACTGCCTTCTACTGGTATTGTTTTTGCTGTTTGTGATGCGGCCGCTGCAGCTAGCACTGGCCAAACGGAAGATGGCGGTTGACGAAACTGCTGCTGTTTTTCGACCGCCCTTAGAGAACCCCAGTAAAACCGCTCAAGGCTTCCTCGATCGTATAGAATAGTCGATTGTAGCAGCCGGCGCTAGCACAAGCGGAATGGGCGCGCTTCTTCAAATCGCAGTGGGAACCAACGCAGCGGCGACACTAGGCACACGAAAATCCGTTCTGTCGTTTGTATATTTGTAGTATGGTAAACTGTACTGTTTTGCCGTTTGTACCTTATAGAATTAGATGCATATGCGCACGCTTTACCCTAATAAAATTTTTATAGACGCACGCTACGAGGGAGAGTTTCGTTAATTAGCTTGGGTATAGCCTTGTAGGTGTCAGTTGTAAAACAAGTTTGAACTGTGTTCAGAAATTTATTCGGAGGGAAAATATATTCTGTTGGTGGTTTGACTTTTTCAAATAATTTGTTTATTGTGTTTTAAGCATTGACTACTAAACGTAAAGAAAAGAGCTATACATATTTCAGGTTTTACATCTGGTACCGCCGCTAAGTTTCGCTTTAGACAGCAAGCTTTACGCATAAACTATACTTACGGTCGGTTACAGAAAAAAGAGCTAAGCAGTAATAACTGGCAGTAAGAACCGTCTAAAACGAATAATAAAATGTTGACCGGGCTGATAAAACTTGAAATTGTATAGAAGTTTTTATTACCGAATTACATTCTTTCAAGTCCTTAGAAGCCTTCCTAGGTAATGGGTTGTTCAATACCGATTATGACTTAATGTATACATTCGTGGAAGGTTATGTATCTGAACGTTAACCTTCGGAAAGTATTTGTATGGGAAATACTCCCCTAGCTGAGAAACGTGTCTTCCATCTCAAGGTAAAGGTAGCGCTTTAAAATAAATTGAGATTGTGTTCCTGATTGATTTTAGTGAATTATTAGTATTAGATGTGTTTGGCGAAGAGTAGTGTGATAAATAATATCGAATGTTATAAAAGAATATCGTATTCCCTAGTGCGAAAAATACCTATCGATTTTCGATTAAAATCAAATGAGTTTTTTTAACTATACCTTGCAGCAGCCTTTAAGGTGTAGCGAAGGACGATCATTCTGTTGCTCTTTGTGTAAAACCATTTGTAAGAACTTCTTCCCTTAAAGTAATAAAAAATACCGTGCCCTACTAAACTCATCTAACAAAAATACGGTGTAATATAGTGAGATTGAGAAAAACTTGCAAGTATCTGTTATTATCACATACATGGAATTTTGTTTATCATATCTTCAGACGTGAATAACAATGTCATCGTAATTAATAATCGTTCAAAGTAACAATGCACAGGGACCTAAAACTTAATTTTGGTTCCTATTCCCTGACTGGGAATTCCATAAGATATGCTACAGAAAATCTTTATAATAATAATTAATAATCACAGGAAATCGTCGGCATAATACCGACTTCTCACTAACTATCGCACCTCCTCAAGCTCTGTATGTATTTAAATATAAGGCAACAAAAATTTTTTGTATAAATACTGGAAGATGTAGACCTCCAACGCTTTTTATTTAAGTTTTTGAGTCATTCATTGTCAAAAACATTTAAATCCCTATAGTATCTTTGCTCGACTGATCTCGTTTGACTGGGTGATAACATAGAACTAATCGAATCAAACAGATAAGAATCCGGCTACGTCGGAGTACATATTTAAATAGGCCATGCTGTCCTAATTTGTCACCAGGTTAAAAGTCGTCAACCTGCGATTACCTCTGCTTCTACCTTCATATATTGAAGCATGTCGGATCTGAACTGTAAGGTATTACCATCATATGAACGTTATCTCTACAGAAATGCTTAAGTATTACAGCTGCATAAGTGAGACATCACTGGAAAGCTTCTCCCTAATTGTGGTGCTGGCTGGTGTATTAAGTCTAAGAAAAAGAACCTTACAGTGAATGAAGTTGAAATTTCTATATGACGACTTAGTATGTATAACAGATATATGTATTCCTCTAATGTGTCTTCTCGGTAGTTGGCTGTAAAATCGACAGTGAATTAAAAAATGTCGAGAAACTACGTAATTAGCAGGGGTTATGCGGATATTGTGGTATGTGATGTTTGCATTATTTCGAAATACTTAATTCTATGGATTTTATGTACGAATCCGACTTATCATCCCCAAACGCTAAGAATAAGGCTTCATATGTTGTGAGGGCCCATTGCAAACACACTGTGCCTGTAAATGGATGTCAAGGTTAAAAACACAATACAAGCAGCTGTCAATCTAATTCTTCGAAAACTACCTAACTTCATTCGTCTAATGTAGAAAACGGTATCCATTTCTCTGGCTTCTTTTCTTTGCGACATAGTTTTGAAAATGTTGTTAAAAAGTGACGGTTTCGTCATTTCTGCAACGGACTGGTATCTCCAAGCTTCTTAGAAATCACTCTTTGGAAGAGGTTGATCCAGTAGCTGTCAATATATATACCAGCCACCTATCTAAGAGCGGTGCACTTACAGTCTTCACAATTACCTGCCGTCCTTTTCACCTTATCTCAGCAACGGAAAGTTCTTGAGGCGCGGGTTTCAGACCTCTCCCCCGATTTATGATTCGGGTTACTTTAGAGACCTTGGCTATCTGGCAAAGAAGCGCTTAGCTGGAAGCCTCTTCTCTAAGAGGCAAATGGGTGACATTTGGGCGAACAAACGGGACAATGTGGGGTAGCATATTTTGCACTAAGGCCTCTGCCCGACCGACCATCGTCCGCCCGTTTTGTGACGGGGGTATTTCAGTTTGCTTCCGGCCAGCTACCCGCTCTCTTTTACTTTACCATGTTCTCTCAAAGCCAAAATACGAGCGCACCTAACGAGTTCTTGAATGAGACTGTGCTAGTTACTGTTTAATTGGCACCATCAATGTGGATCACCGTAGGCGAGATACGCGTGTTTTCAGACTAGCCTTCGACCAGCTTGATAGTTATTTTAGATATCTCGACGAATGCAATATTAGCGAACATAAAACGCGAACCGATATGTGTACATAAGATTAATCACCTAATACGATATGAGCATTCTTTGTACTTTCCGGATCTGTGTGTGTTCTATGAAATCTCGATGAATAAATTTGATACATTACTATTATTATTTTAAAAATTTTTCCCCTTTCGATCTTGCTACGAGATCCCGGATCAGCAGCAGTGACATTGCAGGATTACAGCGACCTTTCATCCACTACAAGCAAAGCAGGGTACCACCCCTTTGATGTTACTTAGTATTAGTAATGAGGTAACAGTAGTAGTGAAACAGTAAAACATTTTTTGGTCAAAAGTTTCCTCGCCCTTTTCCACAGAACCTTCGTTCGCATCGAAGCAGAGGCGCGAGGGTGACCCTCGAGAGCTCCATGGTAACGGCAGACGTCTTGCTGCCTACGGCGGTACTGGTAATGTTGGTCTTCTCCGCGTCGTAGAAGCTGCGCGGTAAGTGTCCAGGCTAAGCCGACCCGGGCTTCTGAGCTCCGGAGAGACACGGATCGTAGAGAGGGAGGGAACGACCGTACTAAAGCCTAGCGTAACGTCGTTGGAAGATGGTTGGTTGGAGATATACAGGAGAACGGCAGACTGAGACCAGGCAGCAAGGCGACTCGGAATGGAACGAAGCTGCTGCTGCAGGATGTACAAACCGCAAGCGACCACACGACGCTCCTTACAACGCGCGGTCCCCTGAATTCGAAGCACGATAACTACACCCGTCAAAACACGAACGGACGGACCGTCGCAATTGCCGCACATCACACGGTCGCCGACGCAACAGTTACTTCGAGTAAGTAACTCCACTTCGCTTACTATACAGCTCTTAATAGCGTTTATTGCAGAAAAGTGGCTTCGAGGCTGACTCATTATGGTGGCTGTTGTAGCTACTAGCAAACTGGGTGACGAGTGTCGGAAAGGTGAACAAGGACCAGGCCAGAAGTTAGGGCCGTATCACACGACTCATCAGGCCTAAGCCTGTGGAACTGCGGCCGCATGCTAGACACCAATGTCGGAAGCAGCTGCACTCGCACACAGCAATGTGCATTAAAAATTCGAAAAGATTACAGATCACCAGCCCCGATTCGCTATCAAAGCAGGAAGCAGCAGGCAATGCCTACGTATACAATACGGATAGGTTTCTTTTGAATCTCATTTCAGTGATAATGCCAGTAGCATCAGGACAGGCAGTTCTAGTGGTGGCCATGTCTAGACGGATGCGTCGGGGTCTAAAAGGTTGTTAGTGCGCGGATACTGTCTCTGCTATCCTGTGTTGCCAACTATACAGTCGTGTCACGGCAGTAGCGGAACGAAACGTGCGGATGCTGCGCAAAAACGTACTGTGACCTGAGCTCGCGACAGCGTCTCTACAATGAGAACTCTTGTGAATGGGGCCACTTATACGCTGGCAAAGGGATCTGCTGGAAATGACATCAAATTCAAGACTAGGACAGATGTGAGGTTTTGTGGTGGCCATGGTCTTTGTTCTGTGCAAAGGCGGTGGCCGTAGTTGTGATGAATCGGAAAAGCTGCTAGAAGATGGTTATAGTAATTGAAGAGCTGAAGCAATGGGTATCGACGTAGATATAATTTCTTCGCCGTCCTCTGGATGACAAATAACGTTAATACATTTGTCTGTTTTCTATCGATACCTTTCATTGCAGGTGTGTTGAATAATGTGCAAATTCAGCATTGGCCAAGTGACGAAAATATTAGCTGACTATCGAGTGGCAACTCACGGCAACTTGTCGCATATAGCGAAGTGATTCGGATCCCGATTCAAAAACAGCATCACTCATCATTAAAATCAGTGTTCCCCCAAGAACGTATTTATCGAGGCATGTCGACGAAGCAAAATTACCAGCGGTGATGACGTGATTGGGCTACCATAGATATCATTTATACATTTCTAGATTTCAGCAATTTTGTGATAGACAAAATTGTAAGTGAAAATTCCTTTCTATTCTAATATTACTCTGAGCAACCCATTGGGCGACCTATTACACAGCGGTTACCTGCCGTATTTGATTATCTAATGTTCTTGAATAGATTATACTCTACATATATTAAATGAAAAAACTAAGATTAACGTGATCGGGACTGCCAAACTAGGCTGCTTCAGCTCTGTGCGAATAATCCGAAAAATAGAAACGACACTCGAACTAACTGAATGCCTGCGCGGGCTAGAACAGCGGTCTCGAAGAAATAGGCGACAAAAATCAGCCGACGAAACAGAGGACGCAGGACAGCTGTACATGCACCATAAACGCTCCACTAGGACGTGTCAGTAACAAAGAATAAGCCTGTGGGCTAAAGGGGGCCGGCGCACTGTCCGTAACTTCATCCATCCGAACAAAATTTCAATTCGAAACCTCTTCATTTTCAAAGACAAATGCCTACAGAACATTATCCTAACGATCAGGCCCGCTAAGGAAGTGCGCTGAGCTCACGAGCAGACATCGTACGTACGTGTTCTACCGCCCCGAAGGACCGACATTTTTTGAGCAGTGCCTGAAATTTAGCGAACGTCTCCATCGAATTAGACCGAGGAGCGAAGTCCAGTGTACGACGCAACGTTCATCCAATAAACCGCGACCCGACGCCCGGCTGCTGCTTCCGGCTGGTCGGTGCAGGCGGGCGGCTCGTAGCAGCAACAACAGTTGCGGGCATCTGGCAGAGCGCAACCGACAAAAACCATCGTCGGAGCCAGATCTCACCTGCGCCGTCCTCCCGGCAGACTCGGGAGAAGGCGTTGGGACGTGGTATGCTGTGTCTTATCAGATCACACCTTCGATTAGGAATCGTATTAACTAGTACTAATAGCAATAAACAGTCCTCCTCCTATCGACACTATAATATTCAAATGCTAGCGCTGATTAAGCAAACCATATCACGCCAGAAAGAGAAAATAAATAACAAACCATAGAAGTATGTGCGAGAAAGGACGATCGGAATCGCTACTCGACGGCCGCTAACGATATAGTAACGGAATAAGAAGACGGGAACTAAGTCATAGCAGAGAGGGTGACACAGGATCAACACGTCCGACTTTGAGATCAGGTTAGCGGAAAAAAGTTGGAGACGAAGAAAACCCGAGCACAGGAAAGACGCCCACAACAACGACGACAAAGAAAAAGATCTTCAAGGTACAACTCATAAGCTATAACTAAGAATAATACTATTAATACAATTAACGATAACAACAATAGTAATATTAATGACATAACACGCGTCATAAAACAAGTAAGTGTGTAAGGATATAACTCAACAAGGAACGTAGCATAATAATTATAATATAACAACACTTATAACCGAGAAGGCGGTGAAGGAGCCGAGAGGGGGCTCAGATAGATGAGCTCGAAGGAACAAACTGATTACACGCAAAAATAAAGCCAGAGCGAAAACGGCAACCAAAAAACGTGTCAAAAACAGAATCTGGCTTCCACGGAACTCTTTCGTTGATTAGCATCAAGCATCAGGCAACGAGTTATCGTAGCTCGACGCAAAAATCCAAAGAAAAGAGACAAAGAGAAAAAGCGGTAGAATATTACTGTGCGTCAACGCTCTCCGATGAGAACTGGTCCTTGGTGTAACGCATTTCAGCCAATACAATCCGATACATTTTATAAGCGACATACAATAGTATACCGAGGATTTACTAAGGTCCCTCAGTGAGAGCCAAACGCAAACAAAAACTCTGTCGAGTCATCACGAGGTGCTGCGAAAATATTGAATAGAAACGAAACGCAACGCGTAAAGGAAGAAGACAGCAATAACAGAAGTCAGAATAAGCAGAAGTTCAGCCAGAGTGATTAATTCGCTTCGTTTGGCCATGGCGACAGTATGAGCCAACGACGCGCACATCAGCAGAACCAGGTGAGACATGCGCGAGACGAGCCGCCCTTGACAACGATGGCGTCGATCTAGGGCAAGCTAGGCCAGCTTGGAAAAGCCTTGCTAGCGGGGCCGCCATTAACATCGGCGGCTGGACGGGCTTGGCAGATCAACAAGCCGTTGATTACAACAACATAAGCGGTTACTCGCTGTCACTGCTGCTGCAGCTGCCACAATTTAGACCGCAGCGTCCGAAGACGACGAAAGATGGCCACAGTCACGACTGAGTGGCCGCCGAGGGAGTTGAACACGACCACGGATTCCTCCACGACGCCGTTCGCTTCGGTGGCATCATCCGGCGGTGGTGCACATCGTTCGAATCGGGTGGTTCGTCGAATATTTAATGAGACCTTTTCCACAATGCTACCCATGCTAACCGAGGCTGCTGAGACGTTAACAATTACCACGTCATCGGTGTTCGAAGTGGGAGCCGGCGGGCCGGCAACAATCGGTGTCGTCAACGGGGGAGACAGAAGTAATAGCGAAGTCGTAGGTGATTGCGATGACGCCTGGAACCACACCAGCTGCGGTGTCAATGGAACAGGCGTCATTGAGTGGACCCTGCCATTTCCATTGTGGCAAACTATCCTTATTGGAATAGCAATAGGAGTATGCATCATACTAACGGTAGCCGGCAACATCCTTGTCTTGACAGCGTTCATTGTTGAGCGTACGATCCGTCAGCCTTCGAACTACTTCATTGTGTCTTTAGCAGTGTCAGATCTACTCATCGGTATAGTGTCTATGCCTTTCTACGCTGTGTATGTACTAAATGGCAGTTGGGATCTAGGCCCAGTTATATGTGATTTGTGGTTAGCCACTGATCATACGGTGTGTCTCGTATCAATCTACACTGTATTGCTGATAACAATCGATCGCTATTGCTCTGTGAAAATTGCCGCCAAGTATCGTTCTTGGAGGACCCGCGACAAAGTGATCTGGATGGTAGTTATCACGTGGATTTTGCCCTTTCTAATATTTTTTATCTCAATCCTGGGCTGGGAACACTTTACTGGGCGCCGCGATCTTAATCCGGGCGAGTGTGCCGTACAGTTCCTCAAGGATCCAGTATTCAATACGTCCCTAATCTTTGGGTATTTCTATTGCACTATGGTAGTTCTATTCGTTCTCTACGGTGGTATCTACAAGACTGCCAGCGACATGCAACGAAAATCGGCGGAGAAACAGAGGAAGATGCAATCGCTCGTTGCAATGGGACGAGGAACGCTGGACGTCACGCCTGGGCTCGGCCTCGGTCTAGCTAAAGCCGCTCAAGTTGGCGCCGACCGGCCTCCATCCAAGGGCGACGGGCCGGGTAATCCTGCGCTAGGTGGCAAAGGAGCAAAGGATCCCCGATCGCCTCCGAAGGAGCCACACGGCCACGGAGCCGTAGGCAACTTTTGCAGCAACGACTCGTCGATCCTCGAATCTCAGAGAACGTCTTCCAAGTTTGCTAACAACACCGAAACAACGTCATTTTCGGAAAAGAATAACAAAACCGACAACGACAACGACCAGGATCAAGACCGTTCCTCGAGTCCGGTCTTCGAATCGGATGACGACTTCGACGATGAGGATGAAAACAGCACGAGTACAAAAACAACCCAGCCAAACAAACCGAAAGCTCCGAAGCCTAAAGCGAAGCCGAAAACTCCAAAGTCGCACAAGAAGTCCGACGCAGGCCGAATGTCACTCGTCGAGGCGATGCGAATCAGTGCACCCGCGTTCGGACTCAAGCCGCAGCAGTCAGAAGGCCCCTCAGAGCTAGCCTCAATCGGTGGCCTGAGCAGTCTAGGCATGCCCGGCCTTGGGCTCGGCATCGCAAGGAAAGGCTTGCATTGTGATCCGGCAAAGACCACAACAATAGTAACAACATCACCTACTACTGCAACAACAACAACGGCCAATAGCACTGATTATAGTTCAGCCTATTCCAAAATAGCTAGCAGCACGACGGCCAGCAGCAAGCCGTTAGATACGAACGCTAGCCATCATCATTCTCATCATCATGAATCAACGGGTCAAATAAATCGCAATTCATCGATAGAGTTATTACACTCCAGCAAGAGAACAGGTAACGCCACTGTAACTGCCACCAGCGCAAAGGTCCAGCCGTCAGTATCGCTCGATGTAAAACAGCGCGGCAGCACGCTGCTAGTCATCACCGAAATGGCGCCCGACGTATCGGAGGCCTGTCTCGAAGCAACAGAACAAACAGCCGACGAAGGGCAACAGATTGTTGCTAACGATTACACAACTACAACTACTAACACTACTAGCAGTCAATACATGCACAGCACGGCAACAACGAACGGCAATATCCTAGGAGGCACCACTCCCACGCAAGAAGAACACCTGCCGGCGGCGGCAAGGGACAAAGAAGTTCAGGTAGGCCCAATAGAGTCTTCGCAGACGAGCGAAGTAAAAATGCCCCAAATCTGCGGAGCATCAACGGACGCTGTGACTGCATCTGAAAGCGCTGCAATGTTAGCAACTATCACACCCTGTCAGGTCATCCAAGCAGACACAGTTCAAACACCTGTAGAATACATATCGAGCTCGGGAGCAGTGGCCATTGTGGTCAATGAAACCGTCTGCAAACAGCTGCCTACGACCGCCCTTCTTGCGGTCCCTGACTCCGCAAGTATACCCGCTAAAGACATATTAGTGAAGAGCGCAAGCGGAAGTGATAGCTCGAGGACGGTCACCAAAGTAGCGGGCGAGGGAGACGTCGGAAGGCTGCCGGGCGGCCTTTTTCGAAACGCCGCCTCAAACCGTTCCAAGCGGGAAATGATCTCCTCCTTTAGTAACCGGCTTCGAAAAAAACGCAAAAATAACGAGAAACGACAAAAGTCCAAGTCGGAAAACCGAGCCCGCAAAGCCCTCCGCACGATCTCATTCATTTTGGGTGCGTTTGTCATATGCTGGACACCATACCACATCCTCGCGCTGGTTGAGGGCTTTTGCAGAGATTCTCGTGGTTGCGTCAATCATCATCTATTCTATTTCACTTATTTCCTCTGCTACGCCAACAGCCCGATTAACCCATTTTGCTATGCGCTCGCCAATCAGCAGTTCAAGAGGACCTTTTACAGAGTGCTCCGGGGGGACTTCCACAAAACATGAAACGCGGTTTACCCTAGGCCAATAAATAGTAACATGATTACGACCTGGGGGGAAGGGGGGTCAATGACGACACAAGAACAAATTGAACAAACTGAAAACAGCCAAATCATTGTTACATCACTGTGATAGCACTAGGAGAATTCGGCGTTAATTGATTGGTATTGGGACACAAAAAGAACGAACTAAATTAGTTTCACAAACAATGTAGCAATCGTCAAGAGGAACTGGTTATACTTTGAGGACATCATTACACTTGTACCATTGTTACTAACTGCCACCTTCCTGTACACGCATATTTTACATGTTAGAAAATATGATTGCCTAGGTTGCTCATGTACCTAACAGCAAATTAATAGGGAAGTAGGTGGATCACGCTGGCAAGAGATGCTACTACTGACCGTCTGATTTGTGTGTGTGTTACGCAAATTATGCCCTTGAAGCCTGCAGGAATTTGGCCACCATTGTTCATGCGCCTAGGGTACCTCGATGGATCATACGGTGAACCCGCGATAGAGAACTGCGACAGAAAGGCCAGCGACAACGAAAAAAAGCGAAACGTTAAATAGCAAAATATTAATCCTTACCCAAGACCCATTTTAGCTTAGAATTATCTAGATAAGCAACTGTTCAACAATGGGCTCAGTAACAACAACCAAATTTAGACATGTTTGAAAATCCACTTGAGACAAAAAACCAATTTAGTGATTATGAATTGCATTCCAACTGAAAATCATATGCGTCGTTCAATAATGATATTAGATATAAGAAAAGATTACGGCGGCAAATGTTATTACAATTATTATTATTATTAATATTACGATTGTTACTGAACAAGGACAACAGCCATAGTCATCCAAAGGAACCAAAAAACTGCTATAGGAAAGATGAAGCTATTATTATTATTGTTACCATTGTAAATGATAATAAATCGCTCGTACAAACGGCTTTGTGGCATGATGTTTCGACCGCTGGAAGACCCCCCGAACTTCGTGAAGATGAAGATATTCTCCGATTAAGATCTCCGACTTCAACAACAACCAGTGCAGTACCAACCTCTTTATAACGACTTGGCAACAATCGTCCCACAAATCAGCATTTCCAGAATCAACAATTTATAGAATTATATAGGCAACATTCTCTAACACGAACTACAGAAACGACGAACCTAATCAGGATATCTTAAAACTTCAGCGGTAGTTTTCGACGGACAATGGTCCGGTGTGAGCGCCACCGCGACCTAAACCATATTGCGGCAGTTTGTAATTGTTTTCTCTGCGAGAATCTTCTAAGTAACACGAGATCCGGAGAGTCCGCGGTCTGTCAGCCAAGGAGCCAGCAACCACGCGGTTAATTGTGTCTTTCAACTTATATAGCGACGGCGAATAACTAATGCATCTATCCTACTAAAACATTCATCAAGTTTTTACACAACAATATAACTACGAACTCTATGTACGCGCATTGTTCCGACTTAGCGCGAGAGCGGTCTCCACCTACAGAGGCGTGATGTCGTCGTCCGTCACACGGAAGAGCATTTCCCGAAGCCGCATTGTTTTATTACACGATAATAACAACCTCTGATTATCGCATTCGCAGAGTCGATCATAATTGCCACCTGATGATCAGTTGATCTAAGGATGAATGAGCGAATTATGAAATCAGCCGCAAAGAGGGTCAGTTACCGTGTAGAAAAGACACTCGTTCGTTGCATTGAAACCGCCGACGTTCAGTTGTCAGCAATTTAATACCGCAGTTACGAATAAATGGGGATGGTGGGGACCGGCTCGCGTTCGGTCAAGGGGTCTGTCGTCAAACTTCGAGCTGGAATAAGAACAGGGTTGGATTTAGACGGCTAAAGGAGACACTGCACTGTTTTGTGCTATTTAAGCTGCCGTCTTGTATATCAGGGTTGGGTAGGTTTTTGGATGGTGATTACGGTAATGATGATGAAGATAATTATTAAACATGATGAGCTCTAGACAAAAAAAGAAGAATTTAAACGCCAACGGTATTAAAACGAAATCAATAGAGCCGATGGAAACGACAGCAGCAGCAGCAGCAGCAGCACCAACGATAACAACTGAACACAACATTCATCAACCCGATAGTGATAATGCGAAAAAAGATAAAAATGAAGGCCAAGTGTCCAATACATGACGATGATGGCCCGGCAGAGCAAAGAGATTTTGTGAAAGCGACGGCAAACATTCATAAACACAAACACATAGATGCTGTTTCCAAGCAAACAAATTAAAGGAAGTAAGACGATTGAAGAGCTCCTCGGTTGCGAATAATAATACTAATAATAAGATAAGCGACCATGTAGAAGGTAACACGGTTTTCAAAGACGAAAAAGTCCTAGTTGGTTAGGCGAGCAAGAGCAAAAAGGGTGTATTGTGTACGAAAAGGATAAACAAACAAGCGGAACTGCTTGAACGGATTGAGAGAACCGCAGTAAACGAAAGTAGATACATCGCTAATATGCTAAATCAGAAAAAAAATGTTGTAGACGAAGTCTTACTACCACTACTATAGGTGGACCGTAGTGAAGTACTAGGTAATGGCAGACACAAACGAAACTAAAAGAGAAAAAGGTTGGATGGAATTGAGCGTATAAGAAGCGAACGCTTGGAAACGAATGCGTTGCTTGATGACACAAAGCATACAAGAAGCCCTTGTCGAAGGTCGCTACCGAGCCAAGCTGTCAGGCCTCCTATATATATATATATATATATATATATATATATATATATATATACGAATAACGGAAGAATTGCAAAAGCAGAAGATGGTATAACTGGACGATGAGAAAGATAATTAGAACCGTTGGATGTATCTGAGGTGCTTGTATAAGTGCGTCATGTGTGCGCGCATGTCACGTTGTACTTAGGAGTCAAAAAAACTTAAGGGACTCATGGTTAACAAACTGACGAGTCAGGTAAAACTGAAGTGTATTAGAAGGGCTGGAAATACAAATGTACGAAAAAAACAAAACGATAAGAAATGGCCGACTGCCCTGTGTTCGGGCGACGCTATCGACTGTGATGATGATTCTAATGTATCGTTCTTATTTCCCAACAATTTCTATCGACCTCTATTTCGCGTCAATTCTTAAACATTTCTTCCTAAGTCCTAACCTCTGCCAGTGCCCGTCGAAAGATTCCTCTATTCCCTTACCATTCAGTTGCCCTAACCGTTCTTCACCCACCCGAACGCACCTCACCGTGGTAATCGTATATATATACGAACGAAAAAAGGGTACAGCAGTTATACAGCCAAAATGAGCTGATAAAGACGTGAAACACAGATTTACAGCCGTGCCGATTTACACACAAACAAAACTGACAGGTACACACACAAAAGACACTAATGTATTCGACGACCGCCGCGATAACCGTTGACGTGTCATAACGAACATATCAACCTGATGAGCCCATTGATCTACGCTCCGGTCCATATTACGCCCGAAGTAGTGGTTTAACGTTCGTAGCCGGGTTATTTGCAGGACATCGAAACAATGTTGCTCTAAATAATTGTTTTTCTTATTATAATATGACCATATGTCGATTGGTGTTCATGCATATTTGATGCCAAAAGCTACAATATGCGAAAACTGCCGTACAAATAATATCTAAGACGTTAGGTTATCAATATGGCAATTATTAATTGAGACTGTCATCTGGCGACTGCAATCAGAACGGACGAGACGGTTATTATGTTCCGTGAGCATCGTTTCCCAGTTAGCACCGTAACCATCGACTCAAAAAGGCGGAACAAGTCGATCTCCTCGCAGAACGCGACCGGCGGTGTGACCTCTTCAGAGCATTTCCCAGTTATTTATCATCGCATCCACCGATTCTGTTATGAACAAGAACAGAGCTAACGGAATCACGGGTTGAGGTCATTAAACCAGCCGGAAGTGGTTCCGCCTGATAATCTGTTCTGATTTCGGTGCGCGAGATGGCGTCAGTATACATTTACGCCCTAGCCCTCAGTGGTTGGCTTCGTCCACTACATTGTGCACTGGGGACGGGTAGTTAAACCGCAACTGCATGAGATGTTGGCTGAAATGGTTCGGAGCTCTCAAGTACAAAGGCGCAACGTCGAACCAAACGTGAGATATTACAGAGATGACTTACTGTTATTGCTATTACTATTATAATAATACAAGTGTTATATATATATATGATCAATTACTGTAATTATATATTATACCCCCGGGCTAATTCCGGAACTTATAGATCAAGACGGTACGAAATGATGATGATGATGATGCTATAGTAATGATGGAGATGGAATTGTTGCGTTTACTACAGCTGAAGATGAAGTTATCACAAAATAGGTGAAGTCGTTGACTGATGGTTTTATGCTAATTCTAGTAACAATGATGACGATAACGATATAATCAAGGTGGTGATATAGAAGATTAAAGAAAATGTTTGAGGTAAGAAACAGGTCATATACAAGGGTGGCCATAATCGTTAAGATACTGTTCCATTATGAAGGGACTCACCCCGCAAGTGATGAAAGCACACAAGACAGGTCACAAACAGGATTTATACGAGCATGCATATTTCATGTATGTACACATACACTGACATACACAATTCGGGGTGCAGGAGAACATTTACAGACAACAAACAGGCAAACATGTAAACAATAGAGTGTATTTAATAGACAAATATTTCAGCAGTATATGAAATAAAACAATCAACAGACGATCATGTCGTCGTATCATGGCCATAATTGCATACGATGACGCCAGTTCCACGGAATCAGATTCACAAGGACGCTTCGCTGGATCTAACGACGTCTAAATAAGTACACTACTTTGCCAAAATTACTAATGGTATCAAAATAGAAGCTTTTGGATAAATATATTTGAAACTCTTAAGTAAAATCAAAGAGATAATTATAACGTAAAAATACAATAAGATATAATACTGATGATGACGATGTCCACGAAAAGTGTCCTAGTAATTTAACAATAAACAACTAAGCCCAGTAATAATAAAACGATAATCAGCAAAATCGCACATATGACCGTGTGGCTGACGCACAGGGGTCTTACTTACCCCTCTGTCTCAGCCAGAGCTGATGTCGCCAGTCACCTGCGCGTCACCTCCAATAACACTCAAGTGAATCGGCACCGACTGATATGCCACGAGATCGAAAAGAGAGAAACACAAATCAATGAAACAACACTGTGATGAGTTATGGTGATGTAAGGATAGGCTATGGAACAGAATAATACAGGCCATTCAAATCGTAAAAAAGGTCGTTTCAGGACTTGATGTGCCGTACTTCTGATACGATCCGGTACTTGGGTCTCTTCAGGTTGCTATCCATATCCATCGGTTTGCGGAAAAACGTAAAGTGATTATGAACTTGGCCATGAAAATAAGTTTTAGCCTTGTTTTTGTTTTTATTTTTAATGGCAAAGAGCCCACCTTTATTATTGAGCTAGAGCAATGCGTAATTAAATGAACTATTCCATAAACAGCAAGAGATAGTCAAATATAAGCTCGTACTGACCGACGAGTCCAATCTCGTTATCGATCTGTTCGAACTTTACTCAGTCACTGAACCTTTTTTTTTTTTATAATATTATACTCTATTATAGATCATTAATAGCTTTGGTTTGAGTTAATCATTTGGTAACATGCTGTATGTCTTACACAGGAAAATGGGCATTTGTAATTCTTATCATACAATAGCCAAACGCATCTTAATAAGAAAGACCAGCCAGTAGTTGACGCCGTTTATATGAAATTGGCCATTGGTGCAGTCGAGTGTACCAGCACAAAAACCGATCCGTATACTACCATCTGGAAAAACACTCATCTAACAATTGACACAGCGGATACACTTATACAGCAACACAAGCCAACCAATCATACCCGAGGTCCGCGTAAAATGGGTCCACGGAAGTCACGATGCTCAACCCTGTATCAAGGGCCAATATCTTCGAGGACACTGTTAGTTAAACGCAAGTTAAGGTGCGCCTTTGTACACCTTAATCGACTTAACAGACCGTGAACAATTACACAGACATAGGAAAAAAACACAAATTAATAACCACAGGAAAAACACGACACAACGTGACGTTAATGGCAGATGATAATCGAATCAACTTCGAGCCCAACCTGGCCAAATACCGACCTACGAATAGGAAAACTGAATACGAAAAATGTAGTATGTGATTAATTAACATGCATTAGATTTACAAACAGAGTAAAGGAAAAAAGCACAGTCCGACAGAAATGATGCGGACTTGAAATTGAAGTGTGCCTTATGGAAGAGCGAACAGCCCCAGTATCCTCAGCAAATGCTCAAGCAAAACAACAGCGGTTCCAGCTAAGCTGCCGCGGCATTCAATTTGCGTTGCAGCTTCAGACAGACAGACAGACTGGTACGGGACCGAGTAGTCGACGACCGATATATCGAATCCGCCGATCAGAAATCTAAGAAGAGGGCTAATCGAAGGCGGTGGAGCCGACTAGGGCCCTCCATTGACAAACTAAACTTGTCTGTAGACAAAGCGACCGAAATCCAATAACAAAATGGTCTAAGACACACAGCTATGAGCCGCAATTAGAACCAAGCCGACTCTGACAACGCAAAATACAATCATTAATGTCAAAGACACCGTATGCTACTGGGATCGCGGGCACGCCACTTAGTTAAGGTGAAACAAGCTAACATCGTTTTTCTTAATTTCCCTTTGGAAACATTTTTCACTTGTTGGATAAAGACAGTAAGTTATTTTAAGACTAAGTAAAAACGACCCATTGGAAACATCAAAGCAAACAGATATATAGGTTTTTTTTAGAAATTTTATAATATAAATAACACAAATTTTATGGATTCCTTGTGTTTGTAAGATAAATAAATAATAGAATAATAGCACTATAATAAGAACAATCAGAACAAAAATTATTTTGAGACAAAGAAAATTCAGGAATAATATTAAACAAACTCCTGATAAATCCTGTATGAATTGTTATAGAGATCTGTGTTGCGTAGCCTGCAAGCCAGGTCTTTGGGGGTGGCCCATACACTCGCTGTCTGCGTGCCAAAGTAGTTCTTAATTCAGTTCTAGTCCAACGACCTTGTGAAAAGACATTCGATTGTAAATCAGAGAACCGATTTAACTTATTTCTATTCGCTCTAATCGCTTCGCGTGTTCGAGAAGCGAAAGTAAACAAGTTTACTTCCAAAAAAAAGATAACTGTGTTTTCACTTTCCTTTGTATTGTAGAAATTAGTCAGGTAGTTGTAACAGCTTGCCAATAGCAAAGCTCGTAAAACTCAAAACATTGAACTAAGGTAGTCTTATTAAGGAAACGAGAAATTACTAGGGATAATATCGTAGTACGTTGTATTTCTTCATAAGATTGTAAAAAATATTCGAAGGGTCGTAAAATGTTTACCTTAATTTCAGTTTTTATTTCCTACCGGTCCTAAGGGTAACTGTGTGCTACTCACGCAAGTATACAGTGTTTCATTCCTCGGTTTTCTATACTGTGAATAGCTGATCAGAACTGAGAAAGAGAGATCGAGCATACCGTTAGAAATTTACAAGGTTGAAATTATAATATTTGTAGAAAGCAATCCGTTGCGGTAAAGGTCCTTTTAGGTAGAAAAGAATCCATTGAGGCATTTGGGTTGCTCGTGTCACTATTTTATTTAATGTGAAGTTGAAAACTGTTTGAGTAAATTCATTGACAAACATTGGATGAAGTCGCACCAGCATTAAAACAGGCAGCAATACTCTTGACAGCGCCACGCGTAAATAACTCAAACCTTATCAGAATTCTTGCATATAAATATACAAAAATGAAAAAAACGCAGCACCAAGACGAAATCGACGTTTAAAACCCTCCTTTCATTTTGCTTCATTCGTCTTTCTCGCCGCTAGTATTCTGTACACGCTCTTTTTCTAATCATTCCCATGGCAGATGCTTCATTGCACCCCGTTTTATGATATATCGTACCATATCACTTCTATTGCGGACGAACGGTTTTACCGTGTGGCTCACGGAGCACATGGTTTTTCAAGATGTACTTACGACTTTGAGCAGAGGAAAGCCACGAACATCGTAAAATACTTTATTTCTTATATCTGCAGCGTCGAAGCGTATCTCGCTTCTTTTCGGTCCGCTTGTTTTTTCGCATCAATCGCCAACCCACAAAGTTTTGGAGGTTCGACGTTTGGATTACGTAAGTCAATCAATTACAATTATCTGTAGTCTGAAAAATTAATAATTTGGTCCAACGTTCATTTTAATTGGATAATGTCGTGGCCTTTAGCTGCTTCAAAACTGACTCTGTTAACTACGTGCGTCTGATCCACACCCCTACTTACGGACCACCACGTTAACTACGACGTCTCGGTGAAAATAACCATTGTAGATAGGTCCTGATATTCAGTCAGGCAGCAATGATGAACCAGTTCATTTTGTTCAAGCAGTTCGTTTACACGTTTTATGCTAAATACCAATTTCTAGTTCAACTTTATTTAGATTCGGACCAGATTTCGGCTAATTTTAACTGAATGTGAGACCTTATGAAAGTACCCGTCCTACAAGGCAACATTCGGGCCTTACCACTATTTCTTTATATATTAACATTTTATTGATTAGAAACCAATAGTAAACAAACTGCACAGTTGTACTATAAAGCAAAAAGCCATTCAAGTTACGAATTACGTTCGCTTTTATTAATCACCCATTTCCTATAATAGGTTCATCCAGTCTTTTTTAGTTTTTTTTCTACTTTTTGTGATTTATTCTTGTAAAAATAACAATTAGCTAGCTTACCGCAGTCAATTCTATTTTACGCCATGTTTGTTTCACTAATACAAAAACAATTGCTAATGATTTTCAACTTCAATTAATAGAAATTTGTTAAATTATTGCATTTTTCTACAGAATCAATTGTAAAAAATTAACCTGCTGCTGAAATGTTTTATCTAAGATTCGCGATTTCATGGGATTCTCAGCCACGCGGGTTATAGATATAGAAACTATTATTTACAGCTTCCATTATGAAATTAGCTATGTGTCAGGTCTTTCGCTGCAGAACGCTTCGCATAACTAACGATTAAAACACAAATTTTTTTAACAATAATTTGTCAGCCAGTGCCCAAAGAATCAAAAAAAGTTATTTCCGTAGCCACGTATAGAAGAACTTGATAATCTTCATCGATAGATACTCCCATGGATTAATTTGAGTTTTATTAGTATCCATTCGTTGCTAAGTAGTTACTGCCATATTCACGATAGACTGGTTCTTACCGATAACAGTGTGTTATCCCAAGTAAATAGAATAAAGGGTTACACAACTATGTAACTGTTCGCTTTAACACGTTCACACACGCAAATTGTAGCATTTTTTTACGCTTGAAATAGTCGATTTTCTTTGTTTTCTTCGAACGATGCATAAGCTGTATTCCACATAAATTTTAACGATCGTATACCAATTTATTTGTTTGATTTTCCTTAAACTATAAGAAAAAATGTTCAAGGAACTTGGATGCCCAGTCCCATTTGAAAACGCGTCTAGTCTCCACGTGAACGGTTATTCGAACTCGAAAGGACTCAGCCACCGATTTGCCCTGGATTACCTGTTTTTGTGTCCACGCATCGGAAATCTGACTAGCGGTTTATATTATGAAGGGTTTCTCCTTCCGTTTAGATTAAAGAAGGTAAAAACAGAACGTCAGTTGTATAATGTTAATTATATATATATATATATATATATAAGATTTAAATATATAGATATATCCATCTGTTGTGCATTAATCACCGTTTGACAGGTGGCATGGCTTTCTGACATGACGCCAATTGTGCCTTTTCTGATCGTTTCTGTACCCTATATTATTATATTTTTCCTAATAGTCTTTTTCCCTTCTACATGTAATATGTATTAAGCCTGCAAGTACGCTAAGTTACGCCTAGATATGTTTCTTGCTGGAAAAGAACTCCATCCGGGTGGCATGATATCTGAACGGAACTACTTAATCGATAAGTCACAAACTTAAAACTTAAGTAAGCTAGAACTACCAAATCTAAATTTAAAAAAAAGCAGTTTTTAAACCAAACAAAGACGTGCCGAATATCCGAATTTTGTAGGTGTTTACGTCACCATCTTACAACCGATTCCTTCAGTCGCAAGTGACAAATCGTCAAAAAAACTGTTTTCTTCCGCGTTGTTCTTCTCACGCTCGATTTTTGTTTTCTCATTTTATTCACATTTCGGTTTCCGCTACATGCGAAATTTCTGTTAGTATTTGAAATTGCCCGTTTAAGTCGAACCAAAAAAGTAATAAATATACAGTTTATCTACACGTAAAGGCGTACGACGCGCTCGACGATACGACGACATTGGGGGCATTTAAGGCCCTTTTCCTGCACTTTACGTGAGCACTTATAGCACGCAACGATATGGGCTGAACGACCATGACAAAAAGCCGTGTTTCGCGAACGCGATTCGCAGATGATGCACGTCCCTAGAGCGTCCAAGACACCAATCGGCGAAGTCGTTGGAGTTGTGTCTGTTGACACTGACGATTCGCATACAGAGACCGTCGAACATTGGCCCTGCGACGCCGAGTTCACGTCTTCAGAGGAGCCGTCCAGTGGCTAAAAAGAAAAATGAAATAGCTATAAATACCTGAGATGCGAACCGAATGTTTTTAATTGTCGTTATTACTGAACTATACTGTCAATGCCCCTCTCAAATGTAAGAGTGTACATACATACACATTCTCTCCATTAGACGTGTCGTAACAATTTGCCTGTGTCCTAGAGTTTTATTACGAAATGCCTATTCGAGTTGTTGCAACTCGTAAGAACTGTGAAACAACCTGGACAGTAAAAAGTAACAACATTGCTAGTTCCGGTATGGATCTAAAAAATGTTAGGATCCTTTTACTGACCAACGAGGCAGTCTCCGAATAGTTGGTCAGTTGTCCTAGATCGATACGACGTCTCTTGGTGTTCAAAGCGCTTTCATCGGTTTGAGCACTGTGCCGTTTGGCCCGTTTGCGACGCTGAACACTCGGCGGCACCCTGCGTTCATCCTCTTTGCGCCAGCCGAACTGTGCTGTCCAGCAACTGTGGCAAAAGCCTTTGCTGCTCTTCGCCTCATCACTCTGACACTTGCAAAACCACGGATTCTCCACCTGCGTACCATTGTTGGCCAAACGACAGAAAGACAGAACGAAAACCACTCATGACAATTACTCGCTTCTGTACAAAGTTATTAACGCGGTGGAAATGTTTCGATTGGAAATGCGTTTGAGAAGAAGAAAATGAGACTAAATAGAAATAAAAGGTTATGAGAGCTATCTTTATGGGGATGCGTCTAAAAAGTTCTGCAAGTTGCATATTTGAGTCATTCGCATTCGATTACTTAATTTGGGAAACATTCATACTTAAACGTTTGGTTTATTGATTGTTTATAACACAAGCAGTACTTCGACCGCAACAGCAGTCACCCTGTGTAACACACGCGTACTGAAACTTGTTCTCTGCCCTTAAGTTCTACGGTCGCTCGTCTGTTATCGCTGCCTCTACACTTGTTCAGTTACTGCGCACTGATTTCTCTGCTTAACATACCGATGGGGGGTAATTAACACTTCTAAAGCCAAACTTAAGACACAACAGTATGTCGTAAATTTTCAGCTAATTTAGTAGTAATGCCTACTCACAAATCACATGAGAACTCACAAATCAAGCTATTATTGACCACATACAATTCACATAATACTATGAACCTATATTTCACGTCGCTCTTTGCTTGAATAACAGAAAGTTCATAATCTTCGTCCCGGTTGCAAGTAAAACTGCAAATCAATCGGGACATGTTCTTCTTTCTCAGTGAACTCCAGGGAGCCGGTAGATGACACTTCATACAGTATGTTCGTAGACGTAATAATTGGGTAGCTTGTACAACACTTTCTAAACATAAGCTGGGTGCAATAGGATTTTTTGAGGCTTTGTTCGTAGCGCAGTTTTGGTTAAGGGAAATACGGAAGAGGCATTTGAAACGAGTTATCTCACGAGTACCAATACTAAACCGCAGTTGACAACATGTACTGGTATGTTTGCCACTGCTGGTTCACGTTGATATGCTTAAATCTTGCTTGACCTAAACGTTGAACCCGAAAATACTTTTTAACCCGGTTCTCTTTCAACCGTTGCATGTCTTTTATTGCATATGCACTTCAATTGTTACGGAAAGCAAGGACACAAGTATGGTATGTTGCTTTTGATATAAGACTCGAGAGCACAAAATCAGTCGTGCAAAAAAACGGCGAAGTACAAAGGTACTCGAAAGAGTACTTTTTCGAAAGTGCACTTCAACCATTCGTCATTAACAAATTGCCACAACCTTCTCAATGACTGTCGGCTCTAGCCTAGTATGTGCTAAACACCAGGGACGATCCGAAGCCTTATTGTTGCTTCAAGAAGCCACTTGCGGACATGATATCTTCAAGTAAACTGGAGAAAGCAGGATGAAGAGCGCGCACATTTTTCTGGTACAGGAAGAAGAAAGTTTTCTGCTAGACCCTCCGCCAGTCCTACAGTTCTTGTAGCCATAAAAGGCCACTAGAAAAGGAGGACGACTTCGCTGGGTCCGTCTTCTAGAAGAATAGGTATTTCGCGTTTGCATTCTGACTCTTTGCTGCATCCAGCATTTGCATAGTTCGCTGTTCTTGCACCTTGCTTGCAGTCTCAGTAGAGACTTAGAGCTAGTCAAGTCACAACCGGCTCACGCTTCGGTCCCTGCACAGCCGAGAGTCTTCCGACGAGATAGTGTTGCACTTCAGCGGAAAGTGTCCCGCCACACTTCTCGCGTGGAATCCCTCGTACCATCAGGGCCCTTTCCGAACGAAGCCGTGCGTGTTACTTGACTGTGACATTTACGCCACGGCGTTCACTGTACCACGCTTCAGACAAAGGTCTAGACGCACTTTGTTTGAAGCTTGTCGTCATTTCAGGATAGGTTAACGTCTGTTGCAACCCACTTGCAAGAAGACGGACCTGATTGTGATGCATCGTAGACGTACGGCCGCTGTTCTCAGGCGAGGCGGCCTTAAGGTTTTGATAAACATGTTGATCGTATTTACAGGCCCTATGCGCCAAACGCCGTCATTGCAAGGCCCGCAATCTCCGCATCTTGTCCTCGTCGACTAGCAAACGTTTTGCATCATCACCATCAACATATGTTCGCTTCTTACCCGCCGTACCCGTCAACCAACGCCAACGTACCCAGACCGCAAGGGCGAGCTCGGCGCGACCAGGGTTGCCTTGGCGTTCGCATCAGGATAACGGAAATGTCTAGACGCCTTCGCCTCAATATTACTGAGGTTTACCTTTCCCTTTGTAGGGCTCCCTGTCGAGCTCTATTCTCTCTCTGTTGTTCGGTGTGAGATGAGATGGTACAGACCGTGCGGTTGAAGTTCTGGTTGTCACGCGGCCATTTCCCAGGTCGGCGAGATTTCCGTGTCGCGTGGGACGTTCGGATTATCGATCACCAAGATGGGAGGGGACCGCTTCGATTTTGCGCTTGTCCAAGATGGGAGGGGACCGCTTCGGTCTTGCGCTTGTGTTGAGTCAGTAGTTGGTAGAGCCAGTAGAAAAGATGGTCAGTCAGCGGCGGACCCGAACTACGCATCGGGTAGCCCCGATTGGCTCAGCCGCTGCACAGAAGCTGCTAGGTTACTCAATGTTCGAGTCATGTCACGAAGTATATAACATGTCACTATTGTTCTAAGCTGTCAAGTACGATCTACGAGCATGTTTTTTAGGTACTTCAAGCATACCTGTGCGGATCAAAGCGTCAAAACGCCATATGGTATATAAAAGTTTAGCCGATACTGTCGCTATATAAATCTAGAGACTGAATTCAGTTCAGCTTTATTGAGATTTCAGTGACTATGTTTTCACAGCTGTAGCTTGGCTTCTAGGGCAAATGACAGTAATTAATAATATAAGACATTATACAGACAATGCAGAGTTAATCAGAGTTCATTCGCACAGGTGCTCGATAGTTCTAGTAGAGAAAATGTAAGGCAGAAAGCTCAATGCGCCACTTACAATTTCAACAACGGATTATAAATTTGGCTTTCAGAAATTTTCTGATTAATAAACTAATATATCTACCTTTAACAGTCATACTGCAAATTAAAATCTTAATACTACAATCATAGCATGAACAATGTTGAGATTATCTATTAGGACTCCTATAAATGTTGCCACATGTGTATACTAGTACTTGAGGAGACCGTTTATGCGCCTGGTCAAAACATTGTCAGACATGCATTTTAATACAGCTAAGCATTGAATATATGTATGTAGATATTGGATTGTCCGGAGCGAAATGGAAAATCTTAAAGAGTTACTCCTCTATACACTAGAACCACTAGCATGAGAAATAAGTACAAATTTCAATTCCGCAGCTATCTTAATATCTAATTCTAAAAACTAATAATATTAAGTCCTTAATATCATTTGGTGCTGAAAATCAACGCAATGGATTGGCCAAAACACTCGGAAATGTGGAACTCAGTTCCTTACTAGTGCAATCACATTAAAAGTTTAGGAACACGGGGAAGGTGACTACACATCTGGACCTCGAACGAGATCAGTGTGACAAGGCGAACTTATCGTCTACAGTGATACCGTGCTCCAGGCGAGTCCTATACAACACTTCTAGTTACGTAAACTGCCTAAAGTGCGCCACACGTTCTTCCATCGGATCTGAACCTAGTTCTTGAGTTCTTCTTTGCTTTAAGTACTTTTTAACGAAAATCCCATAACAGTACATGCTCCGAAAAAATTAGTATCGAAGTACCAGGAAGCATATTGTTCATGCTAAATGTTGTTTAGACGTTCCTATAATCACAGTCACTAGTCTTTCGTGTGGATCCTATAATGTAGTCACCGTTGTTGTCGTTTCCATCCGTCCTGTGGATAATTGCATCAGGAACGAGCTATTCTTCTGCAAAAGGCATTTCATCTTTCTACTGACCTTTAACGGGTTCCACCGACGTTCTTTTCTCAGAATTAGACTTCATCACTTAAGTTCATTTTTGGCACTAAACGATAGCTATTTATTTTTCTTGTTTTCACTTATAGTCGTACATAACAACAACATTATTAGCAAATTTCACGGCGTTTCAAAGATTATTCTGATTTTTCGAATAGCTCCGGACAATCTATATATATATATATATATATATATATATATATGAATGCGCTCCCCGCACGGGTCTGTAACTGTTCATATACTTAGGAGATATGAACCATAAGTGTTGCGTCATTCTCCTCATATGTGGCGTATATCATTGTCAACCGGTTCGCTAGCATCCTAAAATGATAACTAGTATACAGCAGGTTGGGCACGTAATAGGCCACGATATAATGCTAATGAAGCTGTGCACATTAGGAGAAAACGATCATCTTTGGGATGGTAGCACTCCCACCACAACACTTATTAACAACAATTCAGCTCCGCTGTACATCCCTTTATATATACATGTCGGAAAGCTACCGAATGAAGCGAATCCCAGAGATGCTCGTTTGCTACTGGTTTGCACAGCTCCACTAGCATTATACCGCGATTTGTTACGTGTTGTTTTTCGTTTTAGGCTGCTTGCAAACTGACTAAGAAGGATCTACGTCACATATAACGGTCACATTTCAAATCTCCTAGGTATATAAACAGTAGCAACTGCGTGCAAAAGGCACAGTCATTTGATACACTCCAACAATTTTTGGCCACTATTTACATATCATAACTATGTATTCCTTCTATAGTAATTACTAGGTGGTCAAAAGTTGTCACGAACGTTCTAGCAGGTATCGCTAGGCACCACGTAAGTTCCTTAACCATAGTAAAAGCGATTACGTAAAAAGTGGCCTTTCGAGTCGTCGTCTCCACTGTCGCGATTTTCCTCTACCGTGTGCGTTACCACATACCGTGTGCTCCGTATTGGCAGTGTTGCTAACATCGGCGTCCGAGCTATCGGCGAAGAACCCGTGATCTTCGTACCCGACGCTCTCCACCGTGACCTTCTCCTCAACAATATGCTAAAAAGAAGAAATGGGAAAGAAGTTCCTATAAAATACTAGAGGTCACTGTGCTACTGCTACCGGATGCTACTGCAGCAGATCATGGCTACTATTACGCAGACGACTATTAGTGATGCCTGAAGTCGATAACACAAAGTGCGATACACCGTATACATAGAAACTTACTATTTCGAGATCAGAGTCACTTGAGAAAGATTCGAGATCATCATCTGAGCCGCCGTCACTAAGCGGTTCAAATTCGTTATACTCAGAAAGTATCGATACAACGCTTGCTGCCGTACGATCTTCGGGATCATCAAGTTCGTCCAGATCGGACAACGAATCAGATGAGGATAGCGAGCCAACGATCCTCTTGCCACTATCTTGGAATTCTTCGAAGAGCGACAGGCCACTCCCACTGCCTTGTTCACTAAAGGCGATTTCCACGTCCAGTTCTTCAACGCTTTCTGACTCCTCTTCAGATGAACTAGCCTTGTGGTCATCGTTGACCCCATCCAGTACCTTTACGTCCGTCGACGCTTTAATACACGCAGGCGATCCTATAAGGTTACCATTACATGCCATCGTACAGGTCAGACGAGGATAAACAAGCAAGTTTGGCTCTAGCACATTATATAGCCCTGAACCTGTCGCTGTTTCCAACTATAGACGGCCTTCGCCAGAACGCAATAAGCCTTCTAATCATTGATGGCCATTATCAATGAGTAGAATAGGTATAGAGGAAGAGTTGACAGTGCGGACAAGTAAAAGTGCTAAATAAAGGCCCCGTGCAATGTTTACATATAACCGGGCCCTCCACGCTCTCCAAAGGACCGCCGTGCAACGGACATGCAAGGTCCGCGGCCACTTCTGTCGAGCCTTTCTCAAGTTCCAGCTGTATGTACCCACCCACCCCTGGTGCAGAATGCATCACATGACATCACAGTGGTGACAGAGTGATTGAACACCTCGCCGGCTAGGGGTGGAAGCAACGGCAGGCGTCAAAAGGAAATGCGGGGCCCGAGACGACGTGCAATGCCCCGTGGCCTTTAGGAAGGTAAGATATTGAGGTCTGGATGGTACTCGAAGCCACTGCTTAGGAACATTTTCTGTAAGAGTTTCAGGGCATGTGAAACCTTCAGACAGTTATCTTTCAGCAGCTAGCCCTAATAGAAAGGCGTTTAAATAAATCCGACGTCGTTCATCCAGGTTCTCTTATCTACGCCTACCGCATTCCTCAAAAGGTTAAGAGACAATGAACGGGGACGCATAGCTAAGTGGAAAAGAGCCGAGCAATTCCTCCCAGCTTTAGTTGCTTTTAAGGCACGGAGGCGTACGGCGCCTAAATGCCTTAAAATTGTCCCAGTGACTGCCTCTATAAAACCACGCGTCCTCCCTAACCTCGTAATAGGGCGGGGGTGAGAGAGCCTTGCATCTCCATGAAATCGTTCGAATGTCAAACAACTTATTCACGCATGGCTGCAATCACCACCGGTTATAATGGTCAGGGTTCTCCGCTTTCTAAGTTGCTTCGAGTGAGCAGTCATTCTCCTTGTCAAGACTAGGAAATCGACCAACACATCGGTTGCTGTTAGAAGCGAATCTTTTACGGACTAAGCTTAGTATAGCTTTTTTATATATTAGTTGGCCGTTTTTGACCAGAGCGAACCCTTACCAACATCGTGTCGTTTTTGAGTGAACACAGGAGATATGTGCTTCCTGATTAGGCTTCTGTGAGAGTGTCGTTGTAGTCGATTCGTTGATCCGAAGTCGCGCGCGTGCGATCCCACAGGACCACAGATAAGCGACACAAGAACGCATTGAGGGAACATATCAATGGCAGAGATGCAATGCGTAGCCAGATTTCATGTTGATGGTCAGATCATATTGAGAGGGGTAGATTGAAAAAGTTGGTAACAGAGAGAGAGAGGAAACCACAAATGGAGAGAAATTGTCCATTAATTATTAACCTAGACTTGTATACAGGCTGCAACGACTTGACTAATCTGAACCTATTGCAGGCACTGCAAAACTGTAAAATTATGATTACTGGTAAACGGAGCTACAGATCAAGACAAGCAAAGAAGTGATCCTCATTGAAAACAAACAGGTAATAATATAGCAACGCGAAAAATGAAAATTAAAAAAAAGAAAACCACGATTACAAAAAGCAAAAACAACTTTGAAATCATTCATTCACCAACCGGACAGTCACTCCTTCAGTCAAACGGCTCGTCACTACCTATGGTAAAAAACCTAACAATTAGTGGATAAGTTCAAAGGCTTCGCGTTTTGTGCCCGACACAAGTTTCGTTACCTGTATATCATCACAAAGTTGTTCTCAGCTGGACCTCTTGCCTCATTGCCAATGGCTCAGCTTGGTCGTCACATAATCATAGATAAGTGTTAGCCAATCAAGAAGTCAATAAGGCCGCCCGCAGTTCGTAACTCGACATCACGGTTTCAATTTTGTATTACGTTAGTGAACAGATGCGGTCGGCAGATTGACTCGCATTTTTTTCAACTGACCGTGTTCAGTAACACTGCGGTAGGCATTAGTGACCACTTGATTAGCTCACATTTGGGTATGATTTGAACGCTAAACGGGGACATCACGCCATCAGTTGATAAACGTGTATGTTCCGCTTATCTTCAAGCGCTTTCATACAATTTTCTCTTCAATCTTCGGTCGCATGAAAAAGCCATGAACCCCGGTTTTGAGGCATGCAGGCCCTATAGAAATGGACCTCACGTCAGTCTCGATGAAATCCATTGGTCTCACCCGAATCTAAGGTTCGCACTGCCGAAGTAAAAGATATGCTGTTAGCCATACTTGAGAGCTAGAGCATCAAAATAATCGTAAGGGGTGACAACAACTTGCACATGAACTGGATGCTAATTATACCTAGTCACGTACGAAACGATACATGTGAGAGAAATATAGAAGTTCATAATGAAAAGCTAAAGAGGCTTTGATAGTTGGCTATCATTAACTAAACGGTGTAGATTTACTTCAATCTCCCTGAGCCATCAGGGATCCTATTAGCTCTTCTTTTTATGATAAGCTATGCATCTACAGCAAAATATATACACTTCCATATTCGTACTGTAACATAAGAGTTCTTCTGTGGACCAGCATTGAGGTCACTGTTTTGCACCAACCACAGTAACAGTCAAAACATGTTCTACTGCTGAGATTTCTACAATCACTTTTTAGGTACTTTTTTGCCGACACATAACAACGAACATGATGACGGCGCAGAGAGGAGCGACGTGTAAGTCACGAAGCTCCATTTTGGCACGTTGTCGAAACGGTGCGACATCAAAGTGTCAACCACCTGCAACGTTCTCTCCTTACTACCCGCCCCAATATTCCTATATGCTATATTTTACAAACCAAAACAGATTCAGACAAGCATTCATTCATGCACCTAAATATAGATAGCAATGGTTAGGGAAAACTGCGCTTACAGTAGATCTAGAGGACTAGTAGTTACTTTGCAAAATTATCGAACCATATAAGCCAGATGGTCGAAATACATACACAGCCTCTCGATTGGTAAATGACGTCCTTTTGAATAATACACCCAGAGGATCACCGGAGCAAATTATTACGTCTGGACGAGACACGTGGAAGAGTCCATGTGAGACGATGTATTGCTTGAGAGAATGCACAATCTAAAAGAGAATTTTAATCAGTTAAAATAAACACTAGGTTTAGTTTGTTTCTACAGAGACAACTCACTCATAAAACATTTATCAAATTAGTGTTTTATAACCCTAGATATAAAACTTTCATGAATTTACAATTGACCAAATTTACCATAATTTTCAAGGGTTAGTCAGTTTGTACTAAACAAATAGAATAAGTATAAATGTATATTAGACTTACAGTTTCAAACGTAACGGGTTCATTTCCGAGTCCATAAGATTCCAATAAACGTAAAAATGCTTTATCCAATAAATACATCTGAAAAGGTCTCAACGGAACAAATGCTGCTCAGCTAATTTACAATCATGCATCATCCATTATATATATATATATATATATATACATCTATAAGAAAAAATACTACAAGTTAAGATTAGTATCGGAGCACAATAGACCTTAGTCCCATATATTATTGATGCTCACTTTTAGTTCTACTGTGAACTACAGAATAAGTTACGAACGACCACCGGATTCCTTTTGGTACTTCATTAGATACAGAATCGTATATTAGGTATTTAAACGTATCGGTTGTACCTGTTGCTCCAACACTTGGTCGCCAAGTTTGAGATTCGTAAGCTGCGCGTCGCATGAATCAACGAATTAGTACACGCAACTGACCCTTCTAGGAAATTGTGTGGCAAAAGCAACTTAGCGATAATGAGCATGCTATCTAACGGAAGGAAATAGAGTAGGAATATCCATTTCGAAACGTCGAGTGGTCGGTACCTGTTTCTGCCAAAGACCAAAGCACATTACTTGGCAGACGTGGCGAAAAATACACGTTGCTATTCTATTCTGCGACCGCTCTAGCTGACGCGACTGCGAATCACACTTCAAACGCTCTCGACGAAAACGAGCCTAAGAAGCACATGCATATTAACTCAAGCCAATCCAATCTGCCTACATGTCATGTAAATTTGCAGAAACATGCATGACAAAACCGGCTTACGCAAGATTTATATTTAGCCATGGCTTAGGAGTGATAGACAGACACATTGGGGAAAAACACCGCTAACACACACTTCGATGCTTCTCGTGCTGGTGCTGATGCCACCCAATAATATCGCGATTGTGCTTAGTTCTAATATTTGCCTTATGAAATTGCTGATAATATGATTCATAATAAGCGGGTTCGAAATAGCATATTGTCAAAACGCACGCTCTGCTCATTCCCAGATAAAACTGACCGGAATCAGCTCAGCAGATGCCGATGGATTAGATGTTTTGCTCTTTGTATGACCTATATAAAATCTTTTCCGAGAAACACTACCGCTCACTCCATCTATTCATCTATTGATATTTGAAAATAACAAATCAGTATAATGTATGTAACACAACTGAGTCTATAAGCAAATTAGTATTTACTCATAAATAGAAAAATCAGTCTGCTGATGTAGAGAACTTCATGACAACTATGTCGGTATAAAAAAGTTTAAATTACTGCCATATTACTTTATGGACCCTGTCTACACTTGATGCCTTTGCATCGAACAGGGTCAGGCTACCAGCTGCCACGTATTTAAGGTAACGAATCACACAAATCAACAAACATGCAAGAAAAAGACGAAAAACAATAACATACTCACATTTACAGTATCGACCGCTGGCGAGGCGGCACTCAGTGGCTGTTGGGGCTTTGGAGCACTCATTGCCAGGCCCGCCTGGCTTGCCCTCGAAACCACTGCCTCGGTCATGCTGTTGCTGCAACGTCGCACAGAAAGCATTTTGTTGTCACAATAGGGTGTCACTGTACGATCAGACCAACGCTAGCGCTGCTGCAAATCAGTTCAAAAGTATTCTAACAACGACGGCGGCGACAACAATAATCACCGCCACGCCTTGAAAGGGCCGTTGCTTATCGCCTCAACACTTCATCATTTTCCGAAACGGTATTGTTGTATTGCAGTGGTCTGTTACAGCCACTAAGTGTACATTGCATATACGTGATGTATACACGATCCGCTACCAGGCGGCAGCAAGTTCACTTGATATGTAGACGATGGGTTGAGTAGGCCGGCAAACCCTCGTCAATCTATCGTTGAATATACATGTCTCAGCAATAACTAAACAGGATAACTATCGAATTTTGTTGCCTTCGCTTTACAATGGCACGGACATGCACTGATATTGACACAGGCTGCACAGTAAAGATGCTGAGATAGATGACCGCGGCAATGGCGAGGCTGTTGGTGATTGCAGACTGCGGCATTGGACGAGGTCCGCGGTCCATGGGATGGGAGCTTAAAAAGATCATTGCACAGAAGAGCGCTCACCAGCACACGCGGCCCATACGACTACTCTGCCCGGACATGTAGCGGGCTTCAGAGGAGATGCGGCGACTAGAAGCAAGCCGGTCTAGCTACCATAATTCTGCTAGCAACAGCTGTAATAAAAATTGTCTTGTGTAAGGCTTTGGTTAGCTACACGCAACTGAAAAGCTTGCAACGTAAATATACAGTAACAGGGAGAAAAATCAACTGAGGAATAAACCATCGATCTCGCAGTCTCATCATCCTTTACAGGTTGTTCTGCTTTGGTAGATATTATTAACGCTCAGTCATAATGCAATCTTTTGGCTTCGTTTGGACAAGTAATTATGATGCAGTGGAAGCCTTCAGCGAGCTTCGCTGTTGTAATAGTAGTACCGATACTCGTACGTTGTACGTGTTTAGTCCAACAGCTACACTAGGTGATTATCTGGCACGCAACAAACAATCTAGTTAGTGGTTATGCTAGAGAAAAAAAAAAGTATATATATATACTTCTAGGCTTTAATAATATTTCTAATATTTAGCTTATAATCTTCATTTGGATAAGAGCTACGAAAATATTCTACGTCTTGATAGCGATTATACATTGAATGTTCGCGCAGTTTTGGAGCCTGAAAATGTCAGCTTTGAACAAAATGAATGTTTATCGTTCGTAGGATCAGCTTCGGCCAAGCCAAAGATTTTCAATCAAGAAATTACCTAAACTCCTCTAGAAGTAAAAACCTTTTCTAAGGTGCTGTAAACGAATAACACCACTTTTTCCTGACAATTTTTTTCTTTACTGTTCTCTCTAGTTAACGCCAGCAGAGATATGAGTTCAACTGTACACTCCTAACTACCCATTGCCATCTTCAATTTATTCACCTATTGTCGATGCATATTTAAAATAACATATCTCGCATTCGGAGTAACGTTTCGCTCTATGTTTATCCATAGTATTCTCGGTTAACAGCATCAGCCTCTACGGACTTCTCTGACGGTTAGTAGCAGTATCGAGAAGAACTGACGCAGTCGAAAGAACGGCCAGACAGACAAGAAGCCTGGGAATTTGCGTTACTATCTCTAAAAAATCTTCGCTAGACTAGTATTCGTCAACTAGCGATGCCGTAGTTCCCTTTCTCGCCCCAGGAGAACGGGTGCAGGCAGGCAGACGAACGGCCACTGATAGCGTTCCGAGGGACGTCAGCATGGCCGGAGACAAGCACCGGCAAGCCAGCTCCGTCTGCCGTGCAGCAAGGCTAGCGTCGCTACTCGCCATTTGTTTCACGAACAAATTAGCGTTAGTATGTTCATTGGCCGACTTGGTAACTGGTTCAGGCTGCAAACTCGTAACGAGTCATGATTCTGTCCTGGACAAAAGCAGGCTCGTTTGGAATAGAGGTGGTGGCACGTTTCATTGTTGGTTGGAAATGGGGCATCCACAATCGATGACCATTGTTTTGTTGTCGCCATGACTGGTCCAGCCGTTGCTATTTGCCAATGCGCAATAATAATGGTGGTATCACAAGCTAATTTTTGCCCGCACTTTCAAGCGGTGCAAAAGCATGATTTTTTTTTGGCTCACCGGATACCTTCTAATTATCGAAGCCACCTAAGACTGGATGATTTACGATATTAGTAGGACTAAACAAACTATATCGATTTTTTTTAGTACGGCGAGTTTAAGGTTTCAATAAACAACAAGCTGAGCATGCGGAGCAGCAACTCAAATTTTAGGTATATAATTCAAGGGCGTAGTACGCCACAGAACACCACAATGGCCTCATAAAAAAGCTATACTTTATTCACAGAAAAGCACAGTGTGTATAAGTGTTAATTACCCCATGAAGTATATTAAAGTAGGTTTAGATTTATAAAAATTTTAGATTTTTTTTGGTATGCTTCCGATGGTTTTGTCTTTACAGGAAAGTAATTTTTCAGCTAAAGCTCAGCAACAGGTTGTTTGCCTACCGTAACAAAGGATCTGTTATCAAACGTAGTGCGAATTCTTTGACGCAATGTATACTTACTTTGCTGTAGTCCACACAGGGGCTAAATTGCTGAAGCTCAGAAGGCCTATTCGATCGATTTGCCGAGTTCGCCTTTTTTCTACTATCAACAACTGATGATAAGGACGTACTACTCGACTCCGCTGTACCCCTTTCTAAGCACTAATGAAGCATTACGAACTGTCCAAATGGTCGGGCTGGGGATAAAGCACTGAGACCTGTCCTTGAAGCGTACGATCTTCTTATGGAGAAGCTAGAGCCCAGGAACCTCACTTTGCATTTGCGCACTCTTAGAGGCGCCGTTGGGATTTTCCAGCGCACAATACACGCACAGCAACAGAAATGGCACCACAGGCTTCCATTTTGATGGGCAAGAATGAGCAACGTCGTGACAGAGTCGAAAGCGTGATGGGTGAAAGCATGAACGAGACAGAAACGCCGTAAACGCGCCAATCTCGTACACTAATATCTAGAATTACTGTTGTATCAACAACAAACTCAAGACATTGTGGGGTAGCAACTTGCGTCCAATGTAGGGTCCTTATGGGTGCGCTACTTGTTTGGAAATGAAGGTCCGTTGTTGACGTTCATCTGATGATTCTGTCTGGCAAAGAAACGCGCCACTGTTTGAATCGTGGCAAAACTGATCTCCTCTGTTTTTCTTTTTCTAGTTCAGCCAGTTGTGAGGCCGATCGGCTTAAAATATTCCGATACGGTGACATGACGAATGAGATTGAATTTATCATTTAAGTTCACGTTCTCGTTGAACTTTTTTTTATGATAGAGTAAATATTTCCATAAACATTAGTTCGTGAGATGTTATTCATGTTGCTTGTTGCATATCGATCGTTAGAAAAACTACGGACGTAGGACATACTAAAAATAATCACATGCGGCTATAAACATTCGAACATGAATGTAGATAAGAAGGCCTTCTGCTGGTGCGAAAAGATTCGATTAAAAAAACATGCGACAATAAAAGGCAACGTTAAAACTAGGTGCGGTATTGAAAAATGCAAAGTGGAAAAGGAAATAAAGTGAAAGGCAACGTGGTAAGTGTTTAATTACAGTACATACAGTAAAACGCATTCGGTAAAACGCTCTTCTTATGAAAGGTAGAATTTATATGGCAATATCTTTTTGCGTCAGCTGTTTCTTGCTACAATCGAAAAATTGATCCAAAAGAATATTTCTTTACGAGTAGTGAAACCCCAGTTCTTGTTAAACTTTGCACATCAATACAACTTCTAAGAAAAAGCAGTGTCTTCTAAGATGATCAGCCAGTGACAATAATATGCATCAGGCAATGCGCTGTTCAAATGTAAGGATTGGCTTGATATCAGTTAAATAATATTGAACTTACGCTGTTTTACGGCAGTCTAGGAGTAAAGCTAAAAAATGTACTGTCATCATAACGCGCATTCATAATATCGGTTGTTGTAGTTTTTTGGCATTTGCAAATGTAACGCTACCTAGACTATGTTTCGAAAATCAATATTATGTTAAACACTTTAGCTTACGAGCTAACAGCGACAGAAAAGGCTAAACCTCTTCGTATCTGTAGGAATTTAGAGCATAAGTATACACTAATATAGCACTTATCTACTAAAGTACACATCTAAAATAGTTCGCGCCAAATAGCTCAGGGTGTTCATAGAAAGAAAAATATTTTATGTATTGCATCTTACATGCCCAGGATATAGGAGATAATGCATCAAGACACTGATGTCCAGACCGAAAGTGTCTGGAACATTGGTAAAATGTTCCATTGATTATTATTTGCAAGTTATTATTTTTATCGATATTCGTATAAAATGTAATAATAACAATAATTATAATATATTCAGTACAAGACAGACAAGTATGATAATATATATAGGGTGTGAAATTTTTCCTAAAAAAATATAATATCCAAGACTTTATGTAGAAACTTGGAAGGTATTCGATTTTGATGTTGTAGATAAAAAACCGATTAATCCCTGCCAAACTTAAGCTGAGCTTTAAGCCGCACGACGCTTTTCGTATACACAATGTTATTATGTATAACGGTTTTCTTCACGGCTGGAAAACGCTGTAATGCACACATTGTAATTTTGCCTTATATATCTCGTTAACTCAGTCTATTTACGTCAGCAACGCAAATTGACGAATACACAAATGGCCTTTTATATATGTATGTATATATATATATGTATATATATCTTAAAGTAAAGCCTAAAGCATTGATTTGAGAGTGCTGTTTACGCAATACTTTCTCTTGGCTGGAAGCAATAGTTATTATATAGGCAACCGGTAAATTTCCTCTAGGCCGTGCATATCTCATACATGTTTTCTCTGTTTTGTTTCTTAAAATATGTCTTTTATTTCCTTTTCATGGAAATCATATGAGGAAGACGTAGTTTTAGGTGTGTCCCATCGGCAACACATTGAGTTTTTTTCAGTTCGTGGCCTACGAGCGTGTAGATTGTCTTGCTCGTCCTTACACTTGCGCAGTTGCCATAAGGTTACTTTTAAAGTTTCACAGGCCGCGTTTTTGGGGAGGGGGAGTCGACGCTCAAAACATCGTGATTTTATCAGGACAGAATACTTTTTCACTATGCTTTGTATAAAAATCGAAACATATGTCACCTAGACCGGCTAGTGTAGGGAAGCGATGATAGAATTAACAACCTGTTTGATAAGAGTTGCTTTAATGTAGGGATTTTAGAGCAAATTGGCTACAGGGAATGTGCTTTAGTTTAGTTCTATAAATCCACTATACGACTATTTTTATTCCGTTATGCTGTTCTTCAACAAAATAAGTATAAATGCAATTTCACTTCAGAGAGACATTGCTCTGAATATCACTGTAATTAAAGTTATCGTTTTATTAATTGAATTTTTATAAAGATTAATTAATTATTATAGTAAATCTCTTCATGTAATGTCTGTGTGCTTAATGATAGCATAAAGTCTGATACGAGAAGCTCCGTTCCGAACTTATCTTTATAACTAATCAAAAGAATATTTCATTAAAAAAAAGCAATTTTTTTTGCTGATTTTACATACTATTTTGACTTTGTGCATTTCTTATTCGAATTGCTTCTTCAAACGATTTTCACAGACCTTATTACTTGGCCTAACGACAGTCCGCTTTATATGATTAGTAAACTAGTCTTGCTTTAACATATGGAATTAAAAGTTAATTATTGATGCAGGTGTCCGCAACCTTAACTTACGATCATCATCATATAAAAAGTTAACAAAAAATGGCTACAAGTTCTACCTCTTCGAGAAGTCACCAGAACTCAGGCCATATAAATGGTCTGCAGGAAATGCTTGGCCGATGCATCGCCCTTATTGACATGGATTGCTTTTACGTACAGGTGGAAGAGAGGCTTCAGCCACAGAATCGGGGCAAACCTGGCGTTGTGGTTCAGTATACTGGTACGTGTGCGGTACACCTTTAACAGCGATAAATTTGCCATTAATGAACGATGTTTGCAATCGATCCGTACGCATTAATATCTAAAAATCTAGGACGAATAAAATCATTGGAAGGGACACACATTATTTGTTAGACGAGATATTTATCGATAAAACAAAACGTCCTTTGACTGGTCCTTATAAATGGCTCGTCGCCGACAGTTACGAGTGTTTACTAATTTAGGTGGGGTGATTGCTGTTAATTATGAGGCTCGAGCAAAAGGAGTAAAACGAGGTATGCGACGAAGTGAGGCTCAAGCGCTGTGTCCCGATCTTATTTTCTACTACGTTCCTGAAGCACGACAAAAGGCTGATCTCTCTCGATACAGGTAACTTCCAAACAAAGACTAGTTCTATTTAATGCACTGCATGAATCTCAATTTATAAACCAGTGTGTTTGAGAATCTTAAATTTCCTCAGCTTCATGATGCAAATTCGAATTCGTTCCCTTCAAAATGACTAGTGAATACATTAACAGCGTTCAAATAGTATATTTCTCCAAAACATTTCTTACATACTGCAATACAAACCTTGTGCAGTACGTTAAAGGCCACACTCATTGTTTGCTGTAGCCGTTTTCGTCACCAATAATGCCAAATACATGAAATCCTTATGAAGCCGGTTTTTACGTACAGATCTAGTTTCTTTTTTTGTAACATTATGATTATTAATTCCACAATAAAGTGCATATAGAGTTGATTACACATAAATGTAGAATTGATCTTAATGTTTAATTATTTGTCGGCCTGAATCGGCAGGTTGGCAGGTAGGGAAGTGCTGAAAGTGTTTTGCTCATTTGGAGCTACTGTGGAATGCGCTTCAATCGATGAAGCGTACATCGACCTAACGGCACTTGTCAATCGGGAAGGAAACAACGAACAACCTGTGTCCTACGGGGCACTCGGAACCGCTTATGTCGAGGGCTACGATACAAATCGGGACTTCCTTTCAAGCAAGTGACGAGCTTTAAATTATCCTGTAATTTTTTCCTTTTAATTGGACTTTCAGTTACATGCAGACAAAGTCATGTAAATCAATTATTTTATCTTAAACATTTTTCTTGTGAGCGTTATATGCTACCTAAAAATGAGATTTATGATAATTCCATGTATATATATAACACAATACTTTAATAAGTCAACAAACGCAAAGCAAGAACGAACGAGCCAAGTGTCACATATACGAAATTTTGTTTTGGACCCAATGCACCCTTCGTTTAACCGATACAGTTTAAAACACATAGGAGGTATGTTCCTCAAGCGTAGATAATAAAAGCTATCCGGTGAAATAACTCATCTGTGACATTAAATTTTTACAGTGCTTCTCGAGAAGCAACTGCAAGTCATTCGCTAGATTTGTCCGGGATAGTCGTTGTCGAACAAAAGAACTGACCGCTGGTAAAACAGGTAGCTACGATTTATTCAAGAAAAACAATATCCTGTCCGAGTCAGTTCAGGCATGACCGGGCACGCTTCACTGTTAGACAGAATTTTTACTTATTGGCGCATCACCCATCAGATCGTAAATCAGTCCCATCACATGATGACTGGCTAATTTGTTATTTTGAAATTAATAGTGGAATAATACAAATACGGCGAACCTTATCGGTGATATTAGTTAAAGTAGGTGTTTCTAGCTTTACGTTCGGTATTTAAACGGTTAGGCGTTGTTTGGGATAGCTAGCTTTTAGCATGAAACGAAATGTGTTCACGCCCTAATTCGAACTAACGAATTCTGTTAACGAATGTCTGCCTACTAACGAGTTATAGATAAGTCAACTTCATGAATAGTTGCAGAATCTGCTAATTTGAAGTGTACTCGTCTGCTCAATGAAATCTACAATTCAAATATTTGGTCGTCGATTAAAACATGTGGAATTACCGTTCAATAGGAAATAGTGATTGATGACAGTAGAAGTACAGCTAGACAGTAGAAGACAGATCAGATCTTGAAGGAAAAAAATAGAAAATTAAGATTTGTAGTTTTAAGTATAACCTCTATGGTTACAATCTGATTGATTTTAACGCGAATATTACCGCTTGATGCCTTCTGGTTGTCTAGGAATTGCCTCTTCTTCTTTGATTTTAAGTTGATTGGGCGCAGTTAGACCTAACAAAAAAGTTAATTTAAGAGAAGTCCTACATTAGTTGCAAACAGCCGTTCTTGAAAAAAAAGTTCTTATAATTTGTGGGAGTAAGCTGGTTGCTGATTACTCTTAACTACAAATCTAAAATACCGCATTGTCAAGAAAAAAAAAGTTGTTCAGTGTAGCTTGCTAATATTCACTTAAATTAATATAGTTGAATTGAGCTCTTTAGACACCAAGGATTGCTTCAATTGTGTAGCTTGAATAGGTCTGAAGACACATTGAAAAAGTTATTAAGCCTGATAAGCCTTTAAAAGCCTGTTTGTTTGACGAAGCATATGCTTAGAGATTGAAGTTCTACCGTCAATTACTACTGTGTTTTTTTAGATATAGACTGGAAGGTACGTGGCGGTGATGCATTTCTAGCACGTGGTGCCGAAATAATGACGCAGATGCGCCGTGAGGTGTTTCTAAAAACCAAGTTCACATGCTCTGCTGGAATCTCACACAACAAGGTACGAAGGCATAGGAAATACCTTTATTTTGTTCGACACTATTGACACTATACAGATGCGTAGATTAGTCTATTCTGAGCACATTACTAGTCCAGTACCAGAAAACCTCTTATAATGGTATACGTGTGGGTCATATACTTGCAACGCTTTTCAGTGGTTAGATTACCTAGTTCTAATTTATTTAAGCAGGTGGTAGCGAAACTGGCCGCAGGACTTCACAAACCCAACCAGCTGACGGTCGTGCCGCACTCGTCAGTGCATAAGCTTTTCGAAACTGTCGCGGTGCACAAAATGCGTGGCTTGGGGGGCAAGTTAGGAGAGCAGGTATCTGAGCATTTGCAGGTACAGACGATGGCGCAGCTTGCAGAAGTATCCGCCGCAAAACTGACATCGATTTTCGGCACAAGGACAGGGTAGCTAGCTATACACTTTTCTTGAAGCTACACAACGCTTAAGTTACACCAATATGTTTTTTTGTCAAGTATTTCCTTGTTGAAATTGCGTAACCATGTGTGTAAAAACTTCAGTTGAAAATTTAACTGAATCTCAAAAGTCCTAAACTATTATGATTGTTGACTTGTTATTTAACATATGGCTTTTTTTGTTTTAAAGCCGTTGTCTAAAACTTTATCGAAATTACTATATTTTAATAATGTAGTTAAATTATCTTCCCCAGAATGTGGCTTTATGAACTGAGCCATGGGGTGGACCACGAAACAGTCGCAGATCGTTTGTTATCGAAGAGCATTGGGTGCGCGAAGAACTTCCCAGGCAAAACCGCCCTCATGACTGTGAAGGACGTCAGCAAATGGGCGAACAGTCTCTGCGAGGAAATGGAAGAACGTCTCAAACTGGTTCTTTTGCTTTTATTTTTTGATAATGTGAAGTGAAAGTTGTTATGTGATATTTATTTGAACGCAGTGTCTGGAATAACCAACGACATGACCTGGAATCGACGTAAACTATAGCATAATATCCAAAATGGTTTTAAGATAAATCTAAGTGCGTTAGGACGAGAAAATACTGTTCCAAAGGCAATATAATTCGCTGAGGTGATACAGTAGTGGCGATGTGATGTGTTATTATTTGCGCCTACGCGTGGTCACCGTGTGTAATATAGTATAGTTAATTTAACCATGAAGATACGGGAACAATTATACACGACAATCAGGTGTGTGATTTGCCCTGTTCAACAGTATAGCGTAACAACAACGTAGCACTTACTCGATTTGAATTTCATATCCTTGTAATTGCTAAACAGGACCAGAAGACCAACCAACGCGTGGCGCGCTTACTCACCGTAAGCAATGGAATTCAGTCGCGCAGTATCCCACTTACGGGAATTACGTTCACTAAAGTATTTCTATACAACTCAGTGATGGCCGGATTATCGAAACTTAACGTGGCACCTCAGGGTAGCGGTGACTGGACTCCGCCTATAAAAATGCTTTCGTTTATCGCAAGTAAATTTGAAGTACTTGATAAATCAGCTAACATTATGAAGTACATAGGCAATACCAAAAAGAGTACAGAGCGCGCAGAAGCGAAATCGTCGACCTCATCTACCATAAAGGGTTTGTATTTTTGTAATGTGCTAAGTATACAAGTTACAACACACTATGTGTTCCCATATATATACATACATATATATATATATATATGTTTCGTATTTGCACAACTTAATCATATTATAATAAACTAAAATAAGTGAAGTCATTCGTGTATTTCGTAGCCCCTCTCGTAGGCTGCCCAACCATGGCGGAACGATTAGCCAATTTGATGGCAAGTAACGAAGATGATATCATGCTTGAAGACACTTTCTAAAGATTAGTATCTTAGCACACACTTCCTACTAACAACAACGGTACGAAGACTTCTGCTGGATTCGTTTGTCTCTATAGGTAAGCGTAATAAAGTAAAGGATGACATACATGTGCTGCACGAAACAATATGCCTAATGTATACATATCGTAGAACGTATAGTAGTCATGTTTCTTGTTGTTGCAATACAGAACTATTTCTGCTGTTTTATTACTGTTTTTTGTTGCTGCAATACAGAACTATTTCTGCTGTTTTATTACTAGTTGGTTCGTCTTAAATAATTCAAGGTTGACTTCGTAAATTTTCGTTAGGCATAATTCCTCCTTGAGAGATCTTTGAATCATCTCTCAGTCGTACGTCAAACAAACATGTCAAGTGATTCTACTATAGATGAGTTCAATTTAGCGCCAAGTTGTGTGCGTTTTCGAAACTAAAGTGAGTGCAAAATTAAGCAATTAATCTGTTTAATTCTAACTTGTTTACATTATTTTTTATTCTCGTTCATTAGCTCAATAATATTAAAAAGTACGCGACCTAATATAAAATAACATCCCATTTTATTATTTGCATAATATTAATAATAATAATTATAATAATAATAATAATATCAAGAAAACATTCGTGTCTCTAATTTTCTCGCTTTCATTGTCGATTCTGGGCGATTACGAATTGATCGGTTCAGAACCTGATTTTCCCTTCTCGTTCTTACCTCCGCATCGTTACTTTCGCCCTATTTGTTTCACACGCATTGACACTTCTCAATCTACCTTTCATTCACACGAGTCTATCCAACACACCGTGATCCCTACACGTTCCACCCGTATCCCTGTTAACGACTACGCATTATGACCAATTCGTGCGGGACGTTGAAACTGCTACCTTACCCACTATTATTGGGGTCGTGTTCAACAATCGAAAAAATGATAAGCATTTTCGTTATTTCATATCATTTTTATGTTCACTATAATGTAGTAGCCCCACTGACTTGTCCCGTTCATATTTAGTACAAGATGCCTTTGAGCCTTCGATCACTGTTCAAAGCCATTCCGTACATCCACACCGCTTGTTCGACCCTATTTAAATCTTTCAAACACTAGTTACGTCGTTGAAGATCCTACGAAATGCTCCGCGGCGGACATGACCTTACACTAACATTCATTCTTCATAAAGTTTTTCGACTTTCCTTATAATATTAATAATAAGTTGATTCGTTAGCCCTTTCCTTTTTTCCGAATTCTTTATATCTACTTAGTAGTACTAGCAGTTCATCAGCCTTTTTGTTTGTTTCTTTCTTGCGATCTCGCTCTCTCTCTTTCTCTCCCTTTATATATATATACCTATCGTTCATTTTTTTTGTTTGAATACAGTTGTTGAAGGTAGCCAAAATAGTTCTGAATGTTCGTTTCTCATAATCATAATTCATCTTCAAGCTTCATTATATAGCTGATATACTCATCGTCACCTTTGTATTAAGCTTATTCTTATTAACTGTCTTCTAGCCTTTTCAATGATTAGCACGTGGCGTCGCCATCGAAATTGCTGTAGTTGAGAGGTCAAGCATGCCCCACAAGGAAAAGAGCGTTCACGCCTTATAGTTCTTTCTAATTCACTAGTCACTTGCAGCCTCAGCATTGATAGCAAAAACACTGGTTATAATTTTCCAAGATTTCTCTTCTTTGTCGTTTTCATTTCTTTCGTTTTCGTTTTTACAACCCCCAGCATCGCCTTCTCCAACGATTTAACCTCGCTGTATAACATTATCATCATCGTGACTCCTTTCACCGGAATTCGCTACTGTTGCTGTCATCACCACGTAATTAGATTCATTAGACCGTTGGCGATCGCCTGCATCTATCTTATGAACTTATCAGGGTTTTTTTTTTGAGTTGGCCGTGCAATCATCTGTTGTTGCGATCGACAACTACTAGCGATATGTCGAGGATAAAAAATAGAAGATACCTCAGTGTATATAAAAGAAGTTAATGAAAACGGACTACCAGTAAATCACTGGTAGTTGATGCTGGTGCTAAGATGCTTTTAAATAAATCTTCAATGAAATACGAAAACATACACCACTGCGTTTTTAATCATTAACATTTTTAAGCGCATCCTTTTTCGTTTTTATCTTCACTAAGCTGATCTCCATCTGTTGCGTCAACGTTAACATTGAGGTCAACCGGTCTAAGTTACCCTAAATCGGAAACCATTATAATAGAGACAGCAAACCCTTGCAGTCTTTCTTAGAAATGGGTTAGCAAACTTATTAGTTCTAGGTTTCGAAGCAGAGCAGCATAGTAAACTAAAGAGAAGAATCGAAATCCAGTAAAACAGAAAATGAAATCATGGTAATTGTCTTACAAGTTAGTCTTTCTTGGTACATTCGTACGCATCTCGACGCGCGAATACGCGTTGCCTGTCCAATAAACTGTTGTCCATTTTCGATCTACCTCAGCGTTTTGCCGCAGTTTTGTGTAATATCTACATAATCGGGCTGCTTAGCAAATAGACCAGTTATGGATATGCCGCCCATAGAAATGATAGCGGGAGCTCACGTATAACAGCGACGCCTATAGAAATGATAGCAGGAGCTCACGTACAACAGGGGTGGGCCTGATACAGTCATCGCAACGGTCTATATGGGTCGAGTATAGGGAAAGCACATATGTCGGATACACGCTTTCCTAGGCCGGCAGTTTAAGCGCTTTACCCTTGATAACTTTCGTGACATACAAATAGAAGAAATCACAATAAAGGACGGTCTGTACAACGCCGGCTACAATGGCGATAAAATCGTAGAAGTTTTCCACATAATAACGATAGATCCAATTGAGAATGTACAACGCTCGGTATGAGCCTAGTGCAAAGAGATAATGCGACGTAATCGTCTCCGCCTCCCCTGAAACGGAATGAAAGAGTATAGAGTATAGTAATAAAAGGATTCAATTATCAATGAATTAAGTAGTATGACGGGAAATATATTACTATAATATGGTCATAGATTCGTGAATACATCTTGACAGACACAGAAAAACATGCAGTTTTCAATACATAATTTTGCACGCGCCTGATGATTAGTCAAGTCCATTCAGTTATTAGTAATATTAATGGATTTTCATTCACATTAGGCTTGCACTGATCTAGTTCCATTGCTAGCAACTCACCTGTTTTTGATACCATAAAGAGTTGCGGCAAAATGGCTACCGCCTCTAAATAAATCGAGAACGTCCATAGAATTTCCATTATAGTGAACTCATGATTGATCAGCAAGGCAAGCACAGCGCAGGGTGCCAACAGGAACTCCACTCGGAATGTGTCGTGATTTCGGTCATAGGTGGCCTTGAACTTCACACACATCAGATACAAGGTGCCTGAAGTATAATGAAGAATTTCAGTAGATAGTTATCTCACTGTATCGGTAAGGATTTTTTACATATAGAACAAAAATTAATCGTTATAATACCACTGTACGAATGTGTTTGCCTGCTAATCTTAGTGACATGTTGTTATCTTGTTTCGAACCCAGGAAGCATCAGAAAGTTGAAGTCTAAACGGCAAGTGGAAGTGAGAAACTAAACTCTCAAATTCAAGTATCATACACACATTTTCCGTTCTCATGGAAGTTAAAGCAGCGACTACCATTTTCTTTCTGTTTAACAAAACAAAAGCCATAAAAATATTAAATAAAAATAAGGTCTCGAATATATGTAATCGCCCTTGTGACAAAACTGTTCTCTAAAACGGCATGTTATTTGATCTCTAATCATGCGCATTACATCTCTTATATTCTTACGAACTTTTACGATCAATATGCTATTAGTTATGTATTTTACCAATTACCAACACTATACAGCACAACACGAAATACCGGGCTTCGAAGCCTGTTTTCACTTACGTTGAAATCCAGTGCATGGTAACTGCTATATCTACAATATCATTTGACCTAAGGACGATGCAAGCTAACAGTGGTTATTGCAGTATTAGAGAACTGTTCATATATTTGCTAGAGCCTTTTGTGAATGATCACGCAGTATTAAGTTGCCCTGACCTAATACCTTGCTCTAGTGGTCTTAGCGCTAGTTTTTAGCACGTAATTTTGAAGCATATAGGGTAAAGCGATGATATGTTGATATGTGTTAGATGTACTCTTTGTTATTGGTTACGCATCGAAATCAACGCTCTGAAACTTTGCGCACGGTATTCGTTACGTTAGTTAACCTAATTCTGTTATCAGTGACTCGCTTGAAAGAATTGACAGCGGTGGGATACCCTGTGCCACCTATCGCCTTCTTTAAGTTACAACGATACTCGAAATCACACGAACTTCAATCTGGAGAATATGAAGGATCAAGCTGACCCGTGATGTGCTCACAGCGTGGCAGCCAAGTCGTACGTCGTCGTCAGGTAACTGCACTGTGTACTGTTGGTTGTCGCCCCATACATCAATCAAATCCTTCAGGAATCCAAAATGTCTTGCAGCATTGACTGCTTTCTTTGCAGGCGATATCTCATTGTAACAAATGCTCCTGATATCCATTGCGTGTATGAATAAGTTTACTCCTTAATCTAGTAGGAAGTACCAATAAAGTCGCTTTCGTTCTTGTTCAACGCCGTTCTCTCTGCAATCTCTCTTTGGTGGGCGGTATAGAATCACTCATGTCTCGTCTGCAAGGACGATGCGCTCCAGGCAAATTTTTTTATCTGGCAGAAATTTGTTGCGGAAATCGTCTAAAGGATACACAACATGTATTCGTCCGTCCTTAGAAACATATCTTTTGCATTTTTTTTCCATTTCCAATCTTTTCATTACGATTCAGTTACACGTGCTTCGAAGAACCCCATATTGAGCCAATAGAGTGTGTTGTCCACCTTCTGCTTTGTTGAAAAGCTTCCATGATCAGCTCGTTCTCCCCATTATAGCCCCGTGGTATAGTAAGCTTCTTTTGGTCTTTAGCTCTCCATTGTTCATGTTCATAGTGATCGCGCTAGTAATACACTTGGTAAAGGCTTGTTTGCCCAGCGTTTTCGCTAGTACTTGATGAATTTCGTCGGCGGTCTCACACTTGAACAGCAGAAATGGAGTTACTGAGAGGTGAGTTTTGTTACTTAATTATCTTAGCCTCTAAATTCATTACCTATGGGTACCTTTTCTTAGGAATCCGAAAAAAACTTACGACCGGAGAAAGTGCCACTACGTTAGGTTAAAGTGGCTTGATTTTTCGAACGGTGGTTGAAAGCTAAATGATTTTTCTTGCTAGCACTACTCTGTCAATGCCAGTATCCCCGCTGAAAGCTTACTCCCCGTCGCGTCGCTTTGGCTCAAATGCTATTTATTAATTCAATATGATTATCAAGCGGATATTCGCCTTTGGTTGCTTTGATGTGTCAAATAGGTAAATTTCTCTTTCTAAGAGCGTTAGGTTAGAATGGCAAGTATTAGGCGGGTACACAAATAATAGGAAAAGGACTCCATCAGATGCTAGCCATCAGCTTGAAGAATTCTTCTCCCTATATATATATATATATATATATATATATATATATCTTTTTTTTTTTTTTTAATGTATTATATCGACAATATACCTTGATTTTGAAAGCTGTGGCTCAAGCTGCATTTAAAAATGAACGACCTACAAAACCATGGAGAAATTAAAGAGCTTAGTTTCTGCCAGCCTCGCTGTTAGGCTGTTTACTAGTCTGTACGGAGTCCCGTTATTCCCATGTGAGTCGTTCTTGTTTTTTAATTGGCAGCTCTCTTTTTTCTCGCCTTCTGGACGTCCCGTTATTCACCACGCAACTGATGCGTGTACACTCAAGACCACCTCGGCTAGTCATGGCGCTAGAACTCGGATGTGGCTGCTACTACTACTACTGCTGCTGCTGCTTCTGCCTAGACCATTGCCAGTCGGAAGCCATAGCCTCTATGGCTATAATAGAAGGTAACATGGGTCAGTCTGGCACATCCTGTCTTGTCGTTCCGTATTCGAGACTACGACCACGAGCTTCTTACCCGAAATGGTAGAACGCTACAAAAAGCCAGATGCTTGCTTGCCTGCCTGTCTGAACCAGTCTGTCGCACGTAACTAGATGCCTACTATCTGCTATTGGAGCTGGTATTAACGGATGCCCTTATTGACGCCAATCGACGTTCTACGCCCTCGGGTTGCCTAGCGGAAAAAAGGTTACAAACGTAACACAACTTTTCTAATAACTTCTGTACAGCTACAGAACATTTTTTTCGCGCTAGAAGTAACACTGGAAAAAAGATATAAATTAAGAAGAACAGAACCTCTCGATAATGCAAACAGAACAGGCAAAAAAGCAGTTCTACAAAAGTATAGCTCAGATGTTCTAAAATACATTTGCGTCAAAAAAATGACGGGGTACTTTTGTATCTATGTGACAGTGCTCTTCATCCAATTACGAACACCTGTAATTAGCAAACGGTAGCACCTCAAAATACGAATCCGCTTAGGACATAATATATATAAGCTAGACGCAGTACAGAAGCGAATTTGAAATAACTTAGGATCTTTCTGCTTGTGCCTCTTGTCCTTTGAATATGTGAGATCTCCGAATAATGACTGAGACACTGCAGATGTTATAAGGATCAATGAAATGCAAACCCTCTTGGAAAAATTATCTATATAAAAAACGCTTTATTAAGCAACACTTTCTTGGAAGGTGATCATTGTTAGGCATCAGTCATTATGATTAGTTATTTGGATAGATATTAGGATTGCGAGAATTTTCCACCCAGCGTGAAAGATTGCCACCAAAAACCGACGGCGAGCTTACTTCTGCCAAATAATGAAATAGAGTCGTTTAGATTTCTTTACGCGATTATGATCCACCTATATCTGGAGTGATAGTTTTATTTTATATAATTTAATACAACCAAGAATCAATATTACATTAAAAATGACTTAAAACATGCGCATGACACTAAATCGTCGTGTCATATTGTAAAATTCTTTCTGTTGACAGTTTCCACTATGCGGGAAATAACACCTTTAATGATAATTATTATTTTGCCTTATTACCTTCAATATGCCCTATCAGCGCCCCTCAATGAACGCCATATGAGATCATTAGCGTTGTATAGGCTTGGCCTTATTTCTCGGGGAATAAACCTGCTAATGCCTTTGCACAATCCCACACACGTCGGAAATATTCTTAACTGCACAAAATTTCATTGCCTAAATAATTAGGTGACTCTGCCGGCCGATGTTCAGCGTTTATTCATCGGTAACTGGTAAAGGCGGCAATCTTCATGTACATGGATTCGTCAGAATAAAAAAATTAAAAGCGAAATAAAAATGCGGCCACAGAGAAGCTCACCTGTGCTAACAGCGACTTCACCATAAATCAATTTAATAATTTCAAATGTATCAATTAAGACGAGATACAATTATAGTTACTAAATTTCATAGCTGGGATATACAGTCCGCGAAAAAATTCGGCTCAGAGAGATGACGAAAAAAAAAATAACAATTAGAACAGCCTTCCTGCGACAGCAAAGCTCATCCAAGCCGGGTCTGTATAGAGGGTCATTGACTCCAAAATATGTTTGCTTTCACAAAACTATCGTTATTACTCAACTAGTGCTAGCACTGATGGGCAAGTTTGACGCACCAGCCAGCGACCCGATCAACCAGCGCGCGCAATCGATTGTCGCTGTTAATAACACGCTGACCATGACATTTCGCAGAACTAATTTCATAAATGTGACACTGAACCACTGTGTCCATGAGGAACAAGAAAGAAAAGCTGCTCGTCGAAGGCTTTTCGACATTTTTCGAGAACAACGTACTGCCATAACGCCAGTTGGTTCAAATAACGCTCAGGCTTCTCAGACCCAGTACGCACGCGGACACACGTCGCTCAAATAAACATGTTTGCAAAATATACTGTTGAAACTGACAACAACCTAGGTTTTTGTACGCTCTGTAGAGGTGTAAGTTAATAAACTGGAAATAAACTGTCACACAGAGGCCATTTACCGACTGTCGCTGCACCAATAGCCCCCCTATTCAGCCCCAGTTAAGACTGGTCAACGACTGGGTAAAACTGGTAACGACCTAGCAGATGATAGGGTAACAGTCTTGCTCTCGCATCTTTTCAAGGCTGGTATTATTGGCCGGCATTGATGCACACTTGGAGATACCAGGAGATACGAGCATACGTAGGCATACACACACACATATATATATATATATATAATCGTCCGACCATTATATATACATACAGTATATTGTTAGTATCTAAACATTCTCCCTGAAACGTTTTCCTCATTGTATTTGCTGCTTACCGAAGGACGCGACGAGGAAGATAACTTTCATGACAGTGTTGTAGATCGAGATAAACGAGGTAAATAGGTCGAGGTATCGGGCCGTGTATACAATACTAAACAGCAGCTGAGATCGGCCCGAGATGCCGGCACACGAGCGAGTTTTCCAAATCTTCAAAAGAAGTATAATGATGGCGAACAGGTGGGAGAGATCCCCCACTAGTCGAAACAGGTTCATGACGAAGCCTGATCTGGATGTAGAAGCTCAGAAAAACACGGTCACACTCGATAAAATCAGCCAATAAAACGCGTTGTACACAACACTATCCGTTACCCGTTGGTCACACCGACACACTGCTACACCGACCGCTTCGAGACTGACGTGGCTAATACGGACAGGACTTTGTTAGCAAGAGCTGCTCCTCTCGCTTTCTCTCTCTCTCTCTCTTTCTCACTTGTGCTACGACACGACAACATAAACAAATACGACGAAAGTACCACGACTAGATGCAGTACCTGGACCGAAAGCACAACAAGCTGACGGCTGGACATTGAAGCTCAGCAGGCCGTCAGAGATGACGCTCAAAGCATATCGGAAGGCAAAGCAATTCCTATATTCATCATTATTGAATAAGGGATACAGCGGAACATCCGCCCCCCTGAGGGATTATTTTCGTCTCTGCATGTTTCGCTTCCTCGTAGTTGGCAATGTCCACATGGGAGACTATTAGCACGGCACGGTTGAATAGAAAAAAAGCAGAGCAGAAGTGAAGCCTAAACGATTGGTTTGCGACATATTCGGCGCAATGCCTCCTTGACCGCTGCGTCTAGTCAACAGCAATTGTCGGCGGGTGTTTGTTGTTTTCGTACACAACAGTACGTAGAGGTGTCAGTGTGGAGGCGGCGAACTGTAGACATATCGATGATGTCGATGAACACTTTACAGAGAAATGTTGATGTTTCTGTTGCAGAAAAATCGGCGTGTTCAGTTTTCGGTTAGTTTACAAGCGACGTTAGATAGACACAAATCGAAACTAATCGAACTTAAAACCAACTCATAAGAAAATAAATAGTGCGTGTCTTGTTGTTTATATGGAAACCGGTATCCTGTATATTAAAGTTGTAACAGGAAACAGGTATACGTGTTACCAAGTTGAAGGATTTTCTCTTAAAAATCATACCGAATCGATTCCTTAGCTAAGAGACGGTAGAGTTCAACTGTTCATTTCACACTACTCTTTGAGAGTTCTCGATGTGTTGTCATTGAAATTACTGCCAGTAACGGACATAAAGTTCTTGACTTTTTTAGTATGCATTTAAGAGGCGAATCCGTTTCTGTGTAACTTTTTTACTTTTGCAAGTGATCAAATCTCTAGTAACGCTTATTCAGGTGTATTACATTAGGTGTATTAACCTTGTAAAGTATTTGCTAGATCGCTGTTTACGTATATACGATACCGCTGAGTTCAATCAGTTTATTTTCCCTTGAAGCGGCAAGTTTTGTTGAGATTATTATTGGAATTTGATAAAACAGCATATGTGAGGAGGCCCGGTGAATGTAGTTTACTCTCTGCCATTAACGGCCAGAATAACATTTTGCATGAATTCAAATTTCAGTTGGAAATATTCCTTACGATGCAACTGAGGAACAACTTAAAGCGATCTTCGAGGAGGTTGGACCGGTCGTCAACTTCAGGTTGAAACACTTTTAATAAAAGTTTCCACATAAAATACGTCGAGTGAATTTCTTTTCAATGCGATAGGGAGATCCATGTATCATTTCAGACTCAGCTTGCAGAATTTATATTAGGGCAATGACCGCCGAGCGATACTTCGTAAGAGATGTGCATGGTCAATTTAGATAACTATTTTTGTTTGGCTAATTTCATTACTGAAATTACTGTGTTATGGTATAACTTTTGGCATGCGATGCGAGGAAGAGTTTTGATATTTGCCTTAAAATCCACTATCAGATTTTGTCTACTTTAGTGGTAGAAATAAGCTAATTACTTGAATGCCTTTTTCAGGTTGGTCTATGATCGTGAGACCGGAAAACCAAAGGGATATGGGTTTTGTGAATTTAAAGATCAGGAGACAGCCATGTCCGCTATGCGAAATCTGAACGCATTTGAAATTGGCGGGCGAGCATTACGTGTTGACCATGCAGCTTCAGAAAGAAACAAGGAAGAACTTAAAGGTGATTATAAATGGAAGTAGCAAACCTTTTTTTATTTGCAGTACACTTGAAGAGGATACATTAACTGATAATCTAGCGTTATAATATATGAAACACGCGAACCTCAGAACAATAACTAGTGACTACAAAAAAATGAACGCTTACGCAATTAACACATGTAACGGCAGACGTAGGTTAAAAAAAAAGTCGATTATTATTGGATGTTTTTTTTAGTTATTTAATAGGCTCGCTTCGAATTACGTTTGATATCTACTTGATTATTTAATTTAACGCTAAAAATGCTTTTGAAACTTCTTTTGTCAGCACTGTACGCTCAATATGGCGGTCCACCAGCGGAACCAATGTACGGGGAGGAAATGGACAATGACAAAGCGCCCGAGGCGATCTCAAAGGCTGTTGCTTCGTTGCCCCCCGAGCAAATGTTTCAGCTGATGCGACAGATGAAAACTTGTATTCAGAACAATCCGAGCGAAGCGCGCAATCTTCTCCTTCAAAATCCTCAGTTAGCGTATGCTCTGCTACAGGCCCAGGTCATCATGAAAATCGTCGATCCACAGGTTGCGCTGGTGAGTCAATGAAATGAAATATTTATGAAATTCGTAGAAGTTGTAAAACATACGAGTAAAACCAAGCGGTTATCGTGGTTATATTTTTCTTTGAATTTTTTATCCAGTGCGTTTGCAGAAATTTTAAATCTTTTTTTATTGGAATTTATGCCTCTGTAAGGGTATAATAAGAATACTTATGTCTGTATTCGACGTTGGAATACGTTTTGCTGGTTGAATACGTTTACGAATGTCATTGATCTGAGAAAATATTTTTTGTAGAGATCCCATAAAATCAATTGTATGTGGGGGGGTTTTGAGATATTTTTATGTAAGTTGAATAGAACGAGTATTGACGAATAAAATAAATTTTGTTCTATTTCTTGATAGACCGTATTGCGATACTACTTTTAATATGTGTTAACAAAAAAAAATATTGGAGGCCCCTCCACACCGCCAGCGCTTAATATGAGTGAGGCCTGCTTCCGTCAAGTATTAACGGAGTTGATTTAAACCTTAGGACGTTATATGTTGATTTCTAACTGGGTGTTCCAGAGTATCCTTTACCGCCAAAATCCTGTTCTAAATACCTTGCACGAGGCGGGGCCAGCAACAGCCCCGGCGCAACCTCCCACACTTGCAGCTCCACCGCCTTTGCAGCCCCCGCCATTACAGGCACCGCCTATGCTTGCACAGAGTATGCAACCCGCTGTACCGGTAAGCAGAACTAGATGATCATTTAAAACATTTTTATTAGTTACTTTGTGAAGCGACAGTCTTCAACGTGTACTAATGAAATATTTTACTTTAAAAATATCAAACAATGGCAATCTTTGCAAGACGTTAATTGGTTACAATCGAGATTTAGATACAAAAACATGAAAGGCTCAGCACTTAGATGAAGTGGTTATTATTTGCTACCAAAAGATAGCGCCTCATTGAAGGCTTAACCTATGAAACTCTACTTCAATAATGATTTAGTAAGAAGATACAGTATATAGCACGAACCAAATGAAACAGCTTAGTCGGATCAAAATGCAGCCAAATGCACATATGGAAGCCTCTCTAAACGAAATTTGGTTACTCTACCTCCTGTCAATTTACATAGGTGTAAACTGAGTCCTTGCTTATTTTTTCATTCATTGTATTTACTAACAATGCTAGGGTGGTGAACAATGACTGCGGTTTAATGTATAAAACATCAGTGTCATACTTCTTATTGCTCAGTGCACATCTAAACTAGATTTAACAACATTAACAAAAACAAATGCGATGTGTTCCATGGATTTTTGTCCCAAACTATATTTACACCGCAGCTACAGACCGCTTTTTCACGTTCAAACAACTTATAATGAATAAGTGTAATTAAATTATAAGACAAAATTTTATTCACGTCGCAGAGTATCACGATTAGTAGTGCCTATCGTATTTCGAGTTCAGAGGACACGTATATAGGCTTGTTGTTGAACGCTTTACTATTCAGACTGCAACGAATAAATGCAGCAACAGCATACTGTTATAGTGCTTATTGTCGAAGTGAACTCATGGATTTTTTGTTTTGTCGAAATTTAACTTCGGATACACAAGCATTCCTATCATGCGGCTAGCGGAACAAATGTTTTAACGTAAGGGGCTTCAAAATTTTTGGCGCCGATATTTCCTGCAAATCCTAATGGACCTTAAGATTTCATCAATATTAGGGCATATGTTAAGCATATGCGTATGAAAAGAGCAAGCTACCTAGCAATCCTAGCTGTATAGCCAGAGGCACATGCGTGCATTATTAATATCAGTTACTTAAAAGCATGTTGTTATTATTGGATAACTGTAGATGATGCCGATGGGAGCATTTGCTGGACCTCCGTCAGGTCCACCCGGAGGCGATCCCAGCTTCCGTGGGGGACCGCCAGCACATCCCCCGCACTCTACGGTAGGACGTTTTGACCCACGTGGTGATAGGGACCTACGAGATCGTGAAGGTGGACGCGGCGACCGAGACCTTAGGATGCCCCCTTCAATGGATCAGGATCTGCGAGGGCCACCCCCAGCTGCCGCTGCTGGAGGTTTGTTCATAAAGCTTTCGTTTTTCCATAAAGTTAACAGGGGTTATCGATGTAAGATGAAAATTCAAACATCGTTAATGTTCACGTATCAGTTTACTATCACTATGTAAATTTTTTATTACGTTTTTTTACATCGCGGTTTTGTGAAAGTGTAATCATTTCATTTAAAGCAGAAGTTTAGTGAAGCAGATTTGAAGATTTTCGCTGGGCCCTTTTTGTTAGTTTGTAATTTCGACCCTTGAAGTTAGCCCCTACCGTGTGTCATGTATCGCAGAAGCATGTTTGTGCTCGATTTTTTATGCTTTTTTTTCAGTACAGTGCATTTATCTCTTCTCAAAATGAGGCCCACCTGCGTCTTATCGTCAGTTTCTCAGCTTTAACTATAAGACCGCGCAGACTTTTTGCAAATTTCCCTATGGCCTTAGATTCGATTCGTTTCTTCTATTTTTTGTTTTTTTTTTATTTTTGTAGGTAACTATAGACCCGGTGGATACGATCCTCGTAGCCGAGCAGCTGGCACAGGCCCTAATGCTGGAGGAGACCCCCGAGCAGGCCAAGGCGCCGTTCCAGCCACCGGAGCTTACGGAGGCGACGCCGGCAGGGCTGGCTTTTCAGCGGGGCAAGCAGCGCCCCCTGGAAGAGCCAACCCGCCTCCGCCACCCACTGTACCTTCGGCTATGCCAGCTGCCGGAACGAATCCAAATGAACAGGAGAAAACCAAGCTTATCATGCAAGTATGTATACACGTATGTGGCGTTGAATCACTTGTTCCTTATCGTTTTTGTGTACCTGATCACACAAAATTAGTACAAAGGAAGCTTGGAGCGACAAGAACAAAGGAGAAATCGAGTCTATTTTATTAGTATTAATAAAGTTTTAATGTCTCTCTTACAGGTACTTTCGCTTACCGAAGCTCAGCTTAACGCCCTCCCACCGGAGCAACGAGAAGGCATTCTCACACTCAAGAAGCAAATTCAAGGAGGAGGTCGTTAAAGGGTAATTTAATCGCGTCATTTAGATCCAGTCACCAGCTGGTGATAGCGCTGTTATGTCTGATCAGTCCAATGTGTATACTTTTACCTTTATAGGGAATTGCTGTTAGGCGTAATAATCAGTCATACAAATAATAATAAATATTGTTAAAATTACTGGCGTTGTCTTTATTGTCTTACAGATTCATAAGCGCCCTTACTTTCCCATATATGAATTCGTAGACAAAATAAACAACACTTGAATCCTGTATTCTAAATAGAGCATGATTGAGGAGCGTTTTGCTTTTACTATGTACAGTACATTTACGATTAAATGGTTTTCGGCTTGGCACACAGTGGCTTGCATTTAAGCAGTATATCAATAATCTGATCTAAGCCTTCTTTGAGATATTGAGCGAGTCCTTCGGCATCGGCGTGTGGTTTATACGCTGATACTAACACACCAAAATTTTTGTTAGGCATTCCATAGCCTATCCCGAAGCCGTTCCTAACAACTGGCGCAAAGCCCCCAGCTATAAATGCATTGCCGTGAAGTGTCGATGTTGAAAGGATAAATGTATTGTTCCACACATACGCAGGATCCGAATAAAGGTCGTGTAGGGTTTCGCCATTTCGAATTGCGAGGTCTTTAAGCGCAAATAGATGCCGATCGAAGCCTTGGCCAAGGGCAGCATTCTTCGTCAGCTGATTGTGAACTTTTGATGCTTCATCGATTAAGGCGCGAAGTTCCTCGGGGGAGCCTTTTCTCGAACAAATGGCCTCAACGCATCGCTTTGTTTCCATTGTTGCCGGGCGAACAGTCTCTGTTCGACCGTGTCGGAAGGCCAATGTGGAGCAAGACTCGTATGTTGGGGGGGTAAATTTGTTTTGCTTATAGAAGCCCAGTTGAAAGCTCAATTGGAAGACGGCATCAGGCGATAGATTTTGTTCTTTGATAAACTTGTCAGTAATGCCGTTGTGCTCCACAGCCGATAATATTAATGATTTTCGTATCGAGTCATAGTCGGACGTTGCCTTCTTGACTACCTCTTCGGTTTCAGAATCGATCTGGAATTCTGTATGGAAGAAAAATGAAAATAACACGTAAAATACTGTTTAGCAATACGTACGCCATAAGGACTGATAAAAGTCAAAACGTACTATTCCTGAGCTACATAAACAGCACAACCATTTTAAGGATGTACCATGTATACATTTTATATATAAAACGACTAATGCATGACTTGTGGGCCTCACCAAGTTTCCTGACGGTAGCCAACCCAGCTTTGACACCATCCCCAGGGTGGCAATAATGGTTTTCGGTAGAATCTTTGTGCACATCATTAAAGAAGCGAAGAATGGCAACTCCATCACCCCACGAGTGCTCGAAGTTGATGCATGCGTTCCCGCACTTAGTTACAATCAGCTATTTAAATAAAACAAGATATAAACGAAGTTGAAACGATAGAATGCAATGAGAGTATCCTATAAGTGTAAAGCGAGGATGTACACATGAAACGGATGGGAGTGATGTTCGTTTTATTGACTGGTGTATCGGGAAACTATGCATGCACAAAAATTTCTGACGATTTTTGTTATTCTAGATTAAAATTATTATCCAAACGTTTAACTAACCGAAAAACTTTTATCGAACCACCGATTATTTGCTGGCCCGTGCAAGAAATGATGAGCCAGTTGAATCCAGTCGCCAGTCATGTCAAACGTTTCCTCGTCCAGTACCAATAGCATAACAGCTGAATCCAGTTGATGCAATACATTCATGTTATTAAGACCCATCAGATGAGTTCGAGCTTGGGCCCAAGCGTTCCGATCCATCGTAGTAAGAGCTCCTAGTGCAGTGGCGGCGGGCTGGTCGTTTCTATTGAATATCGTTGATAGATTGGCATAAACGGCTTGCGGCGAGATAATCTGACCTGAGTCGAACAAAACGGATGAGATGCATAGGAAATCTGGGTCTTTTACGTTCCGCCAGTTGTAGCAAAGTGTACATTCGAAGAACCGATTATTTACACGAAATTTGAGTTACCTGTACTATCCTCGACGTCGAACACGTAGAAGTTTCCTTTGTAGAGGACAGCCATATGTCTTGCAGTAGGCTCGTAGAGAAGCTCATCTTTATCTTTTCGGGGTATTCGCGTTGTGTTAAAGAGATTTTTGAACTGTGACATATCCAGCGGATAGGCCTTAAACAAAAGCGCAGACGCATACCACGAGACAAAACCTGGAGTCCAGCTATTTCACAGATTATGGTATTAAATGACTTATTAACAATCCATTTAGACACTTATTATTGAATATAATATTGTATTATATAGTGGTTCAATTATATATTTTTTCTTAATTCTACGAAATGGTTAAGTACACTCACTAAGTCAAACAGAAGCCCATAATGATGATAATTAAATCGTCCATAAATTAACTAATAAAATTTTGCTTGCACCTCATAACGTCTCGATAAAATGGCGAGTCGCTTTTGGCAGCGTTGAGGTGAAATACCATCGGCTCAAGCTCCTTGTTTCGTAATGACTTTTTAAATCGTAATGAAGAGATCACCAGGTTGGAAGCCCGCACTAACTGGTCATTGTATTTCTCATTGGAATCACGTCTCCAGATAAGAAAAGGATTGTAATTCAACGGAACCGGTGAACGAGACGAGAGGTACATGTCAAACCATGGTTGAGAGATGTACGAGGTATGCTTATTTTTTGAATTTTCTGCGACAAGCTCGGTTTGCAATGCATTTCCACGACCTTCCTCAAAGTCCTTTACAATTGTGCGAGTCTTTTCCAGTTCTGCAGTGGTGACAATTGGTTCAAGCGAACGTAAATAGCGCGAACAGGTATCTGCCAGCTTCGGCACTGGCAGTCGTGGAAGTGACTTCTGAAAATGCATTGTGGGAATTTTGCTCCGCTGTAGATATTGATACGAAGGTTCGGCCCATGATGACCTGCAAGTAACGTACGCATTCTTAGGCAGCAAACGTTAAAAATACAACATAGCATACGAATGAGTACAACATAGCAAAAATGAACCAAAGACTTGGGATGGGCTGATCTAGATTGTGTTGAAGAGGCCTACCGTTACAAAATACCTCAGTGCGGTAGCTAATCGCTATTTGCAAAAAGCAGCAAGATTTGTTGGTGGTGTCAGAAAATATTTACCTGCTCGATAATACATGATTATGAAGAGAACTTCTGCTTTTCGGTTAGTCGTGCAATATATATGCATGTAGTATAGACTTCGCGGTTACAAGCGAACCCGACGGATTTAGAAATTATGCTTTTCAATTAGGACTAGAATAATGATTGATATATGTTAGAGATGCCCTTTTACACACTTTTAAACAGGCATGTACCCATTATTAGCGTTCCCATTTGTAATTTCTCCACCTATGATTTCCGCTCAGAGTAAATCGATAGTGTGCTATGCTTGCCAACCAGTTGCTTTTTTAGGTTATTTTGGGCCCTATAATCACATGGATATAATTAGGAAAATAAGCAGATTAAAACCAACGTTCAAACTAGGGATTAGTTACAGCATACCGATAAGGTCTAGCGTTGTAATCAAGCAACTGTGTGCATCCCATAGTAGCGGATGCCCTTGACGTTGCAAGTACTATTACCATCTCATGTCCGAAGCAAACTCGACACTATTACCGAACTCGATCTACAGTGCAACTTGATTTGTTTGCCTAATCCGCCTTCGGCTGCCGGGGGAAATTGAACCATGCCTCGCCTATAGCGACCGTATGCTCTACGCGAGTTTTCTGATATTAACGTTCCGCAAATTACACGTGGATGAGACCATACGTATTTTAATAAGTGTCCTGGGGGAAATTCACGGGAGACTTTTTTACACAGTTTCTGCATTTTTATTACCTGGGATGGATACAATTCTGCAGCAACTACGAATCTTTACCGACAAAACTCCAATTTATACTTTCATGAAAAGTAGTGGTAATGAGTTTTCGTCCTTCCAATCACAATACTTTTCCTCACAACAACAGGTCCCCAACACTCTTCATTAACTCTTGGAACTTTTACATTATTGGGATAGCGTGTTTTCCCTTAAGGCTTCCTTGCTTAATGTTTTCACTGACCTTCGTTGAATTCGCGCAGCGCTAGCGCTGCTGCCATTTAAAACAAACATTTAACCACTGAACGTCGATTTGTGAAACTAAATACTTTTGTCTGAATTAATTTCTCCTGGAGTAAACTCACTATAATTTTAGAGTACGTCGAATTTACTTTATTTATTCGCAATCAGTTTTTCTCGCGTAAGCTTCTCGAGGGAGCTTGATTAAGGAACACCATAACATTCAGAGAACGTTGAACGGCGGTGAATTATTTACTTCGTTATAGCACTAGCATCTCAAATAGGTGGGTCTAAAACACCTATTTGTGTTTATATATATATAAAAAAAAAAAAAAATTATATATATATACCATTCGCAGAAAGATCGTTTCATTCGAATTTCCTTTGTAAATATCTGAAACTGTGTGAAAGCGACCCGTCACATAGAAAACAATAAGTTTTTGAAATATATGAATAAAATTCGAATATATATATATATATATATTTTACATTAAAGTTAATGTGATTGTATTCATTTTAGGTTAAAGCCGCATACGTTTGAAATTAACAATCCGTATATAGTTGCCAGGAGGCTGGCTCATATAACTAAATGCTTGTGTAGCTGAAAAATTTGGGCACTTACGAGTTTCTGTGTTGTATTGTATGATGGATAGCAGTGTTGGAAAATGAATATGGAAAGAAATTCTGCCTTGAAACACAGAGTTGGCGAATATTAAGTAGCTTGGCCATCTGTAAAATAAGAAGAAAGCATCTGAACTCTCAAAATTGAACCAACAATTGGCTGTGCAATGGGCCAGACACATGGAGAATAGCAATAAGAGACTCCCTTAATTCCGTTAATCAAATCTTCTAAACATTTTATTATATGAATGCATCTTTTAGCTCGGTTAAACAACTTCATTTGTTTAACGTACGTGTGCTTAAACAACAAGCGTCCACACATAAACACAGCACACGTAAACACTGAGTAAAATTGTCTATCCACTTCGTTGAGTTGACTCGACAAAAAACGAATCCAACGAGGTTTCAAATATTGTCCTTTTCTGTCTAGAGCATTATCAGTTCGCTTGGTTAGTGTATGATATTGACAGGTAGGTGTCCAATTGTTCTAGATTCTACAGGAGACAAAGGCAAACCCAGTTAGAGATGGCCAGTTATCGGTAGACCATCAGCGAGTAGGGGACTGCGTGTATTCCATCAATGTTTTGCTGTTGACCTTGTGACTGAACACAAAACTATTCTAAAGGACTATTCTTTGCTCTTCCGGCAATTGTTAAATTATTGATAAAACCATTTGAGTTTGGGGACGCTTTTGATTTATAGTACATCATAGGAATGGATTCTGTTCCTATCAAGTAAACATAGCTAAACTGTTCACCTCACCATCACAACGCTTTATGGGCCAGGCAAATTTTTACTTCCAATACAGCGAAGCGATTACACTGATATCAGCGCAACAACAACACTAAGTGACGTTCTAAAATTTTTTTGTTGTTTTTTGGTTAGGTTCCGATGAACTCTATAGTACCGAAGAGAAGCACGCAATTGATAAAAGTTCATATACTCACTTGATTATGGGTAAAATGTATGTTTAATTTCATTACAAACCGAACTAAATCGCCAGATTTGCCAAAGCGGCAGTCGAAGAGAGCGTCTGGCTAAATCCGACTTGCCGCTCCCAGCTCTATTATAACGAAGCTTCTATGACGAATCAGGTGGGCCAGGGTAAATTATACAAAGTGGCTTTGTTATCGGATAGGAGAGCAGAGTGAAATACTGTATAAGCGTATGCGAATTTGTTTTACTTAGAATGTGCTTTCACCAAGCATTAAGGTACTACTAAATATAACGGCTATAGAACAGTAGAGAAAATGTAAATGGTTTTGTGTATTAAGTGAAATCGCGTGCTGGGATCGAAAAAGTACTAGCATGGAAATCTCAGTTTCGGCCCCAAAGGTTCTTTCGATATTGTTTATGTAGGCTCAGAGTATGTCTGTAGTACTACTACCGCGAGTATGTAATAATCTGACATTTATGTCACACCAGTTATCCAGCTACGAATATTGACTCGGTTGGGTATTGTGAAAAAAAACTAATTGTTGAAAATCCTACTAATCCATCTTTATCGAAACCTATTATATTGAATGACGCGCAAAATTGACCCCGATTGATAGTGATAAAAGCTTATGTAATTTGGTTGAAGAGGTTGAATGTGTATGTCCAATCTGAGAACAAAACCTTCGAGGTTCTGGTAGTAACATCGTCATATCTATGCAGTAACACAGTTCTCAGTCTCAGCTATGTTACAAACTTCACTACCAGAAGCATTTGCGTACCTATTGCTGCGCAGCTGTATTCTATGGAATACATATAGTTCCGAAATTGACCAAAGTGGTACCCGTAAAACCGTCGGCTGGTCAGTCAGGCTTGACATGGTGCCCTGCATTGGGGGATTGGATAGCTGTAAAAGGGCGTTTGGTTCATGCCACACTCTTCATAGTCACTTAGACGTGGGAGTGCAGAATCGCTATCAAGAGATTCTGAGCGCATAATTTTTGAATTGGGAGGCCGGTGATGGCGAAAGCCTCTGGCGCCCTCTTATTTTAGCTGGAATTAAGAAAACAGTGAACTGTTAGAGTTTTCCGTACATTCTGAGATTATTATTCAGTTAAATATAGTGCGAGGTGTTTGTCGCCGACGTTTACCGTGTTAATTCAATTAATTAGATTTACCTGTATCATACCATTATAATGAACTTTTGTTAACATGTTATTACAGTTTGTGTCATCTGAATTATATTTTAACTCAATTAATTTTTAAATAACCGTAAATATTGAACTATAGTTAATATTGATAAAATGATAGAAAAATACAGGAGCATGTAATATAAATTTAAATAATAGCAATTCTCAAATGGTTCAAACATCAGTGGATTTGTGTAGTCAATTAAATCTACGTGTCACATTGCTAAACATTTAATGGATTCTTAAAAGGGTATAAGCAAGATAAATGGTTACTGAACTACGTTTTCTCTCACGGTAGGTGTCTGCTGACGGCGAATGACTTGATGATCGGTACCAGGTTTTATCTGTTTGCTACTAGTTCAATTTGTATTAAATTCGTTACAATTTTAATAACCAATGTTGTCATTTTTTTACATTACTTTGCAGATGTCCGCACGTGCTAAGGTATTAACACTATACCGACAACTCTTGCGGGAGTCGGCTAAATGGCCAAATTACAGCTACCGAAGCTATGCACAGCGAAAAATTCGAGATAGTTTTCGAGCTAATCGCTCGCTTGCACCAGGCCCACAGTTGGAGCAGGTACAGTATGATGATAAGGCCTATTCACATTACTTCGTTGGAAACATAGCTAAGCTACGTACAAACGAAGGAGGTGTAGTTTTGAGCACGATCGCTGTCCCTGTTTATACCTTGTATAAAAATGTTATTTCAGTTGAAATTAAAAAAATGTTTTCAGTGCTCTTGAGTAAATGATCAGAAACAATTGCGTCTCTAAGATACGTGGCGGAGTATCAGAAAACCGCTCATTATCTACGTTGTAAAGAAGGGCTAAGGTAAATTATTTAGTTTTGTCGTTATTTTTTTTTACGAGGAGGCGGTTCAGCAAGCACAGGAGAGCTTAGCCATCGTTCAGAGACAGGTGATCATCGGTCTATTGTATAAGGACAATCCAGTAATTATCGACCCCCGCGCAACATGCGAAAGCTCAAGATGAGGAACAGAGAAAGCTTATAGGCTCTAAATATATGCTATAGTTCGTCCTGGTTATTGTAATATAAATAAAGCGAAACGTTCTATTTGTTAAATAATTCTATGAATACGTTGTCTTTATTAATTATCTTTAGCAGTAATTTGGTAGTAGTAGGTCTGCAAATGCTGCAAAACAATTCGGAACACTGCTAGGTAAATGCTGTAAATACCGCGACTTATGGCTAAGGAAACAATTCGTCACTTCAATTATGTGCTGCTAAGATTTATTTCCTAATTATCAGGAAAGGCAAATATACACTTCAGTGAGTTGAATTAGCTTCCCACTCGTCTACTTCGATTAGAATGTAAATAGTTTGGGTAGTCTTACCATCTTCGTCAGTATTACAATTTCTACAAGTTGCGTCAGCCTACCATTGATGTCTTGATTACAAATGTTTCCATATAAACAACGGCGCTACAAACTGAATTAATATTGCTTTGATAAGTGGAAAAATATTACAAAAAGAAAACTGAAAAAAGGAACAGTCATAGAGCAGCTAAAATCTTTTCCCTGGCTTTAGTAACTAAGTAGTTAAAGCACTCATTATTATTCCACTATATTTAACTATATTTAGAGACGATACCATGGGAGATCCAATATTAAATAGCTAATCCTTGTCTTAAAGTAAGTGCCTACGTGCATTTCTCATAATATTTGGCCATCTTAACGATAATAATACTGTAGTCCAAAAGAGATTTTCTATCGCTGAGAGGTCTTCTTAACGTATCATTAAATAGTTCACGGAGATAGGCGTATTTGTGGATAAATGCGCGACACGATCCGGACAAACCCTTGATTTAATACTTCGATATAAACTCATATATGATTGTACTAGGTCCATCTTGATATTTTGTTTATCGTGGACAGAGACAAAAGGTTCGAAAGCAAAAATAATGTATCTAGTTAATTTTCAACAGTATCAGCGGTCATAAACAACCATTTAGAATTTAAAAAAGGATTTAGTGGGAAATTGACAACTAAGTTATTAGTAGAAGTAGAAAATACAGTTGGTGATTCATGATCTGTTTTGAGAGTTCAGTATTTTGACTAAATATTCTGTTTCATTTAGCTTTAAAATAGAATTATTAGAACATTAAATGTTATTAACTAATTTTGTCATATTCGGTTGCCGCGTACGCTGTGCGCTCCAGAATGTGCTTAGAGCTTGACTGAAGACTATGCACTTCGTATTTATTTAAATAAAAATCATGTATTTTCTACCTCTATATCTGTGCTGGAAAAATGTCTTAAGATTAAAAGCTATATAAAGCTCAAAAACACGGAGGAGGGCAAAGAGTCATGTCTCTATGAATTTAATTGATACAGCGAAGCTTCTTTTCGGATCGATGATCTCGTTAGTCCGCTCTTAGCTAGTGCGTTGCCGGCGATGGTCACATTTGGTTCTTCGAATTCGCGCGCAATTTGATGTTGTATTTTAGAACAGCTTCGTGTAACCATGAACTTAACACTGTTTAAATAGCCGTTTATAAATAAGGTGGACTCTCCAACGAACTTTGACATCATGGACTGATAGTATGTAAAACAAAATCGAGTCGGTTCTTTATTATGTGTTTCGTGGTTTTGTTCTTCGAAAACAAACAAATAATATTTGTTTGTTTTTCACTAAGTGCTTAATCTTGACGAGTATTCCATAAACACGTCACTTGAGTTTTACTATATTTATTACTATAGTTATGTATTAGACATGTAACCTCAAAGGTGCCAGAGGCTTATTGGGGTACTGTAGTTCAGACTACTTATTTTTTCACTAAAATTAGTGCTAATAAGCGCTCCCAAATGAATATCCAAATAACAGTTTAATAGGCTTTATAGTTTCTATATGTGCGTTTTGGCTCTTGGCTGCCATGGATCTAATATCGTCATGTTCTAGACCTTTGAAGTGAAAAAACGGTTACGGCAGGGGGACCGAAACCAGTCATACTCGTCATTGGCGTTGTCTATACGTTACATATCGTTAATTTCAATCCATGCTACCAATTTTGTACTATTAATCAAGTAGGCAGAATCGACAAGTAGGCTGAAGCACTGATCGAATCGTGGCCAACAGCATCTACGGAACATTTACAATGGGGGATTCGCATGAAGAGGCTGCATTGAGTGTTGAGGAGGCTATACCAATGGGGAGCGGGGAGGAATTTATACCGTACATCAAGTTCGCGACGTATGCTCCAACCCCAGAAAATTTAAAGATCTTTCAGCGATACCGACCACCGAGGCCGGAAAATCCAACACTCGGTTTTGCGTTGAAGCTTCCGCCACTCGGCAAGCCAGCGCAACCATTTATTGGCGGCTGGCTTGGGGCGTCAATGTGTCTAGGAGGAAGTTACGCAGGGTGCTCTCCTGACGTATACCTCGATGTGCTAAGGATTGCATGCCTGTGTGGTAAACCAGACGTCGTGGAAACTCTACTAGCTCATAGGACTCATACTGTCGAACGGGAAATCGAGAGCCTGGAGCTGCTGGGAGCCGTTAGGATGTTTTGTGTCAGCACCATGGACTGGTTCTGTAATGAGCCCTGGACCACTGCATTATGTTGGTCGAAAGCCATGGAGCTCCGTGCATCGCTACCCGAGCCTCAATCTAAACTATCTTGGCGGAGTCGTCTGATGCGTTTGCGAGATGTCCGACCTGTGTCGACGCTGAGTGAACTCAACGAAATATGTGATTCGCCTAGTCAGTTGCTTATACAAGCGTTTCTTGTACTCGAGCGTATTCTCGGTCTGCCCTGGACAGTAACGGAACCGCAGGAGGGCTTGGATTTCATTGCTGCACGTCTCCTCGAACCAATGGTGAAAGGAATCTGTCATCAGGCATCATCCACGGCGCAAGCCCTTGAGTTGCTGGGTTATCTCATAGTGTACGTTCCGAATAAAGTCGCTCACACATGCCTTTTGAAAGCAATTAACAATATGCTTGCTCCCACATCAGCCGTGCCTAACTGGCTCACTCTCATGCAAGATTGTCAGGACGTCACCCTTCGAGACGCTACTGACTTCCTTAGGTTCTTTTTTAGTCGGCATCCCACTAGGCAAGGGTACGACTCTGCATTCTGCCTTCGTCTTGTGTGCTGCAAGCTGGATGCAGGGATGCTCAGCGAAGACAAAATAGCGAAAAATATGATTACGAAAGACGATCTGAACATTCTATTTCACGCTTTAGCAATAGTGTGGGCTATGTATCAACCTGAGCGCGATCCTCAACTGGAAGCTCTTGCTACGAAACTTTTAGAACTTGGGGCGGCTGTCAATGATCCCTGCTGGTTTCGTATGAAGTGTGCGTTTCAAATCGTCTGTGGAGTTCTCCAACAAATTGTAATGCGTTATTATCCCTATTAATTCGTCATGATTAACAGATGACAATTGATTTTGCTTTAGATGGTTTTCTATATGAATCTTATTGTTAAATGAGTTATAATTGAGTCTTGTGATTCTCCAGAGAATGTACCCGCGATTCAATTACACAACGTTTTGCATGTATGAGAAGGATTCTGTGGTATTATATACTTGAAGTATTGTGCTTATTGGGCGTCAGCAATGATCCAATGAACTCTGAACTGTAATAAATATGAAGTGTCTATAGCTAGTTGGGTCACGGGTCAAATCATGGACTCGACATATGACGCAAGCATGAGTTGAGATTATGGATTCGACACATGGCACAAGCATGTAAGAGTTTTGGATCTGATGTGTTTTTACTGAATCCTACCATGTTCTATATACTACGGACATAATTATAACCAAAAAACGTTCACTCATTTGCTTACTAATTTATCTAAGGGCTTCAGAGCTCCAGGCGTTTTTGCGGAATTAGATTGTTGGCGAAAATGTCACTTGTGATTGATATTATTAGATAATCGTTCACACTAAATAAACGAATTGTGTAACATCACTTAGAATAGGAAAGTTTTCTCATGTCGGAACATTAGTGCGTTTGATTTTCAATCGTACCTCAGCATGCCTCAGTGATTTATTTCTGTAATCCGAGTTATTGAACATAGACGCGTGTTTCACACAATTTGAATATAAGTTAATCTGTCATCTTTCTTTACCAACAAGTCGCACTTCACTTAGTTTGCTCATTGACTGGTTGGCACTATCAGCCAATTTTTTTTTGATACCCCTAGCTATATACCTACGTTCATTACCACAATATCCCATATGTGCTTTATGCTGTTTTCTCTATTATCATCAATACATTTGGCTATTGTTAACTTTGTATGATTTGCATAAGTAGTATGACTTGAAAAAAGATAGAGTATTAAACGGATTTTTATTTTTCTTACAGTAAAACCGTTGTGTTAAACAACAGTGAGAATTCTCATGGGCGAGTATGCCAAGAGTCATATACGTCTTGTACAATATATGCATATGTTAGAGCTATAGATAGAAAAAGTGAAAATAAAAAAATTATAGTGCGATGCGGATTTTGGGGTGTGCTGTTTTATTTGAATTTTGAAAAAAAAACTACTTGTATACAAGATTTGCATTTTGAGATGCGGCAAAGGATGCTTCCCATAGTGAAATTATGTATGTCCATGTAGTTCATTAGCGTTCTCATCTTTGAGAGACAAAAACTTAATTACCAAACGTTGATTTTCAACACTACACGGTATTGTTGTCTCCAAACTCATTATCATACAATGACACTAAATAGGCTTATGGCCATATATAGGCAGTTGGTTTAAGTATTTGTCAGGATGTGCTTGATAATGATGCATATTCCGTTGGTTATACAAAATGTTCGGCCCGCTTAATAGCTACAGGCAAACTAATGCATGTTAAATCAAAGCAATGTTCTGTCTCTTTTTTAACGGCTTTAAAAAAGGAAATCAAAAAAGATGATGAACTTAAAAGCTATTTTCTCCCATATGTTCTTAATAGACCTCCATAATATGATATTATTTAGTGCCGAGTGCAAACTCTGCCATGCCTCTAAGGCTGCGTTATTCTTTAAACTCATTGGCTTACCAGTGCACTAGTATAAATCAAGTTTGTTTACTTGAGCTCGAGTAAGGTAAATTAAAAGGTTATTAGGTTTATGTTTGCAGCTACGTGAAATAACTTTCGCCAGCCAAAAAAATGCTCAAAGCAGTAATCTACAAATACTACACACTTTGAAAAAGTTTTTCCACAAAGGACGGACTAATTGCTGCATAGTGCACTAATGTCACAATAAATATAGCTCGTAGTACAGTCATCCAAAGCACAGCGACTTATCTGTCCGGTAGCGGTTTCAGGAATTCTAACTTTAGAGCAGTTTGAGTAAGTCAATTTTTAGCACCATTGATACGAAGTTTCTTGTTCGTACTTAAGCGCCACCTCTTCTATAAAAAAATTTATACATAACTTTTTAGTAGGGTGTCATCTGAAATCTTTCTAACAGACAACTGCATCTTCCTTACAAAGTTTATTTTCACAAACCGTTCAAGCTTCGATCATATTAGTAAGCCACATTATGTACGTCAGTACGTCTTATACCCGATAAAGAGCGTTAGCTTTATTTGTCGGTTGTCGAAATTGACGTATTACGTGCAACAAGTTTCTCGCCTACAGTCGTTTAATCACACTCGATTTAATGAATGATGCTTTAGATTACGTGTGATAGTTTGGGTTATGCCTGTAAAAGTTAAAATTAAAAATAATAGATAAAATAATGCGCATGGATGCGATATTTGCATTAGCCTGTAATGAACGTTAGAACTGTAGAAAACGTCGAATTGCCTACTGGCACATTGCATCTGTCCTTTGAAGCACCAGAACTATTCAAGCGAATTTTTCAGCGAATTCAAGCAAGAAGGGTACTTCAATTCTGTTTGTTGGTTTGACAGTTGCTTTGATCGCATCTGAGGAACAGCGTTCATCGATTCCTTAGTGCTTTGAAAGGTTGAAGTCAGTGTAGAAAGCTGTGGTAGTAAAGGTCTTCAAGTACGAAAGTGTGAGTGATACAAAAGTAGGCTTGGAATTTTATTAGTAACTTTTTTTTGCATATAACATGCCTTTATAATAACCAAAACAGTGCCACAACAAATTTAAACTTCTTTCTAGATATATATTTTACGTCTTTCTTGGCAAATTTTTAACTGTAGTGACCCAGATACTTCTGCGTAACTCTTTGATTTACGCTCTTACCAGTCTGAGCTATGCTGGGTGTTCTAACTTCTGCAAGAACTAGACCATCAAAAGGCCTCACCGCATATCAACCTAGAACTTTTCAAGGCAATCAGCTATATATTGTTTCATGATAATAGCAGTTTTTTGCTCTGAGAAACCCTTAGAGCAATGGTAAAACATCCGTACCAAAGCCCGTCATAAAAGGAGCACTCAAGACTCAGAACTGGACCTATACACACTTCCTTTCGTGTTGTTTGAACCAGTGCCTAAATAAGGCAGCACCAGACATGAAATTCGCAAATTTATACATATACAGCCGAGAGTCAGCTATAAGAAAAAGTCAAATTATAGGAATCAACACACTGCGTGGGATTGTTGATGTCGGCCGAATGTAGCAAGATTCGTCGGCTAAAGCAAGTTCGAAAAGCGTTCGAGTCCGAGCATATATAGGGGCCGTTTAAACTTTGTTGCCCTTATTTTCTCAGCTTCAAACCGACAGAATTCATTGAAGGAACTTGTCCCAAAAGGAGCATCAAGCTAAACGAGGAGAAATAAAAGCCAAACTTCCAGAGCTATTAGCAAAAATAAAAAAAAAAGAAAGAAAAGGTATTGACAGAAATGCTAGACCTCGATTAAAATGCTTTAGTAGCATGAAGTACTTTCAGCAATGCAATCATCAGCCAAGGTTTGTTGTAATCAAAGGACTTAAGTCCAGCTCGCATAATGGTTGTTTAAAGCAGTCACTATCATAAAATAGTTAAGACCACTTGCAATATAGGAACTCATTGCAACTTGCTTTTTTTTCAGTAAATAATATATACAACTACAATTAAATGATGAAGATTATTTAATCTGTGCTTATATGTCGACGCTAATTCACCTATGCTCATCTTTTTTTGTGTACAAATCATTAAATCTTCATACTGCGTTTCTGTACTGGCTGATCTAGAAAATACATCGATGACGATGTCGAGAAAATCAACCGAAAATTCAGAAGCAAATCTGCTGATAGAACGGAGTTCCCGAAGTCCAAGTAACGAAGCTTCAGTGTTCACTGAAAATTTTACGCAAGACAATAAAACATTCCTTTAGCCAGCGGTGAAGAAAACTAACGTAATTAATATCTATGAATAACAATATGTTGGCTTAACTAACAGACTTATTTATTTTTATATAAACAGCCCCCTTTTATTATTCATTGATATAAAGTAGTTTTTTTCATTTACATATGTTTTATTTATTTATCATCGTCATAAAGGTGAAATGGCTGCTAACTCCTTACTATTAAATACATTTATAGAAGGGAAAAGCCGGAGCGACTTGAACGTATTTGAAGCTATGAAAACAATAATTAGTCGATTAAATTTATAGGGCTACCATATATACCACTATGAGGTTGTATTCTATATCGGTGTAGACTGAAAAGGTTCAGCTTCGAAAAGCTGACCAACTTGCTTTTGATGTTTATTACATGTGTTAATTCATAGCAGCCTACACTAACGGCATCATATTATATATACATATTTACATTGAAAACTTTTTTTTACACATATCGGATCCAGTATGCAACAGAATCAGGTTTATATTTTTCATAAGGTTCACAACAAAGGAAGTTTGAATGTAACAAGGTTTCTCCATTTTTCATGGAAAGCCAGTATTTGTTCAATGCTCGTACACTCTTCCAGTTCACGTTGAGCCGTCTGAAATTAATTTGCAAATACAATTAGCGAACTCCACCAAGCAGCTAAATTACTGGGACCGAACTTTTAAGGATCAACTCACATTTTATATAATAAGAGAACCGTTCTTCAGAAAGTTGGTACCCAACATACTGGCAGAATTGCAATTATAATTGTTAAGTTTAGAAAGAAGGCATCAAGAACTGACGTAATGATACATCTATCAAACGACACAGGTAAGAACTGACCAGTAACCACACGTGGTATACGTTCCGTGAGAAAATGTGATCTCTTTTCTTTACTAAATACCTTAAAAAAATAAATTGAAAACATATCTAATGTTTCAAATCGGTTGCTTCGTGCTCAACGACTGAAGATGGTGGCGGTTTTCGGTTAAATATTTTTAGGGGCGTGACATAAATCGACTGCGTTAAACGATACCGTACGTATGTGGTACAGCTAGCAGCTGGGAATCATTAAAACTTAACTGTCAGTTAACGCAAGTACCTGTGGCGTAATCACTTACACGTATATTTTGAGTGATTGAGTCGTTGACCAGCAACCGCGGTTCGATTGGGAGGCGATGCTCCTTCATCGCCAACATCAAAAGCATCCGTTGCCCCAATAAATGGCTCCGAGAAGTTCCTTGCAGGACAACGCGAGATATACTCGGTAGCTTCGGTAAAGAATGAATGCTCACTTCCCTTGGAGCAATGAGGCGTTCCAGTGCTGGTTTGATATCTGTTTAAACCAGGAATTAGACAAATGGATGAATACTGTTACTCAATTGAGTGTAAGCAGAATGGGATCACATGCAAACGCATACTAAATGCCATTATTTTTAATATGCTAATTTAGATAGAGAAATAGAAATGGGCAGGTCTCAAGACACTTGACATTCTTCTAGACGTTCTTGCAAAGTTGGCTATTATTGTTATAAGATATTAATATATTAATATCAAATTCTTGTAATATTAATTAAATATTAAAATCAAATATTAATTCATATTTTTAGAGAACATATGATACTAGGAACATTTTTCATCAATGGCAATATCATTTACGCATTTCGCGCGCATTATGCATTATGTTTCTCAGGCTTTTCATTACAAAATGTGGCCAGCGTCTCCCGAATAAATTAGATGATCAACCAACTACGAATTTTCGAACTGAATATGAGAATATATATATATACACTATTTTTTTGTGTTACATATGAAATGAAGGGCCTATTCTTAAGTACTGTTTGCCAACTCATTTAAGGGTACAATAATAGTAATCAAAAGCAATTCCATAGCTGAAGGGAGTTTTTAATAATAAGTATTTTGTCGTTATTGATTTCACATACCATCGTTGAACACACACTCAATAAGTGGCTGATGTATAAATAATGAGCAGCTCGCAGGAGATCCTCTTGAAGAGCGAAGGCAAATGTTTTGCGTTTGCACCTTTATGGGTAGGGCACGTGGTAGCAAACGATGCATCAGGATTAAGTGAACAGCGACCGCACAGACCGGTCGAATAGGACACTCCAACTGAGCGGATAGCAGTGTACCTTGTGAATGGCATTAATTTAATCATATAACGTATAGTTTTTTGTTGTAACTTACAACATCATATTAGCTTATTGATAGCCTATTACATTACATATATTTATATAATGAACATTTGTAAAACATAGAAAAATATAAGACCACCAGTTCGCTCTTTACGGCGCGTCAAATGCGCTAAAAGCTCTCCGTAAGTCTGCCTCTTGCCTCTACGCCTGCTTGCCTTATTAAGAATTTGCAGTGGCGAATTTGCATTAGCAGTATTGGGGCACGAACAAAGCACAGTTCGATTTCTTTTAAGTAATGAACACATTTTTTTAGATTTGAGAGCGCTTAGAAATGTCTGCAGAACCAACACTAACCCCGATGGTCGAATGGTGTGCTTCTCATGCATCGGACATTACTTCCGATTGGTTCAATACTCAATGACGCGCTCCACATGGAAGAAATGAAACCTTCCGCTGCAGACAGCTTACAGGAGACAATGTTGTCCTGGATAAGCGAAGGATGATAATTCTGTGAGATATCGCATTTAACGTCGATGGCTGTAATTACGCAAAAACTGTGGTTTAAGTGAAACTGTGTGATAATTGTCCACACCACAGATACATTTCGTTTCCAAAATTCATATTATCATGAATTAACTTAACCGGCAAATTTGCTACTTAACATGATGATAATAATTGAAGAATTTTGCCTGCAATGACTAAGTGAGTACCAAATATGACTATGGGACAAACCTCCAAATCTGAGATACATCGCCAGTGCCATTTGGATTTCGAGCAATTCGATCTCTGCAAGAAGTTCCGTAGCTTGTTCTTCTGCTGGATCAGCCAAACGACGAAGTTTACTCAGTGGAGATTGTGACTGGGAACTTGTCTCTGGTATGAATGGGATTATATGAGAGGTTACGCATCCTGATGATGATACAACATATAACCGGTCCCTATCTAAACCAATATGACCAAACATGCGCGACGTTAGTTCCTGCAGTCACGGAAGAATGATTTCGGTTTCGATTTACATGTGTTTTTGAAACGTGTGGGAATAATCTAATAAATCTAGCACATGTACGCTGACTCCTTTTTGAAAATACACGCTCCAAAATCGTCTAATATAATATCAAATGCAGAATTCGACTGGCTATATTATCACCGAAGCATATCCGAGGTCAATTTTTTATAAAAATGATTATTGAACCCAGTGTATTCACCCATTCAGTGTACAGTCAATTAATACAAGTTCCACTGACACAAATTAGAAGAGTGCGTCTTAATCTTTATGAACACGATATATGCGATCGCACTTACGCGAACTATGCTCACAGCGAAACAATTTTTCATCTAGGCAATAGCTGGTAACATAATAATTAACAGGTTTCCAACGGAGGGTTCCGATTCGGTCCCTATAAATGGCCATAAAACTTTGCGTACTAATCAGACAGGAGGAAGGTTTTATTAGAGATATGAAAAATAACGCTGCCTACTAACTGGTGACATCTTGCGTAACAGACGCTATTAGAGGCAAGTCAACGAGGCGAATCAATAGAGAATTGTTGCCACAGGGTTTTCTGTCCACGGTCAAAAATGCTCGACTCGTTAAACCCACGGCTAAAATTGCAGTTCCTGCTGGAAAGGCACGGATAACAGGGAAGCCGCTACGTAGCGTGCAGATCTTCTCCGGACAAACAGACTCTGAAAGCTCGTTGTTTGATGGAGTTCGAAGAACGCAGAAATCACCAAGACAGCATATACAGTAAAGTTCGTCTGTAAAACAAACCAAAAAGAATGTTATTAAAATGAACGTTGATATAGAAATAAATCTGTAATATAGCTACGCATATCTACTTAACAGATCCATTCTTTACGAAGATTCGAACACAATACTATCTGTCTTATTTAAATACAAGAGCAGTTCAAACACAGACTCAAACAGAGGATTTGATTATCATGTGAAGAACATTGTTTGTTTGGGCACCTCGAAGTAAGCAAAATTATCATTTTCTACCTTCGACTATCGCTATGATCTAATTATATTTTTCTAATACCTTACCTACCATTTCCGTGATCCACGATGAGAACTGCAGGTGAGCGGAGCTGGGCTTTTTTCTCAAAATAGCTCAAGTAACTCTCCTGATCCGAAAGTTGCGCTGACCAAACAGTACCGTCAGGGAGACTAGCGTATAGCTTTTCAGAAGAATATGACAAATGGAAAAAATCATATTCACCTGAAAAACCAGAAGTCGACAATAGTTCCACTGCCTGCGGCTGGTTGTAAGCAGGTCATTTTAAATAGTAGAGAACTTACTCCTCTACCTGATTCGGCTGGTATGAAATGGTGAATTAGATACAATGAAAGTCTCTAGAACGCGGGAGACAGTCACACAGCATGCATTCTTAAGCATACTCGATCTGAATAGTGCCCCGTTCAGTTCTTACCAGCTGATTGGGATTAGCCGGAAGAGTCGAATACAAAATCGTGAGCCTCAAGGATAATCTAGGTCAATCAATCAGTCTATACTCCTGATCGAATAACTACACAAAAATATGACTATTTTTCTAGAATTACGCTCTTTGCGGTTAAGGATGCATACTAAGTCCGAGAAAGGTGACATCGTATATTCCAAAAGCAGCAAGCTCAGTCTGGGCTAGTACATCGGCCTTTTTATCGATGAGCGAAACAAAGGCTTTCCGCTGGCCGCCTGGAGTCCATAAAAGAGCGAACCGGCCTTGACGTTTCAGAAAGCAAAAACACCGTAACGCTGCCTCTTCCGCCAGCTCAAAGAAGACCGATGCGCCAGTTGTTGTTTTGCCTGGTGTACTGCAACGAGATATATTTGCAGATCTTTACTTTTTATCGTAGACTCTACCTGATTACTCTACAGAGCAACTTTGAAGAGAGTCTTGATGTTCGATGAAATTCTATATCAGGGCATCGGGATTTTTCGAGTCGAACGAATGGCGAGAGGTTAGAAGAGGAAGTCCCGAGTTTCTATCGATGACAACATTCTATGTAGAAACCTTTGTAAAATATACATTCCGTCCGGTTCTAACCGATCTGTTATTACCATAATGAAGATTGTCTAAGATAATGTGAGCAACAGCCTGAAATAGACCTTATTTCAATTGTGTTAATAAGGTTGGGTAAGCTGCAAGCTGACTCACCATCTTCCTCTTATATTCATGTAATTACAATTCATTATGTTATAAAAGATTGACTAAGCTATAGGAGCGCAGTTATCTCCAAACCTGTCTGGTGTCCAAAACATTAACGCATTCTGTGAAGCAGCAAAAAGATACTTTGAGTGTGCCTGGATATCAACGACAGAACTAAGTTCAACAAAGGCCGGTTTACTGTCTGCGCTTTCTATTCGACTGTAGCCCAGACGTTCTATTGACTCCTGCCTGAAATATATTCATATTTTAACAAATACAAAACGCAAGTGATCGTTGAGTTCTAATAGCAATATGGCAGTTTCCTCTCTATGTTTTCCTCTTCCAATCGCCCTGTTTTATATCAACATGGTTCGGAAAATAAAGTTCAAACAAAAATACGTCTCTACAAAAATACGACATTACGAGCCTGTCTACTGTCTTATTGCCATATGCAGTAACCCACCCAGATATATGCGCTTCTTTAACATGACTCTTACACCGGTAATTTGCTTTGAAGAGGCTTCAAAGTTATCAATGAACTGACAAGGACGCGGTCTGGAGCAGACTTGTGCACGATCTCACTGTGCTCTAACCACGACTCACAGATGATTTTTTCCATGCCTAATTTTGGGATGAGTCATTCTCAGAGATGTGATTATCACTCATTTCCTATTATATCATATATTATTCATTTTTTGTAAGAAATAAAAGATGGTCGAACATAAACTACATAAAAAGATCTTGGCATAATTTACACAACGGCAATAGTATTGATTGAAGTAAAACTAATAATTCTAATATCTGGCATATATGTGATTAAATGAGAAAACAATTATGAAGGAAATCAGTGTAGGAATATTCAGGATGTGAGCGTCAATATTTCTTGGAGACAATCCTTTCAGTGGGCACTCACCACACGACGTAAATCGCCTTTGATTTTTCGGCGGATATTAGCCATATGCGCGACGCTTCAGCTAAACCTGGGATATTCTGATTTTTTTCCATTATGGAACGCCTAAAAAATAACAACAAACATAAGTATGATTTGCTGGATTTCGTATTCGAGTAGTAAAACGCAGATTTCCGAACAGACAGTTAACATATTCTATTTGCCGATAATAGAAACGATCAAATATCGGACGAGTTCAATCCGCGTGTCTCTTGATATCATTTTATGGAGTAATATAAAGTTACCGAACAGGACGGAGCTTTGCTAACTATCAATGGCGAAGTAGTGAGAAACAGTAATAGAAATACATAGATACGGGTCTAAGGTTTTCTCTGATGGTAGTAACGACTTTCTAGAGTTTTTCTTTAAACAAGCACCCTTCAATAGAATTTAATAATACTGCCAAACGTGATTTTATTAACGTCTTCTGTCTACTCTAACCTAAATAATAGTAAATTAAAATATTATCCATGGGCGGTCTGTCACAGCAGCTATTTGTGGCTAGTTAATTCTCCAACTACTCATGAAGCAAGCTTTGTTTAGTTGTCATACGCATCCTTGTCATTAACTCCTACAAAAAGATATCGAGCGTCGGTTCGTTGTCTCGTCTCGAGTACCGGCGTTATGAACGAATTCCGAACGAATAGTCAGTCTTCAATGGAGATTTTTTTTCGAAGCATTCGATCTCTTACTACTTCTCACACGACTTAAGCAGATGCACTCATCACCCACATGTAAACATCCACCCCTCTCTTTGGCGCGAGGAATACACGAGTAGAATAACGTTCGATTTTTATTTCGCGCCCTCTTAACGGCCATGACCATTTGCTACCGCCATCCATCGATGACGACGTACATGGTGGTCAGTCAGGTAGAGCGGGAACAGCGCAGCGGGCCATCGAACACAAGATATCGAACGCATTATATGCGCATAGGCCCACGATAGAAGCTTGACGCCACGAGCCGTTTTTCATATCTTTCCGGGGCCCACTGTTGCTTCTGCTCATGCTGCTATTGCCACAGGCCTACTAATACATATCTGCCGTTCAGCGCACAATCAATCTCTCATAAAGTAATGCAACACTATCCACCTATGATCGCCTCGGTGTCTCATTGTAGCCGCATTTGTGTGAATGTCGCGCTGTGTATGAGCGGCAGCAGCAAAAGCAGCAACGTTATCTAAATCGAATTTTTCCTTTCAAAGACCTCGCTGGTTCATCAATATCGCCAAACGAGTACGTTCGCCGGATAGCAGAGTTCGTTCCCGTTCTGTTGTGTCGTTACTCATACACTGGCTCGAGGAATCGATTATTATTAAATGTGCTTCATCGTATTATAATAAAAAGGAAATTTGCAACTCAGTGGGATGTGGGAATGATTTGCAATGTTGCAACGTGAACTTTGTGATGTTTTCAAACATATCGTCTGTGCTCATGTGCTTTTCTCCGCGGTGTAAAGCCCCACCTGTGCTTTCTCCTGATTGTGTGTTCTACACATAGATGTATACATGTTGTGTCTATATAGAAAGCAGACTGCGCATACAGATTTGTTGTTTTGGGGCCCAATTGCTTTCGGTACTGTGCCCTTAATTGTAGTTTTACGCATAGGCCTCTGGCTTCGTTAGTTACCAGCATTAAGGTGCCCTTTCTGTGGCGGTTATTGTTTGCGCGCTATGTGGGTGTTGTTCTCGCAAAAGGTCCCACACATAGTAATATCGACTGAATTTGTAGGTGTGTGTGTGTATCTCGATGAAGTCGAACACCGTTGACTGACTAAAGGTTAAGCAGTCAAGTGAAGTTGTACGTATTTTGTGATGGTTTGTTACACGAGCTTAGCAACATATGACGCCATCTAGAATCGAACGCATGTTCGAACAACAATGTTAATAACTATTTCGTGCTGTTATCGTGAGCACACGCATTACACGAGCTTTGTGAGTGTTTGTGTCGGAATGAACGGATATAAACTTGATATGACGAACGTTTGTTGCGGTAATCTCGCATTGTGCAATCCTATATTTCTTTTGCCTTATCACGAACAAGACCGATATTGGACGTATGGTTTGAATTTGGTTCCCTTGCGTAAGCCAGCTCTTTGAATATACCGAACCTCAATTTTAGTGTTAAACAGTGAAGAGAAGAATTTGAGTTCGTCATAATGCTAGATCTTTTTATAGAATATGTCGTTACACAGCCTTTATAGATGCTATCCCACCCTCTTGACTAAATTTTCAGTTGCAGCCTCATATCAGCGAAATCATGTTATTTTCCATCTAAGTTTCTCGTACGTGTATCCGCTGAACATATAACCGGAAAGATAGTCACCATGGACGGCTTTAATTGTACATAATGATGAAAATAATACTCATCATCATCGTCACTGTATGAAAGCGTATTCATTAAAATATCTAAGTAATTAATAAAGAAAAGCCCGCCGTTCTATATCTTCTGTCGTCTCACTTCAAGATAGAGATATAGTGTTTCTGAGCATGTGGGTATGTGTTAGGTCCAGAATGAGGGAGGCCAACTGGCGCAATTTCTCGGAAAGCGCGCCTTCATTACCAGATCCCGTAACTGTAGAGTATCTGCGGCTATGGCCTACAAGTCCAAGCGCTTGCGTCGACAGCAGCAGCAAAACCTTTCTATTTTTTGGAGGAAACGCCAACAGCTGCATTTGTGTGTAGATATTGTAACGCTGGGGTTTGCTGAGACCCTGCATACAATCATGCAGCCATAGGGGTGGGTACGATCAGTTGATGAGCGACACAAGCTTAATGGCGCAAAAAATGATAGAGAGCAATAAATCATTGATGAAATCACTGACAATCATGATAAACAAGGATATATACATATATATCGCGAGAGAGTATCGACGGCTGTGGTCCGTAGTTCAACACCACTTACGCTTGGTGTATACATACATATAAACGTGTGTATAGCCAAGTAGTAATAACCAAGTGTGTTACGTTCCGAGAATTGCTATTCAAGAAACACTTAATACTAGATATCGATGAATTGTGTGTACTTAATGCTACCTTGTATTCGCGATGGTTGTTTAACGTACCTTATAAGGCTGTTAGCCTGCTACATCAATGATGAAAAAAATAATCTAGTCAAATATGTACATGTTCTATAATTCTTTCGTGTTATCGTTACGATATTACTTGATCCATATACACGCACAGCGTCGTAGTTGTAAACAACACTGATCTGTGGTAGAGTTTTTATCCTTTGCCTGTATCTACATGAAAATTAAACAAAATATTTTCACATTTCAACTGTATCAGGAAGATCCCGTTAGCTGCTGCCATTGGCTTAAAGATAAAAGGATAAGCAATGTCTAATAGCAGTCCTTCCTGCTTTATCTCCTCCTACCGTTGTTTGCGCTGAAGGTATTGATGGTATACTATATATATATATTACTGTTAAGCATGATGCATAGTGGCAGCAGCGGCGGCGGCGACAACACCAGCAGCAGCTCTAGCACGTAAAATAATAAAATGTGTCCTTGACGGTTCGTTTGTTTCGCTTGATTCTACGTTGGCGTCGTCGTCGTCATCGTCGCCGCTGCCGCCGCGTCAGGTTTTGCACCCCTGAGTCAAGTATCGCTCCACTGCTATCTGTTACTCATCGCCTGAGTGCTGCGATTCTTTTGACGTTATTGTTGCTTATGTTGCTATTGCTGCCGTTGCTGTTAAAAACGGTGGTTAGATTATGTGTCGCCAAACCTTATCAAGATAATGTCTGGACTAAGGCGTGTTATATATTCAACTATTCTGCGGGCCCAGTTGTTGTCGTCCTTCCGACATGTGCAACAATGTAAGTCTGCATTTTGTGCCGAATCTAAGGTCTAGCCATCGGTCCGACAGAACCAATAAACAAACGTCATTGTGGCCGTAATAGTTTTTGTTTTGACAGTGGTGCGGCGGCTAAAGCTTGATTGCATCTCCGTGCTGCTTGTTATTCTGCAACGAAGGATCCTACGCTGTTGAGCGTCCATTGAGCCGGACCTGTGCTGTTGCAGATGCTACTTCAAACGCTGTCTCGGCGTTTAGCTTTTTGTAGCTGTCACAGTTACAGTTTTGTTGTTTTTGTCAAAATGTATGATGAGGTTGATTGAACAAACGAATTCTGGGACTACTGGGCTACAACAACAACAACAACAACAGAGGCATTAGCTATTTCTGTCGTTGTTGTTCATTATAATGATGCTAATATTCGTCATTGGGTTACTGTGCTAACTCCTTCTTCTTCGTCACGCCTGTCTGACGTTACAGATACCCTCGCCAGGCTATGTTCGTGCTCGCGTCTACACGTTTTCCTCAGCTTTATCGACAATACGTTCAACACATTGAAGGTACGAGGTAGCAATTATCGTTAAGCTCATCGAATAGCTAAACTTTACATTTTTTCTTTTCTTTGTTATATGATAAACAACAACAAAGAACACAGCAAGAGTCACACGATGTGTATTTTAGTGAAAGTGTTACAAGTACCCAGTGTCGTAAGGCATCCGATGCATATAGCCGTGTCTATATATAGGGATTTTATGGCATCGTCTTTGTTACATGTAGCTGCGTTTACGTCTCTACTAATGGCCGTGGCTTCCAGCCGTCAGTAACGGCAACACAGAGAGCAAATCAGAAGTGAAAAGCCATCCTGCTAACAATTGTGCAGGGAAGTCGACTGGGTGATAATGCCTCAAGGAAAAAGCTAGGATGGCAATCGGGTAACGCTCATTTAACACTACAGGATTCAGAAATTGAAGCTGTACAAAATTCTGTACTTGAGCAGGTGGTAGGTAGGTGGTAGGTAGTTATAAAAATGGCCGAGCTTTGCCTTGTCGATCTTTATTTTGGTATTAGTTGAATGACATTTTCTTTCTTATTATAGTAAAAGATTACAAAGCGGTTACAATTCAATCGACATGAAGAACTATGGCGGCTTAGCGCTCCACAAATGCCGACAACGATCATTTGTTAAGTAAGGATTTCAACTTTTACGTCTCGTGCTCTTTCCTTAGTTGGCCGTCGCTTCAAACAGGTAGCCCCAGTTAGCAAGGGCTAAGTACCTCTATAGCCTGTTTTAAACCGAGACCTAGTCATATATCACTAGGTTTATTAAGAAAACACGTCACCACTGTTCAATCCTATGAATGGTGAGCATAGATACCCGTTACTTGAATTCGTTTTATGCTAATTTTGGATAGTCGAAGACGAGAGTTCACAAACTTATCATTTCTACGTTACGAGCCGTTACGAATCTACGTTACGGGCATTAATTATTTCGATGAAACTCAATAAAAAACAAGCAATAAGGATACCGAAATTTTAAACAAAGTCTTCATTTTCAGAATCGGTTGTTTATTGACCCAATTATAACAACAAACTAAACAGCAGTTCTGCTGGACGTGACTTACCGTGATATCCTCTGAAGTCTTTACGTTTTTATTATCACCTTGGCAACTTGATATTAACCTATTCTGGCTAGTAATAGCGTTCAAGTCGAATCGTGTGGGGTTCAATGTGGAACGAGTCATTGGCCTCGTCATCGTATTCGTGGAAAGTACTTATACAAACAAACCAAGTAGAAAGCATCAAAAAATAAACGGCAATCCAATGCAATATTTTTTTTTATTCCTGTTTCTCGTGATTAATAATGTGGGTGTAATACCCACTTCGTTCCCGTTTTTTCATGGGCTCTTGCCTTCACTAATTTGACTAGTCCGAATTTATGAACGCCTTATTCAGAGGTACGTTATAATCAGCTTTTGGCCTCGTTGTTTATACGACGTATGTTCATGTATTGATCAACAAAGAATTGATTAGGAGGTCACAAAAACGTTTCAGTCAGCCCACGCTTTTAAGCTGTTTTGTCTATAAGTTAAGTTTGGATTTTTTCATAATAATATAATAAGATAATGCTATCTTAGACACGGGTTCCTAATAGGGGCACTGTATGTTAATACAGGAGCGAAGTACGTATATATTAGGTCAGTGTGTACTTTTGGCTATATCAGCAGTAAAGGTCTAAGAAGCTGCTTCTGTAACGATGTCATTCATTCGCCCTTGTTTTACTATAATTAGGTTGGAATATTCTTATCAAAATCTCTTATAATACTAGATTTTTTGAGTTATATGTTAGAAGCAGTGGCTTGAAAGACTTTTGAACTAGTTATTGCTTCTATCAAATCTATCAAATCACGTGTCAATACAGGGGCCTGAATAAGGCCCAATCGATTACTCTTTCCAAACATATTTCACATTCCTGCCATTTGATGCGATTTGTCTACAAACCTTGGCATAACAACTCAGCCGACACGTTTCTGTAGGGAACCTGGCTTCTAACAAATCATACTTCAACTTTGAATTTTCTCTATTGATACTATATAAATTATAATATACTAGCATAGCCGAATGCAGTGTCATAACCTCGTAATATATTTAAAGGGAATATTGTTTTGAGACTTTTCTCCCTAAACGACTTAACTAGTCCTAAAGAGATTTTGCAGTTAATCAACTACTTAAGGTATTAGTAACATATTGAATTGGCAGGTCCTCGCAGCTATTCACGTTCGCCGCCCCCCATTGGTCGATATAGATGTGAGTGCGTGTCACGAATCGCTGTTGTATAAGCTCCGCAGGGATAGAATTGATTCGTCGACTTAAGCACAGAACGAACGGCACATGCTTGCTCTAAGCAAGTCGGCCAACTGTTCTCCGACCGCCTGCAGAAGACGACACAATATCGAGAACCTGCACAAATCGACGTTCTCAATCAAATCTGGTCTTTTGCTTTCGATATTGTCGGAAAGGATAGTAACGTTGGCCGTCGTCGCATCCCGTTCTTGGCCTTTTCTTTTCGTACTATCCTTTTCTGACGATGTCCTTTAGCGGCTACTTTGACCGATAGCGATTATACTCTAACGTACTGCAATGGCGTCCCTTGACGAAGATTTATGCGCCGCTGATTACGTTCGTATGTTGCTTCTCACCCGCTTCAAGGGAAAAACGGATATCGAAAGGCTCGAGAACTACCTCAAACGCAGTACGTATTTTCCTAGTGCGTTTCGTTACAAAAGGTCGATATTTCTTAAGGTAATGTCGCAAGCATTGAGTCGCAAGCATAACTGGCTTTTATCTCTTTGTCGGCATTGATTGCGTGTGAAAGGTATTCTAAAGATTCTTCATTGTTAGGTGAACTCTAGTGAACAGAGGGGATCTTTGTATTTTCTTCTATAAACGTGAAAAATTAAAGTTTGGAGATATACTTCTGGTACTAGTATTAGGCGTTGCTTTAGGCTTTATCTTAGGCATTATAGCCTTACGTGGACATAAAGTATACCTTGATCATATGCTAATTGAATAATAAATATGCTGATTAGGATTACACTCAGTTTGCACCGCACTGATTTGGGTCACACAGAATACAATCCATGTACATCCCGAATGGTGCCTTTTTTTCAGATGCGTCAGCAGATATCAGAGCTATTCTACAGTGCACTGGGGGTCTTCGACCATTCCTTCACGATAATCAACAGATCTTTATGCTGGAATCCACGACCGTTTCTGTCAACCAGGAAGGTCGACCTGCAAAAGAGAACGACGTCATTAAATGGATCCGAGGAAGACTCCAAACTTCACCCCGAAAAATTTTCAGCATTCCCTCCCTTCAAACTATAGTGCAAAAAGGCCAACCGGGTATTCGAGCATATTTTGCGGTAACGTGCCCTACTGTGGAAAAACTACGTGAGTGGTTTCTCCAGCGGACCCAACTCTTCAAGGAAACACCATCGGGCAATATTCATCTATCAGAATATTCGATTCCGTTGTCTGGTGGCAGTCCAATGTGGTCGACCGTTGATTTCTTTGTCAAGATTCTTGATGAGCAGTCTGCCGAAACATTAACTGTAGATTGGTCGTGTGTATTTAATTATATATTTGTTGCTGAAAATCCTGATATAATGACATATGTCATGGGATCATACGAGGAATCAACATTTGAATATTTTTTCCGAAGTCATCCTGAACAGTTTGGTCTGGAAATGGTTAACGGCGAACTTAAGCGTTGCGCAGACCCGGCAAATTCTGGGATGGAATGTCCGGTAGGCGGAATAGCTGGATCCCTTCCGGCGGCGTCCGCAAGTTCAAGCGATAGCCCTTTAGCTCAGAGCATTGAAAGCTGCAAAGACTTCTTTAACGGCCGCAATACAATGTCGGTAGCTGAACTACAGAGACTGTTCCATGACGGGGCGCCCAGACCTCTGTTCAACTTTATTCAACGAAATTACCCAGCCGAAAGGTTTGTCGACTTTCTTTCCGAAAACAAAGAATCGTTTGTGCTATCAGACAATCGACAGAAGGTTCAGTTGCGTCAGAATACATCTTTATGGAATGGCACGACTGTAGGCAGTGGCAATCGCAATAATAGTAACTTGAGCGAGGTTAAGAGAAATCCGAAATTTGACAAAACCCTTATAAAATTCTTCACTGATCTCCTTACAATGGCTGCACGCGAACAAGCTGTTCGCAAAGTAGACGTAGAAAAACTTTGCGATTGTGTGCAGTTTCTTCCGAAAAGCTTCCTTCAGTATATGAAACAGGCGTATCAACCTCCTTCGCAATTGTTTGAGGGACAGGAGGTCTTTCAATTGAACAAAGACCGTTCGATGGTCGGCCTTAAAGAGAAGATTGCGCTATCCAGTCAACTTGATACAACTGCCAAAGCTACGATGTCGGTAAACTTTTTCATAGATGCCTTCAAACTTCTTGCAGTAAAGCATAATGTTCGTTTCATCCAGCCAAATCAGATGGGGTTACTTGCTTGTCTTATGAACCCTGCAGCACAGAGCTATCTAGTAACGAGCTTTGGGGAAACACATTTTCGGGTTCTATTACATCGATTTCCTACAATATTTTCCGAATCCAAGACAGGCAATATATACCTTAAGGAGAACTTACAGCAGCAGGATTTAAAGTTGGATCCTTCAAATGAAGTGATCACCAACATTAAAGCGATTTGCTCAAACGTGGTTGAGGGATCAGCGATCGAATTTTTTCTCTATGAAGTTAAAGCGCGTCGAGCTTACTGCTACCCGATTTCCATTAGCTGGTGCTCCAGCATAGTGTCGAAGGCATCACGGAGCATTAACAGCTACATCAATAAGAACTTCCCCACTGATAAAATTGCTGACTTCCTCATTAAGTTTCCTGCCATATTCAACGTTGTGCCTGAACTAGAAATTGTGTACCTGCAGAAGGAAGATAATGAAGATTTCAACAACAACGCCGACCTCGATAATAATAATAACGGTAAGAACAAGAATAAAAAGAAGAATCCGAGTGACCAAACTAGCGCATTACGCATAGAGACGGAAGAACTATTAATTGGCCTTGTGGCAGCACAGTGTCTCGCCAAATGTGATCAAATGCCTATAAGTGGTTTTTTCGAATTAGCGAAAAAGTGCCACTTAGCGACAGATATCGACGCAATTTTAAACAAAGAAATAGGGGAGAACAAACTGGAGAGACTACAAGCTCTCCTGAAGAGGTTTCCTGCTATTTTCCATATTCAGGACACAACAGAGAAAGTAGCGCTGAGGTGTCCAGCCCTACACTATCAGAAGCTGGGCATAGCCATGGAGACAGCTTTAAGTCGCATAATAAAAAACGTCGTGATTCAACAAAACGATGAGCAAGGGAGTATTCCGACAATAATGCACATTTACGAAATTGTTCAGTATATTTGCAGCGATGGTCTGTTCCAACGGATCATGCGTACCCTTACCGGCTTTCTTGAGTTTCTTGATACTTTTCCCGCGTTTTTTGTGGTAAACGGAAGCAAGAACACAATAGCTGTGCGGGACTATCAGCCTAAATCGAGGCCGGCCATCTCACCAACTTTCCCGATCTATTTGATGAATGTTCAAACATCCTCGGACTACTGCGGTGCACCAGTGTTTTACCGAAGTCCAACCACCAATCATCAGGAGACGTACTCAGGGTCGATATTAAAGCCATCACTTCCTACCACATCAGCACATCCTTTACACCTACCTCCAGGTCTTCCTATGACGTCGGTAAACGGCCATTTACAGCAGCATACCGCCGCGACAATGAAGGAGACTTGCCTACGCCAGTGGGTTGATCAGAAGACCGCCATACTGCAAATGTGGTCTACCCTCAGCGGGTTGCTAAGAAAGTTCGTAACAAGGATGGATGTAGAAACGATTACACAATTTGGCGGTTTGCAAAGTCTTGTAAATGGCCTCACAAGTTGCGTTGAAGAACTAGAACGCGTCTACTTAATTGGCGGTGGTCAGGATTGGGTGCAGGCGCAAAAACTTATCGATCTGTACGATTCGAAAAACGGCACGTTTGCCGGTTTCGCTTTAACAGCTCACAAAATCATCACATCGGTAATTGACAGACGTCATTGCCAGCGTGCAGCATGTAAATGTCGCTTCGCACCTGACGTACGCGACCTGGAAAGCTTTGTATACTTCTGTCAATCTATACGTTTTCATCTTGAGGAGGGTCCAGTTCCGCGAGTTCTCACGCCGTCATCATCCAGCTCCAACTCGAGTACACCAGATATCTTGAACCGTAAGTATTATTGAGATTTAGATATAGAAGGACTTAGAAAAGAAAATGTAGATCGCATAGAACTAATTCTTCTTCATATATGATTATTGCTAATTTTTATACAAGTACGATATTTTATAAATAAAAAAGGCTTTAATAAAAAAAAGTTGTTATTTTCAATAAAGCACTAGAAGCTGAAAGATGATAGTTAGGTTCCATCTGTGCTGTACATTGCCCATAGATATTAACCATTTTCAAGTGTTTAACAGAAGAATTTGGATATATATCTACCATCTAGAATTCGTGCAGAATTGTCCTCCAGGATTCTACCGCAGTCAATACTGATTTTTTGATATGACTTACTTTGGAGGGCAGAAGGAAGACTTGTCTGTATTCTCGAAAATTCTTGTAAACAGAAGCAAGATCTCAGAAGAAGGATTTTATGTATATATCACTTGTATTCTCATGTCTTTTTGCTTCATAGACTGGCAGTGGTTTTATTATGTAGTAGTTTTATTATGAACTGGGTAAGGTATATTGTATAAATGTTTCATATTCTTAAAATTCCAGCCTTAGCCGTATTATGAACAGTTGCTTATCTTACAGATGGGCTAATCGAGCTTCATTATTTATTGTCCTTTCAGGCCTATACGCGTGGTCAGACAGCGTAACGGATTCACCGTCGCCAATGATTAACCCTAACAATAATATCCTAAACGACCCGGCAAATATGTTCTTAGCACTTGAAGACAAGAGCCACGAAGAGGCAACCGCGCGTCTGTTGAACGCTGCGCAAGAACAACTGGGACTTGGTATTAATTCTTTTAGCACTCCCACAGCATTGCCGTGTTGGCCACGCAACATCTGGGAACCAGAGCCAGGCGAATTGAACCACGTAAGCTTCACGAAGAGCCTCCCTGCAAAGGCCAGTAATAGCAACGACGAAACGGTGTCTCCTAATAGGATAAGATTAGTAAATCCATCTCCATCTGCAAATTCTCCACCAGGCTTAGGGCCAATAAAGCAAGAATATCGTGTAACAAGTGTGAAAAAAAATAAAATAGCTGCAGAGGCAGGTGACGGATCTAAGCTTGAGATTGATTGGGGGAAGGGAGTCACCGCCTCAATCGGAGATTATTTCACGGTTATTCTCGAACGTCAAAGGCAAGCTCTGTAGCAGACCAGGTCAGAAATATGAACAAACCGAAAATCCGAAAGCGACAGACGAAAAGCCGACCTTCAAGAGAAGAGTTTCTAGTCTGAAAAATTGTCATCAATGCATAGCACTGTACACGATGGTACCATATGTATATACATTTCAACGCGACGGCACTGGCGAAATCCATGTTCAAGAAAATAGAACATTTTGGTAACATCGTTATATGGAAATTAGGAAACTCAGAAGTACGTCACGAGTACCATTGGCACTAACACGGGGAGACGAGCGTGTGCGTGTATATTTGTGATTGGAAGTCCGAGTTCGAGTCGGATAATCAACCATTGTACTTGGACCACGCGATTTATGCACTGAATCAGACCAGTTAATTAGAACAAGCAGAAGAACACTACGTATCAATTTTTAGTATTACTTTTCGGATCATATTGAATGTAGAATTGATGGCCGAGCAAGGCGAAATGAATCGGAAGTAATAAAAGGAAACTTTAGTTTTTGATCGCTTCTAATTCCAAGTATGGCATGTAACTTAGCTTATGTGTGATATCGATGTAAAAAAATCAAGCCATCCTTATGTAGTGCGGGACAACAGCAGGCAAATACGCAATTGTGACTTTGTATGATAGAATCGAAGCTACTGTGAGTTGTTATCGACGCTAGATCCGTAGCCTAATTTAGCTACGAACTACGTCATAAAGTTGCCTTACAAATGCCATATATACGAACAATGAAACATATTTTACGAGTCTCTGCTAGTAAAGAAACAAAATACTGATGTAACATAGTTAGTTCTAAGCAGCTAGAAATGAAGGTTTAAAGGAAAAAGAGTAATAAAAAAAAAGTCAAATAGATAGAAGATGCAATTTAATTGAAAAGTTGAGGCAAAAAATGACAAAATAGTACGAAGCCAAATTGAGTCTATGCGTCCTGATAGTGCTTAGTTCTTATGAGGCTAAAACGAAAGGAACAATA